ATCTATCTATCTATCTATCTATCTATCACAAGGTGGGGAAAGTGTAGCATTGGGTACTTACACAACCCTTCAGACTTTGGATCACCATTTTCTGGTCAAAAAAGTGTGTAAGCTGCTGGAAGTTTGTTGGAGCAGCACCTCACCTTTTAAATGTGTTGAAGTTACCCCTGCAATGTTTTAAACATTGTATAACTCTTACTTTTCAAAAACAGAAGTAGACTTTTGTGAACTTACATTTCTTTTGTATTTTGGTATTTTCAAATGTCAAATGTCTCCCCCGCCTAAAAGAAAACTGTCCCCTGGATCAGTGCCTCTGGCCATCCCCAAGTACATTAGAGTCTAGCTTATCCAACATAAATAGGTCGGCAGAACGTTGGATAAACGAAAATGATGGACAATAAAGAGGGATTGAGGAAAAGCCCATAAACATCAAATTACGTTATGATTTTACAAATTAAGCACCAAAACATCATGTTTTACAACAAATCAACACACGGTAACGTTATGTAGTAATTACTGTATTTACAAATTTAGCACCAAAACATTGCAAAGCAGACTACATTGGATAATACAGAACGTTGGATGAGCAAAGGCTGGATAAGTGAGACTCTACTGTAAATTCATATTAGGGAAGTAGGAAATAGAGGAAGGATTATTGAACAGTTTTCCTTTGGTGTGCTCTTTACGTCCAGCTCTACTAGAATGGAATTTTGGAAAAGATAGTTGGATTCTTTATGATCTGAAAAATGTCTTCAGTGCTTACAGCACATACGTCCGGCTCTCAGTACGAACCAGAACGTCATCTAGTACCCTTCTCAGTTTGGCATCCTCAGTTGGAAATGGATTCATCAGATTGGAGGTAAACAACAAAAAGGGCTATTTTTGTGTGTTCTGATGGTGATGATTCATACAAGGGGTCAGGAGAAGGTGAAACCTGAAATAAAATGAAAAGGAACAATATTATTTTCCTGAATCAAAACAAAACTTGGAAAAAAATCAGGAAGCCTCTATTATACCTGAACAATAAAGAACTTGAATGGGTGGGTAAAAACAACACAATTTTTCTGAAAAAGTGGTTGTCCAAGCAACAGAGCAGCTAGGTTTACCAGAATTGAAATGGGTTTCTTACTTTCTGATGAAAAGCCGAACAATACTGATATTTTGGAAGATATATTCATTTTGCACACGTGCAGTCTTTAATATTCTTTAAGGGCTGACCCTGGGAAGCCTTGGGAACTGAATTGGAGCCCCTCTTCCCCATTTTTACTAAGATTTGGCCAGCCTACAGGCTAACAAATGGAAAAAATCATACAAATGTATGAGACAGCAGTAGCTTGTGGCTTCCATCTCAGGGTGTGCATGGATCTGCTCCAAGTTTCATTTTGGATATAGGCACATTCGAGAGTTCTTTTCAAGTTCATATTAAACCCTGAAGCAGATTCACCATCCCATTGACTTGAAAACCTGTGGTTGGCACTGGATGTAGACTAACCTATGGTTGGGAGACTCAAAAGTGGGGTTGGGCAATTCTTTATATTGCACTCTGAGATTCATTAGAGTTGCATTCATGAAACATTTTTTATTTTTTAAGATACTTAATTGTATATGACTTTTCTAATGTCAAATATACAGTTTGTGGTCTTCTGTCTTTCTACAGATTATTAGTGGATATTTTGGTGTTAGTTTCAATTTGGGAGGCAAAGATCACGTCCTTCAGTTGAGCACTGTGCGCATAGACAATGGCCAGTGGACTGAACTAACCCTGGAGCGATATCACAATGAATTTTCTCTGCGTATTAACGATGGTGGAGGGGACCATGAGGTGTCAGCCATTCTTGGATCAGGAGGACAGTTCAAAATAAATCTAGCAAGGATTGTGCTTGGAAACCGCCTGGCAAATCATTCGGAAAGTGATTTCCAAGGTATGGACTTGTGACCAAAGACCCAGAACAAAAAAATAGATTGGACAATGAGCTAAATAGCAAGCCTAGGGAAAAGTGGTTTGTCTTAAATGGATCTGTACATGACCAACTAATGCCTCGACTCCAGCCAGTATCAAACTTTAGCTTGGCAGAGGTTTTCTAACACATTTGTTTTGTGGTAGTGACTTGACAAACTATCTTAAAATTGTGAACCTTTGTGACTCGAGACTCCCATTTTGGTCAGAGTCCAGTCCTTAAGGGTAGGACTTTGAGTCCCCCCAGGGGTGAGAAAGGCAGTATATAAATACTATAAATAAAATAATAAATAATAGGAAAAATGCTTTTCTTTCTGTAAATAAAATTGGATTTTTGACCTGGACCTGGATTTCTATTTTTTATTTGAGTTATGGGCGAAGAAAAGGCCCCTCTAAAGTTTTTACACTATGACTAGCATGCAGGTCTGTGAGGCATTACAAAGGAAATAGAACTAGGTTTATTAATTAAAGAAGGCATAAAACTGGCAAATGGGTTTTTAAAAACCTATTAATGAAAATGAACATAAAACACAGTCTATGATGCAAACAAAATCCACAAAGGAATCAGTACCATTGCAAAGTATTATGTACAATGTTGACTGTTTAATCTGATCTGTAGAGTCAATAACTAATTTAACCAAGTGCATCATTCCTTATATGAGTGCTTGGGGCCTGTTTACTTATTGTATCAGAAGCAAACCGGATACAGTTGTAATGTAGTTGAAAACACACACAAAAAAATCAAAAACTTGACATTATACTAAATGTCCTTTGTCTAGTAGCTGGCCACTTGGAGTTCCTTTGGTGTTGCTATAAGGAGGTCCTCCATTGTGCATGTGGCAGGGCTCAGACAGCATTGTAATAGGTGGTCTGTAATTTACTCTTCTCCACACTCGCATGCCGTGGACTTCACTTTGTGGCCCCATTTCTTAAGGTTGGCTCTGCATCTCGTGGTGCCGGAGCACAGTCTGTTCAGCACCTTCCAAGTTGCCTAGTCTTCTGTGTGCCCAGGAGGGAGTCTCTCATTTGGTATCAGCCATGGTTTGAAATTCCAGATTTTAGCCTGCCATTTTTCAACTCTCGCTTATTGAAGCGTTCCTGCAAGTATCTCTGTAGATCTTAGAAAACTATTTCTTGATTTTAGGCACTGGCGTGCTGGCTGATATCCGATCAGAGGATTGGCCGGAGTTGTCACTGCCTTGGTCCTTTCTTTATTGGCTGCTACTTCACTAAGGATGTCAGGTGGTGCAATACCGGCTAAACCATATAATTTCTCCAGTGGAGTAGAGCATAGATATCCTGTGATAATGCAGTATGTCTCATTAAGAGCCACATCCACTGTTTTAGCATGGTGAGATGTGTTCCACACTGGGCATGTGTACTCAGCAGCAGAGTAGCAAAGCACAAGGGCAGATGTCTTCACTGGATCTGTTTGTGATCCCCAGGTTGTGCCAGTCAGCTTTCAGATGATATTGTTTCTAGTGCCCACTTCATGCTAGATATTTAATCAGTGCTTCTTGTAGGTCAGAGCATGGTCCAAAGTAACTCCTAGGTATTTGGGTCTATTATCTGATTAGTATTGCAAATAAAAGTGGATCGCGTTTCTGTAAAATGGAAATAAAAACAATGAGGGAAGGAGCAGAATTGTATTTGTTCAGATTAATGGCAAGCTCCATTTGTGAGAGGCAACTAGGGTATAAATTGAATGATGAGTAAAATCTGTCAATGGAAGATTATGAAGGTGAGCTAGATCTGCTTTGTGTCTCCTGCAGGCTGCATGAGGGATGTCCGTCTAAATGGGCAGCCCCTTCTTGTAAACGGGGAAAGCACGGAGTACAGCTTCATTGTGGAGCAGGAGGGCATCACCATTGGCTGCCATTCCAACTCCTGCAGCAACCAGCCCTGTTATAACCCTTTCCACTGCGTAGATCTATGGAGAAAGTACGAATGCAGGTATGCAACTTTGTGTGAACTTAGTTCCCCTTTTGTTTAAAATGCAGCTTTTCAAAAGGAAATATTTCCTATACCCCAGAGTTGGACATGGTTGGACTTCATGTCAGGGGAAAACCTTTACCTTTACCTATATACCTATATGTATGTGTCTTTGTGTGTGTGTGTGTGTGTATGTATATATACACACACACATACATATGCAGACATATATATATATACAATTTACATTTTTCAACTGGTGTCTTTCTTTATTCAGATGTCCAGCTGGCAAAGTAGAAGTGACCGATACTCTGACAGGCCTGAAACAATGCACCTCATCACCCTGTGGCCACTGGAACTGTAGGAATGGTGGCACCTGCGTGGCTCAGTCTCGGGACAAATACGTCTGCCAGTGTCCTGAAGGTTATAAAGGAAAGTGGTGCGAAGTCAGCCCTGTAAAAGCAGGAAGACCAGTAGGACTCAGCTCTGGTTCCATCTTGGCCATCAGCATGTGCCTGCTTGTTTTTTTAGGTAGGAACATTTGACTTGCTCATGTTATGTTACTGCATGCTATGCCCTTGAAATGCTCCACATCACTGTCTCTAGGTTCCCAAACTGCTAGTAAAAACGTTCCAGAAGACGTCCAAAGAATTCCTGTTTTAGACACCAGCTCTCTGAATCATATGGCCCACTATGGCAATTCTGGGAGTGAGCATCCAAAACCACAAGTTTTCCTAGATGTATTTGTTCTTTCTTTGCCCTTTCAAATGTATACTCCAATGCATTATTTCCTAATGAAGTAGGCTTACATACCCAGAATGTCTCCATCTTTTCCCCCTGGAAAAACGTTTGACATAATTTTTAGTGTTCAGAGAACTCCTGCATAAAAATTATTATATATATTGCAAAAAAGTTTCATTTTATTCTAGTCATGATCTCCCATGAAACCTCTAGCAACCTGTCATGGAACCCTAGAGTCCCAAGAAACACTCATTGTGAAACTCTGCATTAGACAAAAGAGAAAGTTGTCCGTGGTGCCTTGAATATATTAGGCAATTCATGGGTCACATGCTCCCCCTGAGCATTCCTTAAGTTTTTCCTCAACTCTCCAACTAACACTGGTTGTCCACCTCTATGAATCGTCATTTAAATGGCCCACAGTGCTCCAAGAAAGTATTGGAGAGGCACACTGAATAATTAAAGTAGTAACTCCCAGACATAAGAGTATAGAACCAAGCAAAGCGCTGTTACTGTCTGCCCTGGTCAACAGAGCAAACCACTGCAAATTATCTATATAAGGGGGTCACCGGTCTTTTGAAGGGGGGCACATGGAGTTGGTTCTATTTATTCATTTATTTATCACATTTATACCCCAACCTTCTCACCCTGAAGGGGACTCAAGGTGGCCTTACAACAGACAGCAGTTTGATGCCATACACATATATATGACCATGAATTAAGCAATTACAATTAAAACCAAACAGTTAAAACATGGGTTATTGTAGGTTTTTCGGGCTATATGGCCATGTTCTAGAGGGATTCTCTCCTGACGTTTCACCTGCATCTATGGCAAACATCCTCAGAGGAAGTGAAGTCTGTTGGAACTAGAAAAACAGGTTTATATTTCTGTGGAATGACCAGGGTGGGACAAAGAACTCTTGTCTGTTGGAGCTATGTGTGAATGTTTCAACTGACCACCTTGATTAGCATTTGATGGCCTGGCAGTGCCTGGGGCAATCTTTTGTTGAGAGGTGATTAGATGACCTTGATTGTTTCCTCTCTGTTGTTTTGATGTTGTAATTTTAGAGGGTTTTTAATACTGGTAGCCAGATTTTGTTCATTTTCATTGTTTCCGCCTTTCTGTTGAAGTTGTCCACATGCTTGTGGATTTCAATGGCTTCTCTGTGTAGTCTGACATGGTGGTTGTTGGAGTGGTCCAGCATTTCTGTGTTCTCAAATAATACGCTGTGTCCAGGTTGGTTCATCAGGTGCTCTGCTATGGCTGACTTCTCCGGTTGAAGTAGTCTGCAGTGCCTTTCATGTTCCTTGATTCGTGTTTGGGCAATGCTGCGTTTGGTGGCCCTTATGTAGGTGGTCAGTTGAAACATTCACACCTAGCTCCAACAGACAAGAGTTCTTCGTCCCACTCTGGTCATTCCACAGATATATAAACCCGCTTTCCTAGTTCCAACAGGCCTCACTACTTCTGAGGATGCTTGCCATAGATGCAGGTGAAATGTCAGGAGAGAATGCCTCTAGAACATGGCCATATAGCCCGAAAAAACCTACAACAACCCAATTCTTGGGAGGAAGCAAAAAACCTCCCTTCAAAGAGTGTACATGTCTCAGAAAAGTAATGACTCAATTAATTTATAAAAACCATTGTAATCTTCATTAAAACAGTGTTTTACTTACTTTGGGTATCTTATTTACTCAGGATTGGTGAAAGGCCAGAGACTGGCCAAAATGCCTTCTATTTAAATGTCCTAGTGGATTCCTGTAGGTAAGTAAAATACCCTTTTAATGAAGCTTGCTTTTAAGATATAGATGATTCATTACCTTCCTGAAGAGTGTACCTTTGTTTTTCAGTCCTTTAAATTAACATGGCATTTCTCCTTAGAAACGTAATTATTAAATGCTAATTTATTTTACTCAGGTTGCTTTTATATTAGAGAAAAGATGTTGATGTGCTTTGCAGATTATAACAAATATGTCTTCTCAAACGTGTCTTCCTCTCTTGTTTTCCTTCATCAGGTTTATTAGTCTCTTATACCGTGTGGAGTCAATGGGGGAGATCAAGGTTTCGAAAAGGAGGAATTTACCATATTCCTGAGGAACATGAAAGTTGGGACGATGTTAGAGAGAATGTCTTCAATTATAATGAGGAAGGAGGAGGGGAGCATGACCTGGTATGGTTTTGCATGACCTGGTATGGCATCCGTACAGCATTTTAAATTCATAATAGCCCAGATTCAGTTATGCATCAAAAGTTGTGAAAGATTCCTTTTTTAACCAGGGAAAAAAGTGAAAAAAATTGCAGAAATTAACAACCCAATCCTTTTAATCAGAGGTGGACAACTGCGTCATTTTGGATGTTGTTGTAATGCAGGCTTAGAGCCACATTACAACATTCACCCCTGCTGTATTTCATAGGAAATAAGCACCACTGCAGTATATTCTTTGTTGTTTGCTCTCCTGCTAACATATTTAGGACTAAAGCCCCAATTGTCTTTAATGATATAACCCATGTCACATTCACAGCCCTCAAACTACATTATGCAATTTACCTTAGCCCAGTGGTTCTCAACCTTGGGTACCCAGATGTTTTTGGCCTACAATTCCCAGAAATCCCAGCCAGTTTAGCAGCTGTTAGGATTTCTGGGCGTAGAAGGCCAAAAACATCTGGGGACCCCAGGTTGAGAACCACTGCTTAGCCAGTGGTTCTCAACCTGTGGGTCCTCAGGTGTTTTAGCCTACAACTCCCAGAAATCCCAGAAAAAGGAAGAGGGGCCGACCAAGGGCAAGATGAATGGATGGTATCCTTGTAGTGACTGGCTTGACCTTGAAGGAGCTGGGGGTGGTGACGGTCAACAGGGAGCTCTGGCATGGCATGGTCCATGAGGTCACGAAGAGTTGGAAGTGACTGAACAAATGAACAACAACCCAGAAATCCCAACCAGTTTACCAGATGTTGGGATTTCTGGAAGTTCAAGGCCAAAACATCTGGGGACCCACAGGTTGAGAACCACTGCTTAGCCGGTGGTTCTCAACCTGTGGGTCCTCAGGTGTTTTAGCCTACAACTCCCAGAAATCCCAGAAAAAGGAAGAGGGGCTGACCAAGGGCAAGATGAATGAATGGTATCCTTGAAGTGACTGGCTTGATCTTGAAGGAGCTGGGGGTGGTGACGGCCCACAGGGAGCTCTAGTGTGGGCTGATCCATGAGGTCACGAAGAGTCGGAAGCGACTGAACAAATGAACAACAGCCCAGAAATCCCAGCCAGTTTACCAGATGTTGGAAGTTCAAGGCCATCTGGGGACCCGCAGGTTGAGAATCACTGACGTTAGCTGTGATTGTTCAAGCACCTTATTGTGTAGTCCTTCTGAGTAAACAGAACAAAGGATAAGGCACTGCTATGAATCACTTGCTCAGTAGGAACTGTGTGGTTGACTCATGGTTTAAATTTAAATTGTATGAGGATGATAGCGGGAGGAAGAATTAATTGTTGTTTCTAGACTTGGGGCAGGAAAGAATAAAGCCCTGTTTTCCTTGACTCCATAAATCCATAATAGACTTATAGTCCATGTATACTGTAGAATTAATGCAGTTTGACACCACTTTAACTGCTATGGCTTAATACTATGGAATCCCAGGAGCTGCAGTTTCTCAAGTCGCTCCTGACACGACAAAACAAAAACCCAGGAGCTGTAGTTTTTTGAATTCTTTCTAAGTAGCGCAACTCCCAAGATGCCACAGCACTGAGATACAGCAGTTGAATGGTTTCCATTCTTCAGAATAGATGCCCCCTTGGGCCCCTACCCCACAGTTGAATAAAATCCCATATTTTCTGCTTTGAACTGAAATATATGGTAGTGTGGACTCAGATAACCCAGTTCAAAGCAGATATTGTGGGATTTTCTGCCTTGGTATTCTGGGTTATATGGCTGTGTGGAAGGGCCCTTGGTCATCTCCTCCCTTCAGGTTGTTTGAGGTTGATATGGAGAGTTTGGACCAAGAGGCTTTCACATTACGCAATTACAGCACCACGAGGCCACTTTTTAAAGAATTCTCAGCTAGTGTCTTACCAAAGTGCAACCCAAACAAGTGCAGGCTGCAGCCGTGGCAATTAAAGTGAAAACATAGCACTATAATTGTGTAATGTAAAAGAGACCCTGCATTATATAGAAAAGGCGAAGTGTTTTGTCATGCAGCAGCCATTGCAGACATGATGGGTTTGTGGGAATTGTAATCCAAAACATCTGGGAATTCTCTGTCTCCCAGCTATCCTTCACTTTTGTCACATGTTATTTATCTTCCTTTTTGAAAAACGAACCCTTGTCTCATCCCTTTGAGTACTCCAGGCTTGGCTCTGGGAGGTGGTGAAGGGTCTACTACGCCAATATTTGCTTTTTGTGTGGAACAGTTTGCCTCCCCCTGCCGCCCCAAATTCCCAAAAGCAGGATGAGTGGGTTCTCAATTTGCATGACCTGCTTCTTCCAGGTTAAGAGGGTTAAGGTTGCCTTATCCAAGAAGCCCCCCACATCCAACAGCCAGGCCTGGACTACTCGCAATTTTTATTGGTCACCACATATAAAGGAGGAGATAAAACTGAATACAGTGCTTTCAGCTGAGGCTAAACCAACACTGAGTAGACAAGGTACCTAACTATCCCCCCCCCCCCCCCCCCCGGTGGTCTTGTGGCATGTGATATCAGTTGATGTGGTTTTTACATTGGCTTTTTGTGCATTTTCAGTGTGTGGTTTTTACTTTTCCTTGTCCTCTGAAATCTGCCCAGAGTTTTGTTGTAGGAGTGGAGTTTCAAAAGCCAATCCCTCACAAGGGATCTCGGAAAACCTTTTTTCTTATAATAACATTTTTAAGAACTTTATTTCCTTTTGTGAAGGAAAAAAATACATTATAATGTACAAGTTGCCAGTCTGATTTTTCCTCCTACTATTAGCACAAGTTGTATGCCAATGGCTGGAAACTCTGGGAACTTTCAGTAGTAAAAATATCTGTGGAAGTGGGTTGTTGTGAATTTTTCAGGATGTATGGCCATGTTCCAGAAGCATTCTCTCCTGACGTTTCACCTGCATCTATGACAAGCATCCTTATCCAAAAACAGGGGAATTCAAGACAAGAAACAATCAGGGCCAGCTAATCACTTCCCAACAAAGGATTCCCCCAAGCAGTGAAAAGCCAGACCCTGAAAACTGCTAGGCTATTAAATGCTAATCAAGGTGACCAATTGTTGCATTCATATCTACCTCAAAACAGACAAGAGTTCTTTCCCCCACCCTGGACATTTTTCAGATATATAAACCCAATTTTCCTAGTTTCCAACAGACCTCTCAACCTCTGAGTATGCCTGCCATAGATGCAGGTGAAACGTCAGGAGAGAATGCTTCTGGAATGAAGTGACATTGATGGCAAGTGGGGAAAGGGGATAATTTACCATCTTTATGATTATATATTGGTGAAAATGACTTTGGTTCAACAAATAGAGGATTTAATTTGTACCTGATAGAGTCAGATTAAAATCCCTCCATTGCCAAATTGTACATTGTTCATAGTAAGGATATTCCTTTCTTCTGTATGGGAAATTGTCATTTCTATGCCTTGCAAAACAAGACAGAGTTTAACTTGCCTTCAGTGCACTCGGGTGCAATTGTGAAGGGAGAAGTGCTATAAAATTATGTTTGAAATGCTACGATAATGAAATTGTATTTTTATTATTGATACAACATGGTTGATTCTTTTCTTCTTCTTCCCATTCCCCACACTCAGAGTGTGTATAATTTAGACACGCTAAAGAAACCTGTACGAATCATACCTCCGTTTTCCTCGGGAACTGCTGCTCCAGTCCTCAGATCATATTCTGGATCACAAATAAACCCTCATGGGAACCCTGCATGCCTGAGGGAAACTCCTTCATTGGATACCAGTCTCCTAGACTTCAAGCGTTGCATGTCTCAAAGAATACAGAATGCAGATGGCGATTTGAAGCATCTTCCAACAGACAGCATGCATTTCTATTGCTTAGAGGGCCAGGGCTCTCCCACTGGAAGTCTGAGTTCCTTAGAGACGTCCGGTGTAGAGCAAGACTCAAATTATGAAAACCTCAGTGAATGGGGATCAGAGTTTGTGAAGTTAAAACAGTTACACGAACTTCAAACTGAACAATTATAGAATATGGAGTCATGACATTTTTGCTTGTGAGATGGAACCTCCTCCTTGGAAACCATGCTTTAGTTGTTTACTGAAAAGACATTTCTAATACATTGGACAGCATCAAACACATTATCCTATCAAAAATGGAACAGCCCAACATTTTTTCCCTTAGTGTCTTGGTTTTTTGACCTGATCCTGGGGTTATTTGAAGCACTGGTTCAAAAAAATGCATTGGATAGACCACATGGGCTCTAATTTCTTTGAGTTATCATGAGGCCCTTTCCACACAGCCATATAACCCAGAATATCAAGGCAGAAAATCCCACAATATCTGCTTTGAACTGGGTTACCTGAGTCCACACTGTCATATATTCCAATTCAAATCAGATAATGTGGGATTTTATTCAGCTGTGTGGAAGGGCCATATTTTCGTATGAGTTCTTTTTTCATGTCAGGAGCAACTTGAGAAACTACAGGTCACTTCTGGTGAGAGAGAATTGGCCAACTGCAAGGTCGTTGCCCAGGGGATGCCCGGATGTTTATCATCCTGTGGGAGGCTTCTCGCATGGGAAGCTGGAGCTGACAGACAGGAGCTCACCCCTCTCCCTAGATTCAAACCACTAACCATTTGGTCAGCAGACCTGCCGCACAGGGGCAGTGGTTCTCAAACTTATTTGGCCTGGAAATCAATTTTTCTAAATCTTCTTTCTTTTATGATTTCATCGCCCCCTTACAGTATTCATCACCCCCAAATGCACCTGTGACCATTACCGCACCCCCCCCCCAGATCGCTGCAGCGCCCACCACTTTGGGAATCACTGGTTTAACCCATTGCACCACTGTGGGCTCCTTATGGGTGAGCAGATAGCAACTAGTATGTGGCATTTGTTCTGTATCTCAAAAACTAGAGCTGATAAGGGGAAACTGGTGCCATTATTTTCTGAATCAGCAGATCAAATATACCCAGAAGCAGGGCAAACCTTTGAGGCACCAAAATGTGAGTGGCCATTCAGAACCAGTATATCTCGCCTTCCGTTGAACGATACAAATTTAAAGTTTTTATGTGTATTGTATAACTAAAGCTAGAAGGATGTTTGTCACCTTGTTTCAAAGTAGCTTTGGGAGGAAAATGCTGAAACAATTTCTAATGTGTGAATCTGTAGTAATATTCTGTCAATACTGACATGTTTGCTATCTTAACTTTCTTAGATCTATTACACCTATTTTTTCTATGCTGTAAAATACTTTTTATACTGTACTTGTTTAATTGGCAGTCTCTGTTTCCATAGTTCAGATTCACGTTTCATGCTTATTGCACAATCAACCATCTATTCAGGAGAGTTGTCACCGCAAGGGATGTGTGCAGAGTAGTTTTACTTTCAAGCTCTGTGTATATAAAACATAAATGAATTTCATGTTTAGACTTGGATCCCATCTCCAAGAAATCTCATTATGTACTGTATATTCAGCTTTTTCACTTCTGGCACCAAGCATTTTGGATTGACCTGTGTAGGTGATCGTCTTTTGTCTATGTCAGGCATGGGCCAACTTGGGCCCTCCAGGTGTTTTGGACTTCAACTCCCACCATTCCTAACAGCTTCAGGCCCTTAAGCGGCTGAGGGGGAAAAGGAAGGGGCCTGAGGCTGTTAGGAATGGTGGGAGTTGAAGTCCAAAACACCTGGAGGGCCCAAGTTGGCCCATGCCTGGTCTATCTCCCTTTCTATCCAAACTGGATTTCTCCTGAAACAATAAATGTACATTTTGATCTTTCAAACCTTACATCTTGGGTATTTTTCTCCTCTTTCCTACCACAAGTTCCTATTGCAGTGGCTACTCAGCTTGATGTCGACAGCAAATCATTCCTACATTCTGACTCCATCAATCCTAAATGAAATGAACATTAAAATATTATAACATTGCAAATCCTACTAGAATTACTAGAAGCCATAACTATAGATTAGTGTTAGATTTCTCGTTTTAAAAAATCCATAAACACAATTTCCAGTCGTTAAAAGTATCACTTGGCCTATCCTTTACAACTTCAATTTGGGCAAACCAGGCAACAAAAGAAGAATGTTTTAAATGTTTGTTTAATATTTGTGGATTTAAGATTGTATTGAAATGCTTTTAATGTAAGCCACTTTGAGTCTCCTTTGCGGAAAGAAAAAGTAGGATAACAACAACAACAACAACAACGAGTTTGGCTGTATGGACATGTTCCAGAAGCATCCTTTTCTGACAATTTACCCATATCTGTGGCAGGCATCCTCAGAGGTTGTGAGGACTGTCGGAAACTTGGCAAATGAGGTTTATATATCTGGAATGTCCAGGGTGGGAGAAAGAACTCTTGTCTGCTTGAGGCAAGTGTGAATGTTGCAATTGACCACCTTGATTAGCATTTTAATGACCTTGCAGCTTCAAGGCTTGGCTGGTTGCTACGGGGGGGGGGGGGTCCTTTGTTGGGAGGTTTTAGGATTCCCCCCCAGGCAGCAACCAGTCAGGCTTTGAAGCTGCAAGGTCATTAAATGCTAATCAAACTGACCATATATATTATTTACAACATTTATATGCAGCCCTTCTCACTCTGAAGAGGACTCAGAGCAGCATTCTTTTTTTTTAAAGATAGTTTGCTCTTCAAGGTTTTTAAAAATTAAAATTTGGCAGTTTTAGTATTTATACCATATATATTATTAGCATAGTACAATATCAGTATTAAATATTGTACTATACCATTTTATTGTAATACATTATATAAATAAAAATGTTTCAGCCACAACCATTAAAGTGATGTCAAACTGCATTAATCCTACAGGCGTCCCCTGCCTCCAGAAAGTTTACACACAGGGAGGAAAAAGATACAACCCTTCGACCAATCCCATGAGTCCTTGGTTTGCTATTCCCCTTATGATTGGTCGGACTCTGGCAAAGAGTTATGATTGGTCAGAACCTGGCAAAGAGGCGGGGCAAAAGTGAGCCCAGTTGCATTCATTTCGTCTGTGCTGAAAGAGGAGAGAAGGGAAGGGGGCGTCGACGGCGGCCATTTTGGGAGGGGCAAGAGGGGAGGGCTGCGCGCGAGTGGCGCATGCGCGGAAGGGAACTCGAAGCTGGGGAAAAGAGAAGGTGAATGAATTGGAGGTATTTCTTTTATCTGGCCTTCATTTGGGACGGGGGAGGGCGAGGGAACAAGATACTTTAAACATAGGCGTTAAAAGTGGGGGTGGTTCTACTACTAGTGTGTTGGGAGCATCTACACTGCAGAATCAACGCGGTTTGACACCACTTTGCCCTCCATGGCTCAGTATGGTGAATTCTGGAGTTGCAGTTTTGCAGGGCCTTCAGCCTTCTCTGCCAGAGGGTGCTGGTGCCCCCACCAAACTACAAATCCCATCACCAAGATTCTTGGAAGTTGAAGCGGTATAGAACTGCATTAATTCTCCAGAGTGAATGCAGTTTGGAGGCTAAGTAAATATATTTACTTTGGAGAAATAAATATGTATTCAGTTATAAATTACAGTGTATAGCAAGCATGAGCAAACTTGAGCCCTCCATGTGTTTTGGACTTCAACTCCCACAATTCCTAACACTTCTAAAGCTTTACTGTTTTTATGCACTAGCAAAATCTCTTGTTTTCCTAACAGATCAGAGATAACAGGTTATTCAGTCTAACAACTGAAACCATTGCCTTGCATAATTATATCTGCTTGTATACCACAAGAGAAGATTCTACTCTGCTCTTCTCTGAAAGGTTGTGCTTTTCTTAAAAAATTATGATCTCCAAATAGTGTTTTCTGAATGGTTATTAATGCCATTTTCCAGAATGTTTCATTGATGTTGATGTGAGGTTGCGTATATTTTGGGAATCATTGCTTTATTGTTTTGATATAAGGTTGTCTCAACCCAAGTGTCAAATATGGAATGCACTTCAACCCAGTCCCATTCTGTTGTTATTGTCTGCACAGCTCAGTGAAAATGAGAAGCTTTTTTTTCATATCAGGAGCGATTTGAGAAACTGCAAGTCGCTTCTGGTGTGAGAGAATTGGCTTACAAGATATATATACATACAATATATATTATTAGCATAGGGGTTGTTTTTTTGTGTCAGGAGCGACTTGAGAAACTGCAAGTCGCTTCTGGTGTGAGAGAATTGGCTTACAAGATATATATACATACAATATATAAACGGTTCCGGCCCAAAATACCTCTCGGACCGCATCTTGGCCTATGAGCCCACGAGGACCTTGAGATCGTCTGGGGAGGCCCTTCTCTCGATTCCGCCTGCCTCACAGGCGCGTCTGGCGGGGACGAGAGAGAGGGCCTTCTCAGTGGTGGCCCCCCGGCTGTGGAACGCCCTCCCTGCTGACATCAGACAGGCGCCCTCTCTCATGGCTTTCCGTAAGAGCCTAAAGACCTGGCTCTTCGAGAAGGCATTTAACTAGTGCCAGACTAATTGACAATGACAATCGGAACGGAATACGGATTATGAGACTGGTAGATCCTTATGTTGTGACGGTGCGGATTAGTTAGTGTAATTTAGATTAAGTGTGTTATATGGTTTGTTGATGTACTCTGTGCTCTTTGTAAACTGTTTTTTATATGTTGTACACCGCCGCGAGTCGCCCTAGGGCTGAGAGCGGCGGTCAACAAATGCATTAAATAAATAAATAAATAAATAATATTATTAGCATAGGGGTTGTTTTTTTGTGTCAGGAGCAACTTGAGAAACTGCAAGTCGCTTCTGGTGTGAGAGAATTGGATTACAAGATATATATACATACAATATATATTATTAGCATGGGGGGGTTGTTGTGTCAGGAGCGACTTGAGAAACTGCAAGTTGCTTCTGGTGTGAGAGAATTGGCTGTCTGCAAGGACGTTGCCCAGGGAACTCCTGGATGTTTTTGATGTTTTGTCATCCTTGTGGGAGGCTTCTCTCATGTCTCCGCATGAGGAGCTGGAGCTGATAGAGGGAGCTCATCCGCGCTCTCCCCGGATTCGAACCTGCGACCTGTTGGTCTTCAGTCCTGTCAGCACAGGGGTTTAACCCACTGTGCCACCGGGGGCTCCAACGAGAAGCTGTGCTGTGTGTTTGTAAATGTGAAGCTTGTTTCCAAATGGAACATCTGGACAAAAATTTTACAGAAATAAAAAAAAATATATTTGTTAACAACGTGCATTCTTTTGCACTAAAATTTATTTATTTATTATTTATTTCGAGTACTTCTACCCCGCCCTTCTCAACCCCCGGAGGGGGACTCAGGGCAGCTTACAAAAGGCACAATTCAATGCCTACACAATAATACAGATAACGTTTAAAACAGAAATTCAGTTTTCCCTGTACTAAATTTTTTATACGTTTTGATAATTTTGATCTCTATGTAATATTCTACTCCTGACCAACAATAAGCTGCCACCTATAACTAATTTTTCAATTTTGGTGTGGATTTGGTACCTTTTGTAAACAAACCCCACAAATGGAGATTGGGTGGCCATCTGTCAGGGGTGTTTTAACTTTAGCACCGGGACTGTGGCGCAGCTGGCTGGGAGTCAGCTGCATTAATAATAATAATCTTTATTTATACCCCACTACCATCTCCCCAAGGGACTCGGTGAGGCTTCCATGAGGCCAAGCCCACAGTACATCAATAACAAAAGCAATAACAAAAACAGTCAATACAATACAATTAATATAAATCACATAAACAATAAACAGTAACACACAAGCATTTAAAAAGCATTTAAAAGATCTGTATTGACCGAAAGGTCATGAGTTCGAAACCAGCCCAGGTCGGAGTGAGCTCCCAACCAAAATTGTGTAGTTTGTTGTTGACCTTTGCAACCTGAAAGACAATTGCATCTGTCAAGTAGGAAAATTAGGTACCTCTTTGTGGGGGGGTAAATTAACTGATTTACGAGGCCATAAAAAATCTCCAGGAAGTATGCAAATATGGAAAGAATGAGGAAGTGACAGGTCCCGTGGTGGCCAGAAGCTGGAAAGTTAATAGCCTCTGGGTGTCTGTCTATATTTATTTATTTATTTATTTATTTATTTAAAACATTTATATTCCGCACTTCTCATCCCGAAGGGGACTCAGGGTTGAGTACAGCATATAAACATTCAATGCCGGGACACAAATTCTTATATACATACATAAACATTAAAAACATTTATCAAAATATTAAAATACACCATTTAGAACCGTCCTAGTCCTCCATGTCAAATCTAATTGGCCTGGTAATCTTTCCTATTGCTGCTTTATTGCCCTGTCCTGAAAGCTTGGTCCCACAGCCAAGTTTCTACCATCCTTCTAAAGGACAGGAGAGAGGGGGCCGACCTGATCTCACCAGGAAGGGAGTTCCATAGCCAGGGAGCAATCACCGAGAAGGCCCTGTCTCTCGTCCCCACCAATCGTGCCTGTGACAATGGTGGGACAGAATCAGGGCTTCCCCGGAGGATCTTAATTGCCGCGATGGTTCATAGGAAGAGATGTGTTGTTGTGTGTCTATGGCATTGAATGTTTGCCATGTATATGTACATTGTAATCCGCGCTGAGTCCCCTGTGGGGTGAGAAGGGCGGAATATAAGTACTGTAAATAAATAAATAAATAAACTGTCCTCCATTACTATACTGGATAGGATTGGACTAGGTGACCCTGAGATCCTTTCCAATTCTACAATTCTTTGATTCTATAAAAGGCATAAGTTGTGTTCCAATGGGCCTTTTTCTTTCTAGCAAAAATCAAGAGCATCTGCTCCTCACTCAACAGGCATCTCAAAGAAACAAGGAGACATTTAAAAGAGGAAGATGAGTGCAGAAGCTGCTGACCGAGAGGCCGCCACGTCTAGCCGACCCTGCACTCCGCCGCAGACCTCCTGGTTTGAGTTTTTGCTGGAAGAGTCTCTTCTAGAGAAGCATCTGAAAAAGATTGCTCCTGGTCAGTAATATTTTGATCTAAGATACTGGGGTTTTTTTTAATCTGCAGTCATTTGTGACTACAGAGGAGGAGAGAGCTGGACTGGGATTCTTTTGCACTACACAATTCCACTTTATCATGGCAACTTCCTATGGAATCTCAGGATTATAATTTGGTGAGGCGCTTGAGCTTTCAGGCTGAGAATTCTAAATATGCCTCCTGAAATATTAAATCCCAAGATTTGGTACCAATTTAAGTGGAATCACAACACTATATTTGTGTAGCATGTAAAGCCTCCTTCACAAAGTTGAAACTAGTATTATGGATGTATTCTTCCCAAGGGATGTCAGATGGTTGACTTCATTTGCCTTTCATTAGTTGGTGAGACAGTAATTTGTACACCTTTGAATCTTAAAAGTAGAATGGCTTCTTTAAGAGTGATTTAACTTTTTATAAGATGTGGTCATGGCAGCTAAAGGATTGGTTTGTTTTGTTTTAAAATTATTAGGAGTCTTCTTAACAGTGCTGGGTGACCTTTATTGTACCATATTGAGCAAATGTTTATTGTCTGCTATCCAGCAGGTGTAGGAAACTGCAATCTATTATACAATTAAACTTGTAAAATATGGTTGAAATTCATTGGATTGTAGCTGAAGGGAGATATCAAAAATTACATGTGTTTATTATTATTATTATTATTATTATTATTATTATTATTATTTCCAACATTTCTTCCCCATCCTTCTCAGGATGGCTTACACTCGGCAACAATTCAATGCCGCAACATATAGACAAATACAACAATATAACAACAATTTAAAACAAAAGAACATTAAATTAAAAACAATTAAAAGCATTATTGTCAACCATATAGTCATTCCAGTCCAATTCTGCATCAAAAGTGCTCTTATGCCTGCTGTCCAAAAGCCTGGTCCCAGAACCATGATTTCAATTTCTTCCTGAAAGACAGGAGGGATGAAGCAGACCTAATCTCGCTGGGAAGCGAGTTCTAAAGGCAGGGGGCCATCACCAAGAAGGCCCTGTCCCTCGTCCCCACCAAATGCATTTTTGAAGCTGGTGGGACCGAGAGCAGGGCCTCCCCAGACGATCTTAAACTGCAAGGTGGGAGATAGGGGGAGATACGTTCGGACAAGTAAGCTGGGCCAGAACCGTATAGGGCTTTATAGGCCAAGACTATGTGTAGGTACATAGACTGAAAGTTTAATGTACAATGTATACCTTGATATACGTTTGCAGAAACACACACATCATATGTCCTCCCTGTTGAACATATATTCAATTTTATACCTGGGTGTTCTGTTGCACATTGTGGGCATAAATGCACAGAGTTACAATTCCAGTGAAGATTAAACATGTTTGGGTTAATGTGAGTTTTCTGGGTGTATGCCATTTCCAGAAGCATTCTCTCCTGACGTTTCGCCCACATTTATGCCAGGCATCCTCAGACCTCACCTCATAGATGTGGGTGAAATGTCAGGAGAGTATGCTTCTGGAACATGGCCATACAGCCCAGAAAACTCACAGCAATCCAGTTATTCTGGTCAAAAAAGCCTTTGACAACACATTAAATATGTCTTTTTGGGAAGATTTTTAAGCAAATAGCATGACATAAAAAGATGCTGCTTACTTGTATTGGTTTGCCTTCATCCCATGTGGCATTTTCACTGAGAATGCAACTATTACGATCTCTCTCTTCTGCCCATTAGATCCGTCACCTGTTCAACTGATTGTTCAGTTTTTGGAACAGGCTTCCAAACCTTTAGTGAATGAGCAGAACCAGGTTCAGCCTCCCCCTGATAACAAGAGAAACCGTATTTTGAAATTACTTGCCTTGAAGGTTGCTGCACATTTAAAGTGGGATTTGGATGTCCTGGAGAAAAGGTATGAATCACTTTCTTGGTCATTGCTATATATTCCGAAAGAAATGCAGGAGAAATGTAATAAAAAACCTTAGAGAGTTCCTATGAAAGCAGGGGAGAATTTGTGGCCCTTCAAATTTTCTTGGACCAGATTTGGGGGGCAGTAATTTGGAAAAGTAAATACCATATATACTCGAGTATAAGCCGAGTTTTTCAGCCCTTTTTTAGGTTGAAAAAGCCCCCCTCAGCTTATACTCGAGTCAAAGTTATTTATTATTTTACTCTTGTTATTATTATTATTATTATTATTATTACATTTATTATTTTACTTTATTATTATTATATTTATTATTTTACTCTATTATTATTACAACAATCCATAGAAATATATATCTGGTCATTTACTCAAAATATTATTATTACATTTATTATTTTACTCTATTTTTTTTAATACATTTATTATTTTACTCTGTTATTACTGTTATTACTACATTTCCATTATTTTACTCTATTATTACATTTTTACATTTATTATTTTACTCTCTTTATTATTACTGTCATTACATTTATTATTTTACTCTGTTAGTATTACATTTATTATTTTACTTTATTATTGTTGTCATTATTGCATTTATTATTTTCCTTCATTATTATTTTTATTACATTTATTATTTTACTCTCTTTATTATTATTGGAAGGATACCTAAGCACATTTACACTGAAGAAGGTTAGAATAATGCTTTAATCAGAGTTAGACAGTCTTATCTTAAATTACAGTTTTATGTAAATATTCAAAAACATTTAACCTACTGTTGCGTCAATTAATGTAATTTTATTGGCATCTATTTTTATTTTGAAATTTACCAGCAGCTGCTGCATTTCTCACCCTCGGCTTATACTCGAGGCAATACATTTTCCCATACTTTTGTGGTAAAATTGGGTGACTTGACTTATGTTTGGGTTGGCTTATACTCAAATATATACGGTAGTTTTAAGTTATGCTTTCAGTACTTAAAATAAAACTCAGTTCCCATTATAGATGTGGGTTTCTTTGTTTTTTAACTTTACTGTTTCTAGAAACAATGTGTTGGTTTAAAAAATATGAGAAAAATGGGAATAAGGAATGCACGAAGAATGGAAATAAGGAATTGGCAGAATGGGGAAATTAAAATCTGAATGTCAAGACCTATATTTCTGAGACAGTTGTGGTTGAAGGGGAAAAAACAGGAAACTGTTTTGAATTACAAACTCATCATCGCCTTGTTTTTTTCTTTTAGCTTGTCTGTCCCTGTATTGAACATGCTGCTAAACGAATTGCTGTGTATTAGCAAAGTCCCCCCAGGAACCAAACATGTGGATGTGGACCTCGCAAGTGTACCTCCGACCACCGCAATGGCTATACTACTCTATAATAGATGGTGAGGCCTTAATTGTTTTGATTGTAGATACAGTAGGTCAGCAGAGTTGGAAATACCAAGTTTAAATGAATCCTTAGTCATTTAAATATGTGCTTTTAGAAAATCAAAAATTGTAATTCAGAGATGTTTTCTTTCACATTTAAACCAGTAGTCATAAATAAATAAAATTATATAAAATATCCCCACCTTAGAGTACAATATCTATTATTGCCATTTTGCTAACTGGGCATTTATGCACCATCCAGATGACTCTGGGAAAAGTGTCACACATTTTCTTTGCCACACATCTCAGGAATACAAAAGTACTGAGCTTGAGAAGGCCATACTTTTGGCTCATTTTCCTGTTTACCTATAGACCCTGGTAGATTAGATTATGATTTTTGAAGATAGCATCCAGTTTTTAGGAAATAAAAGGCTGAAATGAGGGGGTACCCCTTTCCCTGTGAACTTGAACACTGTTCTTCCACAATAAGAAAGCGGTTGAAGCTAGTGAAATCGATGTGTGAACTATTGCTGATTAATTCTCCTGGATTTTTAATTACCATACATACTCGAGTATAAGCTGACCTGAATATAAGCCGAGGCATCTAATTTTACCATAAAAGCTGGGAAAAAATATTGACTTGAGTTCACTCCGAGGGTGGGAAATGCAGCAGGTACTGGTCAATTTCAAAAGAAAACTAGATGCCAATAAAATTATATTAATTGAAGCATCAGTAAGTTAAATGTTTTTGAATATTTGCATAAAACTAATTTAAGATACGATCGTCCAACCCTGATTAAAGCATTATTCTAATCTTCTTCAATGTAAATATGCTTATGTATCCTTCCAGTAATAATAAAGAGAGTAAAATAATACAAATGTAACAATAACAGTAATAAAAGCATAAAATAATAAATGTAATAAAAATAAATAGAGCAGAATAATGTAATAATAGAGTAAAATAATAAAAGTACAGTAACAAAAGTAATAATAATATAGTCAAATAATGTAAATGTAGTAATAATAATGAACAGAGTAAAATATAAATGTAATAAACATAATAAACATAATAAACATAATAATAATAATAATAATAATAATAATAAATAACATAGTAAAATAATAAATAACCTTGACTGGAGTATAATCCAAAGGGGGCTTTTTCAGCCTAAAAAAGGGCTGAAAAACTCTGCTTATACTCAAGTATATACGGTATGTTAATGCTTTCTAGTCATGCTTCTTTTTAAAACATTTTTTAAATCAATGTTGTTCTTATGAAACATTTTCTGCAAGTAATCTGCTTTTGCCGTAGTGTTTGTTGGGAATCTTTTGCTCTCTCAAGCCTTTTAAATCTTGCCTATTTAATCTCTGATATGTGTTGTGAATTAAAGTATTACACTATTTCATGATTTTATTGCATTTTAATGTGTTGCATTTTCGTTGTCTTGACTTCATCTATATGCCTATATTCTTATCATTAAAAAAATTAAGTTTGCCAACTTGTCTGTGATATTTTTATTACCTGAGATGTTTTTGTTATTACATGTCTATGTAAGCATGATACACTTCAGTTTCTGCTTTTGTTTCAGTAGCAGAGACTCATACTTTAAAATGCAATGTCTATAGGATCTGTCTGTTCACAAGATGTAAGTGATTATTTTCTAATTATTTTTTCTTTATTGTAACAGGGCAATTAGAACCATTGTCAAAAGTAGTTTTCCTGTCAAGCAAGCAAAACCTGGTCCACCTCAGTTAAACGTGTAAGTTTATCTTTTTGATCTTTACTGGCACCAAATTTACATCTATTCAGCAGAATATGAACACAGTTTTTAATATTTGAATAGTACATTTAGAATTCTATTTCTCCCTTTTGTTTAGAATGAATCAGGTCCAACAAGAAAAAGAAGTAACAGAAAACATTTTAAAAGTGGTAAGTATTAAATATGAATGAAGTGTCAAGACAAAATTGCACTATGTAACATGACTTTTGTTCCTGGATTATCAATGTCATTTCCTAATTGGTTCTATCATAAAATATGGGAAAGTTTATTAAACTGCAAAAGCTTTGTTTTTGAGGGAGGGACATCCTGCAGCACATTTTGCTATAGTTTTTCAATGAATATCTCATTGAGTTTCAACCAATTCAACATAGTTTGTGGCAGCCACACAAATGAGGTTTCTGGAGTTTAACAACTGCTTTCAAAGTAAGTACTGCATAATTATATAGAAATAACACTTTCAAACTAGAAACAGATCCCCCTCCCCCAAATTTTGTTAGACATTGTTATCAGCTTGGAACATGAGCCAAATTTAGATCCTTCCTGTTTAAACAAGGTCCCTTGTAAGTTTCATGTGCACACTAATGCTATCCCTATTTTGGAGCTGTTTCCAGTTCCATTGTTGTTTATTTATTCAGTCACTTCCGACTCTTTGTGACCTCCTGGACCAGCCCATGCGAGAGCTTCTTGTTGACCGTCACCACCCCCAGTTCCTTCAAAGTCAAGCCATTCACTTCAAGGATACCATCCATCCATCTTGCCCTTGGTTGGCCCCTCTTTCTTTTTCCTTCCATTTTCCCCAGCATCATTGTCTTCTCCAAACTTTCCTGTCTTCTCATTATGTGACCAAAGTACTTCATCTTTGCCTCTAATATCCTTCCCCCCAGTGAGCAGTCAGGTTTTATTTCCTGGAGTATGGACTGGTTGGATCTTGGCACTCTCAAAATTTTCCTCCCAACACCACAGTTCAAAGCATCTATTGTCCTTTGCTCAGCCTTCCTTATGGTCAAACTCTCACATCGTTAAAGCAATGGTATTCCCCACTGGCAAAGATGTGGACCTTCTTTACCAGTGTGATGTCTGTACTCTTCACTATTTTTTGAGATTGAACCGTTTTCCAATTTATGTTCTCCCTACCTCTGGCAGCACAAGAAAAGAGCAGATTATTAAGCTTTCTTTATAGTGATAGATGTTGGCCAGCGAACATTGTAGATGAGTGAGAATGGGAGAAAAGTGTCCAATATTAGATATGGTAAAAAAGAGTTTATGAACATGTTTCTGTATTGCTCACTAGCCATTTTGAAACAAACACCATAGCTCTGTTCTAAAACCCAGTTTCTTTACCTGGAGATGGATTATATGCATCCGACTGCCATTTACCTTACCATTACAAAGAAAGAAATGGTGACTAGCAATATGTTTCTTTTTCAAACGATTCCCCTATTGCCTCCTAATTGAATTTATTTGTAATGACCATATTTCCAGTTTCTTGTTTGAAAGTGGGCCTGGGGTCATTCTGTTTCTTTGTATTTTTTCAGTATACAAACAAATCTTACCCTCTCCCCTTAGTAGGGATGGGAGTAGCAAACATTTATTAGCTTCGGGCCTGATCCTATTCTGTTTCTACTGGAACAGAGAAAAATAGAGCTCTTTTTAATATGTTTGAAATACCTCTTTTGAGTAAATGACCAGATATATATTTCTTTGGATTGTTGTAGCTGAAAGAGCAGGCTGATGATTCCATTCTGGTGCTAGAAGGAGCTCTCAAACTGAATAAAGATCTTTACATTCACACCATAAGAACTCTTGACTTGCTGGCCATGGAACCTGGGATGGTTAATGGAGAAACAGAGAGTTCTGCAGCTGGATTCATCATCAGCTCCGAGGAAATGCAGTGTCAAGTATGTCTTCTGCTGTAACTGAAAAATTAATTTTCGAAATGATGTACTGTATATACTCAAGTATAAGCTGAGTTTTTCAGCGCTTTGTTTAGGCTGAAAAAGCCCCCCCCCCCCCCCCGGCTTATACTCTAGACAGGGTTATGCATTCTTTACCCTGTTATTATTATTACATTTATTATTTTACTCTATTTTTTATTATTACATTTACATTATTTTATTCTATTATTTGATGACATTTATTATTTTACTCTATATATTATTATTATGACATTTATTATTCTGCATTATTGTTAATACATTTATTATTTTACTGCTTTATTATTACATTTATTTTTACTCTATTATCACTATTATTTTACCCATTCTTATCACATTTATTATTTTACTCTATGTATTATTATCATATTTATTATTTTATTGTTATTGTTATTATACTTGTTATTTAACTCTATTTATTATTATAACATTCATTATATTACTCTATTATTATTATTATTATTGTTATTATTACATTTACATTATCTTACTCTATTACTATTTTGTCACATTTATTATTTTACTCTATTATTTGAAGAATACGTAAGCACATTTACATTGAAGAAGGTTAGAATAATGGTTTAACAGTCTTATTTTAAATTACAGTTTTATGTAAATATTCAAAAACACTTAGCCTACCGATGCCTTAATTCATGTAATTTTATTGGTATTTATTTTTATATTGAAATTTACCAGTAGCTGCTGCATTTCCCACCCTTGGCTTATACTCGAGTCAATATCTTTTCCTAGTTTTTTTTGTGGTAAAATTAGGTGCCTCAACTTATATACGGGTCAGCTTACGTTCAAGTATATACAGATTTCAGTGTCATCATTTGTCAAGATTGTGACAAATGCATAAATAATTTCCTAACATTTGAATCTTGCTTGTTTCAGGTCTGCTATGATTTAGGGGCCATCTACTTTCAACAGGGTTCCATGAACTTTGATCTATATGTAAATGCCAGAGAGAAATTTTTTAGAACCAAAGAACTGATTTCAAAGGTGAGTTGTTCAAATGCATTGCGATTTGTACAAATGTAACCAAGTGCTTTGTGGAGTGCAGTTGTGTGTAGCACAGTCCTTTGTGCAGTTAAGTTTCCTTGTTTCCAGTGAATGCTACTCTTTAGCAAATGTATTTAGTGATGAAGCATAAATAGAATAAAGATCTGCAATAATATTCTGATAAACTGTTTTCAAAACTTCCCATTTAAAAAACAAGCACATTAACATCATAACTGCAGATCTAGCTTAGTTAATGAAATACTGGAGATGCATTCCCACGGTTTGCTTTCTTTACTTTGGCACCAGAAATTGAAATGAATGATATGGAAACAGTAGGAACAGGTTTCTACACCACAAAAAAAGAACAGTTTGACATGTTTCAACAAATGTTTTATTCCAAAACTAACATTATACACATTATATATATAAACACACATCTACAATAGAATCACCTAGAGCAGGAATGGACTAACTTCAGCCCTCCGGGTGTTTTGGACTTCAATTCCCACAATTCCTAACAGCCTACTGGCTGTCATGTCCCCTCTCAGCTTTCTTTTCTCCAAGCTAAACTTTCTCAGCTTCCTAAGGTACTCCTCATACGGCTTGGTTTCCAAACCTTTGGTCATTTTGGTTGCCATTCTCTGGACACTTTCCAGCTTATCAATATCCCTCTTAAATTGCAGTACCAAGATGGGACATTATACTCCAGGTGGCTGTGTAAAAAGGAGCATTTTGTCAGATATTTTGTCAATTGAGATATGCATATGAGAGTTCTACTCACCCAAGTAACAATGAGCAGACTGAATTGTGAAAGGCCCAAATAGAAAAATATCTAATTGACAATCTTGATTCAACAGTTTCATGGTTTCAAATAAATCATTCAGATTACTCAGTCCTTTGTGCTTAGTAAAATTAAAGCCATAGGAACTCATATTACTCTTAGACAGAATTATGATACATATACATACATATTTAAATTGCGGTTAAATCCCTAAGTATTGTATTTGAAAGTCTGCATCTTGGCCAGTGAACTGTTTACGTCATTGATACAAGTCTGATACATGGCTGTTTTTCAGATTGGTTCATCACTTCACTGCATCATAGATGAAAGGAGGTTAGCTGGCTACTGCCAGGCCTGTGGAGTCCTTGCACCCTCTGACAATACCTCATCCCCATCAACTCCTTACAGTCAAATCCATAGCTGCTTAAGATCTGGCAATTATCAGGTAAACTATTTTCAAAATGTGCTGTGCTAATTACAGTAGATATTAGCATATCATAATATACTTCATCCCTCGAGTGCATTATTATTTGATGTAGTGAATTAACTGTATTGCACTTTGAATTTGCTGTGTAAGTTTTTTTTAATTGGGTTTCATGTTAAAATTACTTTGATATATAGCATCAAAACATTGTATTGTGCCTGAAATAGATTAATTGCTATGTGATGCGTGCTTTTGTGCTTTTGGTTTTCCAGTAATTAAGGTGTTGCCAGGAATCTTCTCGTCATTTTAGCTTTGTTCTTAACATTGTTGAGAAAACTGTTGCCATTTGTTGAAGTTTTTGAACAAGCGTTGTCATAGTTCGGACATTATTTTATTGTTGTGCATTGATATTCTGTTTAACAAACTGGCCTCAGTCAATGTGTTGTCGAAGACTTTCGTAGCCAGAATCACTGGGTTGCTGTGAGTTTTCCAGGCTGTATGGCCTTGCTCCAGAAGCACCGTCCCTGACATTTCTCCCACACCTATGGCCAGCATCCTCAGAGGTTATGAGGTCTGTTGTAAACTAGGCAAGTGAGGTTTATATATATATATATATATCTATGGAATGTCCAGGGTGGACGGATGAACTCAAAAACAGGGGAATTCCATACAAGAAACAATCAAGGCCAGCTGATCTCCCCCCAACAAATGATCCCCAGGCAGGAAGCAGCCAAGCCTTGAAGCTGCAAGGCTATTCAGTGCGAATCAAGGTGATCACTTGCAGCATTCACACTTGCCTCAAGCAGAAAAGAGTTCTTTCTCCTACTCTGGACATTCTACACATATATAAACCCCACTTGCTTTGTTTCCAATAAACATCACAACCTCTGAGGGTGCCTGCCATAGATGTCGGGAACACATCAGGAGAGAATGCTTCTGGAACATGGCCATACAGCCGGGAAAACTCACAGCAACCCAGTAACATCAGTTAGTTTGTCTTGGTTATTTATTTAATTTAATGTGTAAGCCGTCTGACTTGCAAGGAGCTCAGAATGGTACATTAATATAATGATGTTTCATATTGCCATGAAAGTGAAACAGCTTTCTTGTGTTTATAACTTAGGAGCTGGTGAAGATTATCCTTGAAGATAACCGAACTCCAACTTTACCTGTTCAGTTCAGGCAGTCAGTGCTCAGAGAACTCTCCCAGAAAGCTCAACAAGGGTGAGAGAACTGAAATGGAGGAATAATTCAGAAGCATATATTATTTGTTAACTGTTTGAATCTCTGAGAAGGTTGATATTTCCAACAAAATATGTATGTCTTGCATCATCTCAGACTTGGAAATGTTTGAGATTTTTTTTCTAATTAGGTTTGAAGTGCATTCCCACCACTTAAATTTTCCAGAAGTATGTGTATGAAGAGCCTGTAGTTAATGTTGCTCCTTTGAAGAATGACTTTTTAAACTAATTAAATGATTCAGGACAAGAGAGAGTTGTCACTGTGAATTTGACATAAATACATAGTGAGGCATGAAATTGATTTCCTACAAAGTGTAAAGATCAATATGAACTGAGACTGGGTTATTCATGTTGTTAATTTCTTATGTCTGAGCCATACATTGAAGAGTTTTATCAATAATGTTGTGTGTGTGTGAAGGCCATTTGACAAAAACATTTGTTTAAAATATGTTTGCAAAAAGCAGCCAATTCTGTGTGTGTAGATACACACGCTCTCTCACATACATATATATACACATAATGTACTCTGTATATAGCTTCAATTATGTGTGACGATATCTTTCTTTCAAAAGGGCATATATAATTGCTGTTAGCTGGGTTTTTTTCATTTTTTTATGGGCATAAATATATTGCCCACATGGTTTCTAAAATCAGATCCTACACTCAGCAGTTCCTTTGTCTCTTCCAACATACATCCTTCTGTGTTTTTTGCAGGGATGCTCTTCTGGACGAAATATGTTTCAAAGTTTGTGCCTGCAACAGTGTTTGTGATGTGATGCATGGTCGGCCGGTTGGTGTCCAGTTCAGTCAGCTATTTCTTAGGCCCACCAAGGAAAAAGTAGACTTTCTCCTTGAGGTAAGGAATTGTCTTTAATCTGAGGCATAAATACTTAATCTGTCTTTGAACAGTATCTTAACTTTCTTTCTTTGTGTATCTCACTCATCTTAACTCACCTTTTAAATTGTGTAATTTGAAATGTTGCCCTTTAGCTATAGTTTTTCAAATGTGTGTTGCCTCTGTGATACTTACAGATTATTGACCTGTTCAAGCAGTCAATTTGTGCCACCTTGATTTATTGGCACCTAACTTAAATGCATTGGTTAGAATGATCAAACAACCCAATATACGGCTTCCTGCTTCAGAATACTGAAAACAAGAAGGCAATACACACTCTACATAATAAATTAAATTTATGGTTATATACCATGGAGTGACATTGTCTTTCTTCCTCTTTTCATCACAAAAAAACAAACAATTTCCAGGGCCTGTTTTTCCTGTTTTTCTTACTATTTACAGTTTGTGCAGTTTTTACTGCACTTTTTCCTAATTAGTTTTAGTTAGTTTTATTACTTGTCTTGAGTATTTGGAAGTAGAATAGTATCAATTCTTTTCCTCTCAGAGAAAAGGAGACTGTATTATGATACTGTATAAATGATATGTTTTTAAATAAACCCCTCCAAAACTTCCACAAAACATTTTAGGTTTTCTGGCAAAGGTAATTTAATTATTTGTTTTCACTTCCTAGGTATGTTCAAAATCATTACAGGTAGAAACGGCTTCAGAATCTTCAAAAAGGAAAATGGCCTATTTTCTGAAGTAAGTGCGTAATATGAGACAGATTGTGCTACTTGTTCAATACATTCAACTAGTGTTGTTTCCAAGTTTAATGCTAACTAGATTGTATTACGATATATCAGTGACACTGTTAAGAATAACTTTTCGATCATTTTAAAGCATATCTTCTTTTTATTGCAATTTTCCAGTATGAGAAAGGGTATCAGAACTTTTACAGAACAACATTTAGACATACAGATTCTATGTAACTACATTTAATTCACAAGCAACCTACAGTTACATTGGCTACCAAACAAAGGGGAATACATTTTTACTCAGCATTCACATTATATATACACGTTCATCGATCACCATGCATACAACACCATTTCACTGTTCTTCCTCCATGAAGAACATCTCTTAGGCCCGACTACTTCCTTGCAAATATGCCACTTTTCCAATACAGTAGAGTCTTGCTTATCCAACATAAACAGGCTGGGAGAACGTTGGATAAGCAAAAATATTGAATAAGGAGGGATTAAGGAAAAACCTATGAAATGTTAAATTACATTATGATTTTACAAATTAAGCACCAAAACAACATGTTTTACAACAAATGGACAGAAAAAGCAGTTCAATACATGGTAAAGTTATGTAGTAATTACTGTATTTACAAATTTAATACCAAAACATCGCAATATATTGTAACAACTGTGGATCTGGGTGTGGGGCAGACTGCGTTGGATAATGCAGAACATTGGATGAGTGAAGGTTGGATAAGCGATACTCTGTTGTACTTCCAGAATGCCAAAATGCATCCTCTTTTCTTAAGAACAACTCCAAAATCCCAGTCCTTTCTGTTCCCTTGAGAAAAGAAGGCAAGTGACCAGACTGCATTCCATTGCAGATCTGCCACTCCCAAATACATCCACCATCTCTCTCAATAGGGCATAGCGGGAGAACTGCACCACTGTCAGTCACAATTTTTGGATTGTAATAAGGTCTCTTATATTCCAATCTTTTTGCTAACTTTGTTCCAAAATTGTAAATGAATGAGAGCTGTTTTTACATCCTGAAACATCCTGGCTTTATCTCTTCCTGGACAAAGGTTGACTCATCTTGATTGGTATTGGTAAATGCAAGCCTTGTCTTGACTTCCTTCTTAATGTAAAGAAATCCTATAAACATTTCCTTAACTTAAAGAGCCATTGCCTCTGATTAATGTAAACATGTTGTTTCCCCCCAAAAGTGCAACAGTTAATCATTTTCACAGTTCAGCAATTCAGCAACTTTTAATTACAGTTCCTGAGTGTAGTTCTTTTTCAGGCCTCCAATCTTCAAAATGGTATCTCCAAAATTATTAGCTTTCATTCATACACCTTTCATACAATTCCATTCAAACGGTATTTCATATTTCATAATGACACTAGGGAAATGATAATCTCATGGGGGGGGGGCATAGCAAAGAGTGAATAAATGATGAAATAGTTTCCTTTTCAGTCTTTCTGGAACTGGTTGCACTTACTTCAAAATGCAATAATAACAACTATATGCCTGATATAAATATTATTTGTAGTGACCAGTTAGAATCCGCTTGTTTAATCTTTAAATGAATTTTGAAATTGATTTTGCTGAAAAGATGCAACATGATTTGTATCTGTTTTTATGCAGGAATCTCTGCTTGGGTTTGGAAGATCTCCAGTTGGTCTTCATGATTTCTTCCCATGAGCTCTTCATGGCGTTGCTAAAAGATGATGAGCGAAAATTGCTCATTGATCAGATGAGGAAAAGGTCACCTCGGGTCAATTTGGGCACTAAACCTATAACTTCATTTTATGATATTCCAGGTAATTTTCTCCACACTTAAAATGATCAGATTTCTAAAAGTTCTCAAAGCAAAAATTAAAACAAAATGTTCTAATGAATCTGGATTGAGTGAAATGTAACCAGCCTGTGGAACATAATTCTGTGCCATGAGTGTTAGTAGTCACAACTGTGCCTTTACCCTTTTTGATTAACCTTGAGCCATCTCCTTTCTTTTTAAAGTAAGTATATGGAGGGGAGATTGTCCATTATTTCATCTAAGTTTTCATCTTGGTTTAACTACCCTAACGTAGATTCCTTGTGCCAAATGCAAATATTTTCTTCCAGCCTCAGCAAGTGTCAATATTGGTCAGCTGGAACATCAGCTCATATTATCAGTGGATCCTTGGAGAATCCGCCAGATCTTAATTGAATTGCACGGCATGACAGCAGAACGCCAGTTCTGGACAGTTTCTAACAAGGTAGTTTTATTTCTGAGTGACATAAATGTGGCATAACTTGAGTATAAATCTAGTTTTTCAGCCCTTTTTTTAAGCTGAAAAAGCCCCCCTCGGCTTATACTCGAGTCAAAGTTATTTATTATTTTATTCTGTTGTTATTATTATTACATTTATTATTTTTCTCTGTTATTATTATTACATTTATTATTTTACTCTATTTATTACTACATTTATTATTTTACTCTATTATTATTATTATTACATTTATTATTTTACTCTATTTATTATTGCATTTATTATTTTACTCTATTATTATTATTATTATTATTATTATTATTATTACATTTATTATTTTTCTCTGTTATTATTGTGGCATTACAGCTTTATGTAAATATTCAAAAACATTTAACCTATTGATGCCACAATTAATGTAATTTTATTGGTATCTATTTTTATTTTGAAATTGACCAGTAGCTGTTGCATTTCCCACCCTCGGCTTATTCTCGAGTCAATACGCTTTCCCAGTTTTTGCGGTAAAATTAGGTATTCGGGTTGAGTTATACTTGAGTACATACATTATATCTCAGTTAATAATACATCTGTTTTTATTTGTTTTTAAGTGGGAGGTGCCAAATGTTTATGGCAATGTAATCCTGGGAATTAAAGATAGCTTGACTAGAGATTTAGTCTACATTCTGATGGCAAAAGGCCTGCATTGCAGTACAGTTAAGGTAAGCAAACTTGCATGTCTATTTTGAATGCTTCTCATTAACTTACTTGAATGTAACTGTCTCAATCGCTTTCCAATAATTCATTGTTTTACTTTGAAACTGCTATAGTCTATCACATAAAAATAAACTTTAAAAAACATATATGGCAAACCCAGGATTAAATATTGTATTAGATATAGAAATTACATAAAAACCTATTAATAATTTTCTACTTTTTATACACTTGCCTCCTTTTTGTAATGTCTAATATTTTAAATGTGTCATAGTTAGCACTCAGAGCAAATGAAAGCAAGGAATGGAGAGATATTAAAAGCAAGGGGATGCAAAAAATATGATAATTTTTCAGCTACAGCTAAAGGATAAGAATTGAGATGAGTTATACCTTCTCTTCTTTGGGGTAAAGCATTAGTATTTGCCCTCAATGAGTACCAATTCTTTTGCAGTTTAAGTTTTGGAAGACAAAATATGGTGATTTTTAAGATTTGTTTTAGTACATTAATACCACTACATACTCCTTTTTTAAAATGTTGGTTCTGCAACAGAAAATCAGACAAATTCCTCATGGTTTCTTTTGTCACAGGATTTTGTTCACGCCAAACAGCTTTTTGCTGCCTGCCTTGAGCTTGTGACGGAGTTTTCTCCAAAGCTCCGCCAGGTCATGCTGAACGAGATGCTCCTCCTGGACATTTACACCCACGAAGCAGGAGCAGGCCTTTCGGGAGAACGTCCCCCTTCCGATCTAATCAGCAGAGTTCGGGGGTATTTAGAAATGAGGGTCCCTGGTAAGAACCTGTGGCTTCAGTACATGGCAAAAATTCTATTTTTGTAATGAGACACCAACCAAAATATTATCATGTTGCCTGTAATCACTGATTAAAGGTTTTAGTGTTAGCAAAGGGATCTATGCTGATGTACGGGGTTCATTTCCTCAAGCTCCCTTTTATTCTCATAGCAACCATATGTGTGGCGTGTGTGGCGTTCAGATCCGAGTGAGCCAAATCGAACACGGTTTGTGTCCTTTTTAAGGGCATATGCCGCGGCAATAAAAGCCGCAAAGAAGGCCTTCTTTGCGGCCACTATTGCGTCTGCAAAGAACCGTCCGGCTGAGCTGTTCCGAATTGTCAGAGGCCTTTTAAATCCCACCACTCAAGGTGGGAACCCTGACGATTCGACTTCTCGCTGTGAAGCTTTTGCTCAGTTCTTTGCAGACAAAGTCGCTTTGATCCGTTCTGGTCTGGATACCATATTAACGGCAGTCTCTGAGGATGTAACACGAGCATCTGCTTGTCCAGTTTTGATGGATTCATTTCAATTGGTGAAACCCGAGGATGTGGACAAGATACTTGGAGGAATGAGGCCAACCACATGCATCCTAGACCCCTGCCCATCCTGGCTTCTAAAGGAGGCCAGAGGGGGATTGGCTGAGTGGGTTAAGGTGGTGGTTAATGCTTTCCTTCGGGAAGGCAAGATTCCAGCAAGCTTAAAACAAGCTATAATAAAACCGCTGTTGAAAAAACCATCACTGGACCCCACTAAATTCGACAACTATCGGCCAGTTTCCAATCTCCCCTTCTTGGGCAAAGTCTTGGAACGTGTGGTGGCCTCACAACTCCAGGTATTCTTGGTAGACACGGATTATCTGATCCGGCACAGTCTGGCTTTAGGCCGGGACATGGTACCGAGACAGCCTTGGTCGCCTTAGTGGATGATCTGCGCCGGGAGCTCGACAGGGGGAGTGTGTCCCTGTTGGTGCTGATGGACCTCTCAGCGGCCTTCGATACCGTCGACCACGGTATCCTTCTGGGACGCCTCGCGGGGATGGGTCTTGGAGGTACTGTTTTGCAGTGGCTCCGGTCATTCCTGGAGGGTCGATCTCAGAAGGTGTTGTTGGGGGACACCTGTTCAACCCCACAAGCATTGTCTTGTGGGGTTCCTCAGGGCTCAATATTGTCTCCCATGTTGTTTAACATCTACATGAAGCCGCTGGGGGAGATCATCCGGAGTTTCGGGGTACGGTGTCATCTGTACGCGGATGATGTCCAACTCTGTCACTCCTTTCCACCTGCTACTAAGGAGGCTGTCCAGGTCCTGAACCGGTGCTTGGCCGCTGTGACGGTCTGGATGAGGGCGAACAAATTGAAATTGAATCCAGACAAGACAGAGGTACTCCTGGTCAGTCGCAAGGCCGAACAGGGCATAGGGTTACAGCCTGTGTTGGATGGGGCCGCACTCCCCTTGAAGACGCAGGTTCGCAGCTTGGGTGTGACCCTGGACTCATCGCTGAGCCTGGAACCCCAGGTTTCGGCGGTGACCAGGGGAGCATTTGCACAGCTAAAGCTTGTGCGCCAGCTGCGCCCGTACCTTGGGAAGTCTGACTTGGCCACGGTAGTCCACGCTCTGGTTACATCCCGTTTAGACTACTGCAACGCTCTCTACGTGGGGTTGCCTTTGAAGACAGCTCGGAAGCTCCAACTAGTCCAACGCTCGGCAGCCATGATTTTAACAGGAGCGGAGCGCAGGGAGCATACAACCCCCCTGTTGCGCCAACTCCACTGGCTACCGATCTGCTACCGGGCTGAATTCAAAGTGCTGGCGTTGGCCTTTAAAGCCCTAAACGGTTCTGGCCCAAGCTACCTATCTGACCGCATCTCTGCCTATGAACCCACCAGGACTTTGAGATCTTCCGGGGAGACCCTGCTCTCGATCCCGCCTGCTTCTCAAGCTCGGCTGGCGGGGACGAGAGATAGGTGAAGGTGGAGACCTGGATGTTTGTGCAGGCGTTTGAGTAATTTAGTGCAATCTGGTAATGGAACATAGGAATGGAACAATGGACGACGAACCTGGACTACGCGTGGATGATGAGAAGATTGGGTACGGTTGTTTTTTGTAATAATTGTGCATTGTAATTGCTTATTGGTAATTTATGGATAATGTGTTAAGTCAATTGTTATATGTTGTATGGAACCACTGCTGTTTCTACTGTTTTTACTGTTTGTGAACCGCTGTGAGTCGCCTTTGGGCTTGAGATACAGCGATATATAAGCAAAGTAAATAAATAAATAAATAAATAAACAGTATTCAAGAATATTTGAAAAATGTTTAAAGAGGCTTCTCAAACCAGACAAAGAATACTAAATGGGCAAGAATCTTTATGCCTTGGAACATATTCGGCCAAAGAAATCCACGTGGATTTTTTCGTTTTGTAGTTTTGCAAAGGAGGCCCTTGTGGTGCAGTGATTTAAACCACTGAGTTGTTGAACTTGCTGACTGAAAGGTCAGTGGTTCAAATTTTGTGCGAGGTGAGCTCCAGCTGTCAGCACCAGCTTCTACCAACCTAGCAGTTTGAAAACATATAAATGTGGGTAGATCAATAGGTACCGCTTCAACGGGAAGGTAACAGTGCTCTATGCAGTCATGCAGGCCACATAACCTTGGAGGCATCTACGGAAAACACTGGTTTTTCAGCTTAGAAATGGAGATGAACACCACCTCCCAGAGTCAGACACGACTAGGCTTAATGTCAAGGGAAAACCTTTACCTTTACTAGTTTTGCAAAAAGACTGATATTTTATATACAGAAAACACAGTCATTAGATTAGTAGGATGTAGCTTAAAAATATATATCTTTATAGTGTGCTTAATAAAGGTAAAGCTTTCCCCTGACATTAAGTCTAGTTATGTCCGACTCTGGGTGGGGGGGGGGGGGTGCTCATCGCCATATCTAAGCCGAAGAACCAGTGTTGCCCATAGACATCTCCAGGGTCATGTGTCTGGCATAACTGCATGGAGTGCCGTTACCTTCCTGCTAAAGCAGTACCTATTGATCTACTAACCTTTTCATGTTTTTGAACTGCTAGTTTGGCAGAAGCTGGGCCTAACCGTGGTAGTTCACCTTGCTCCCTGGATTCAAACTGCCACCTTTTCGGTCAGCAAGTTTAACAGCTCAGTGGTTTAACCCCCTGCACCATCAGGGTGCTTTCAGCACCTATAGTATGCTTTCTCACTTTATGATAGTTGTATTTCTTTTCTATCAATAAAAAAATTAAGAGCAAAGAAAAAATTAAAAAGTCTATGAGAAGCAAAAATTACATTGATTTAATTAAGTCTATATAAAATATAGAATGAACTATACTATATAAATTATTTTGTGTTATGGAACTACTCTTCATGGTTTGCTTTAAAAAAAAAATCAGCCACCCTTACCCCCTCAAAAAATTTTTTCTGGCTATGGCCCTGGCAGAGGTATATATCCTGGGTGTTCCATGAATCGCAATAGATCATTCTTCTTTTTTCAGAGTAGCCTCTGGTAATTAAAAAAATCAATCATAAACATATGGTGTAAATTCGTACATTTGAAATCTGCCCACATCTTCCCAGAATCTGATCTTTTATGTTATGTTTCATATGTATTTACCTTTAGATATTCCTCTTCGGCAAGTTGTAGCAGAGGAGTGTGCTGCCTTCTTGTTAAACTGGAGGGAGAATGAGTACTTAACTATGCAAGTTCCTCTTTCTTTGGTTCAGAACAATCCGTATGTTAAGGTATGTTTCACCACCAGATCCATTTGAGACTAGAGAATATTAAACAGTCTGCAGACTTATTTTCTGTATTATTCAAATACATTCAAATAAAATATATACATCCTATGAAGACATGTGAAGTCCAAAACTGTTATTAGAGGGACCATAAGAGTGTTACATCAATACTGATGTTTACATGGTGTGTAGGATGCCTATTTTCCAACAGAAGTGATTTTTTAAAAATCTTAGCCATGTACATGTTTTTGGGGAGTATCCTGAGGAATTATCTGGTTTGTAGCTAAGAAATTTGGCATCAGGTTTGATTTCCAGGTTTTAACCAATGTCCTATTGGAGAAAAAAGTCTTGAAAGCTAAATCCTTATTCAATGTGATGTTTTACTTCTTAGTTAGGACAACTTTTAGCGGCTACGTGTAAAGATCTGCCTGGTCCGAAAGAAAGCAGACGGGCAGCGAAAGACCTCTGGGAGGTGGTTGTGCAGATCTGCAGTGTATCCAACCAACACAAGCGTGGAAATGATGGCAGAGTGAGCTTAATAAAGCACCGGGAGTCAACATTAGGCATAATGTACAGGTAGGTTTCTATACTTGCGTGTTATATTGCAGCTCAAAGTCAAAGGATTTGTGCAGCCATTACAGAGTAATCACAACTCTGCTGCACTCAAATAACTTGATTGATTTTAATTAGACAATTCTAATTAGATAATTTTATGTATTTTGAGTTTGTATTGTCCTAGATTCGAACGGCATCAAATTGTTGTTGAGTGTTAGCTGCTCAGAGTCCCTCAATGAGGGAAAAAGGGCAGGGTATAAAACAAAGAAAATAAATAAATAAATAAATAAATAAATAGATAATGAGAAGGTATTCCGGTTTCAACTGAATGCTTATTTCCAATATTCTCTGGATTCTTTCTTTCTAGTTATTTGCTAGTTTGCAAGACCACCACATCTGGTTAAAAGTGCCCATGTGTGCTTCACATTGCCAACATTTATCTAATGTGTTTTTATAACATTTTGCCAATTTTTGTGGAGTTATACTTCCTACTAGATATGACGGATATGAAGTTAGATTAAAAATAAGGATCAATTGTTTAACTATTTTGTCACAGCTGCCAGAATAACATATACAAGAAATTGGAGAATTAAAGGTGTCCCAACAATAGAGGAATGGCTACTGAAAATAGCCGACAAAATCAGCATGGACAATTTGTCACAACTATTAACTAATTACCAAGGCAATGCAAAACAACAACAACAAACCAAACAAACAATGGACTGGTCACCTTTCAGAGAATAAGGAAGAAATAGAAAAACTGTTCACACTGAGAGAAAATATGAATGGGGGAAGAATAAGTTTAATAAGAGATAAAACAAAACCTTTGGAAACATGATGAAGCAGATTGGAAGCCAACAAAACTTCCAATACTTTCCCTGCCCTGCTTTTTACTTTCCCTGTCCCACATTTTACAACCCCTGTCATACCTTATATCCTTAGGTAATGAATACCTCCCCATAAGTAACAATTTCCTACAGTTTTACCCCAATAGCCCCTACCACCCCCTACGATGTCCCTATCCATTGTTGTTGTTGTTGTTGTTGTTGTTGTATTAAATATATCTACTAATAAAATATATTAAAAATAAAAAGATAATTATAAGATAAAAGAAAAGAGAGATTTGATATGTGAACAGGGGTCTTTGAAACCACAAACACACTATCAGTGCATCCTGTTTAAATGCAAGATTTTCATTTCCATCAATTTTCTGTAGCAGGAGGCAAGTTTTCAGGAGTAGGGCTTGAAAATCACCCTGGATCTGTAAGAGATCCTCATTTCCATGTTGGGAAGTGTGGACCACTCTTAACATTCTTTATCAAGTCTCCAAGAATAACAGTTTATTAATTACTCAGAATTTTCAGTTGTAGTTTTGTCTGTTGTTGAAACACCTTTTCACAATTGAATTATATTATTTATTGTTCCTGTTGAGGTTTATGTTTAAAACCTTATTTGTCACCATTACTTTTGGGCAGAAAACAATTGTAGAAATACTGTAAATGATTTAATAATAAACAGATTCTCTTCTTTTTCTAGGAGTGAACTGCTATCTTTTATCAAAAAGCTGAGGGTAAGTTTTGTTGTTAAAAGCTCTGAAAAATTTTACAAATCAGTGTTGAAAATATATATATATATATATATATATATATATATATATATATATATTCATGTCAGGAGCAACTGCAAGTCGCTTCTGGTGTGAGAGAACTGGCCATCTGCAAGGACGTTGCCCAGGGAACACCCAAATGTTTTGATGCTTTACCATGCTTGTGGGAGGCTTCTCTCATGTCCCCACATGGAAAGCTGGAGCTGACAGAGGGAGCTCATCCATGCCCTCCTTGGATTCGAACTTCTGACCTGTCAGTCTTCAATCCTGCTGGCACAAGGGTTTAACCCATTGTGCCACTGGAGCTCTATTATTTTATATTGCTGTTTAAACTTGCTTTTAAAAACTTTTAAAAATTGCATAGATTTGAAAGAAAAATACATACATGTATGCAAAGTGTTGCATTCTTCATTTTGTCAGATGCTAGTATAAATTTTCCAGCGAACTCTGCTTTCGCCCTGCTGCTTCCCTCTCCGAATGGCGATAGGCCATGAATTTGAAGAGGAAAGGCAGCCCTTTTGCTTTGCTTCGTTGTGCTGAAAATGAAATTGACTTTGGGAGGCTTCTGAGATTTCCAAAATTCAAACAAAAAAGTATTGGATAAGTTCTGGTTTTTAAGTTTTTGGCGCGGGTAATGCCCGCACATCAGGTATCATAGTACAAAATTTAATGAATTTTATACGTCTTACGATGACTAATGAAAAAATTTCACACCCCTAATGGAATTGGTGTTAATAAGAATCTTTGAAGTATTTGAAATATCAGTCAAAAGTCTCATGTGTTGTGAATGTAGAAACTTCATACTTTATGGAATCAGCATGAAAATCTGTCTAGTACTGAAAGGAACCATTGTTTGTGTAACTTTACATTTTTCTCTTATAGGAACCCCTGGTTTTGACAACAATGTTATCCTTGTTCGTGAAACTTCACAATGTTCGGGTCAGTGTGAGATTCCTTTTGTCAAGAAACTTTGGTTTTGATACCTGTCTCTTTGACACATTTCATTTATGAGACTTTTCTCCCTTCCAGGAAGACATTGTGAATGATATTACCGCAGAGCATATATCAATTTGGCCCTCATCCATTCCTAAGTAAGTGGAGTTTTTCCTAACTCCAGTTCTAGTAGTAAAGAAAAACGTGTCTAGAAAGATATAGAGAAAACCCTTTAAATTGTTTTTATTATGTGTGAGGACTTCAGGTTTTAGCTATGTTTTAAATTTAAATATAGTGAGCAATATTTTGAAACCTTTTCTTTTTTAGCTTACAGTCAGTGGATTTTGAAGCTGTATCTGTTACGATCAAAGAGTTAGTCAGCTATGCTCTGACTATAAATTCAAACAATCACTCCTGGTTAATAATTCAAGCAGATATTTATTTTGGTAAGTAAAATCTGTCATTTTCTTGCCTGATTTCCAAAATTGATTCTATTCTGTTCATTAATTGGCAGTTCTTTACCTAACTATACCACAGTCTTCTAAAATCCAGAAAAGTTACTTTTTAACAAAAATGGTAGTATCTCACAGCCAGCATTGCCATTTTTTATTTCTAGGAGTTGTAATACCAAAACAGTAGCTTGACCTATCTTGTCACAACTTAATTTTTAGTTAAAATGCTTTTCTTAGATGTGCCAGTGAATTTTGAAAACATCCCATAGCATTTCATGTACCCCTCCTGTTGGTTAAAATCCAGGGCTATCACATCTTAAAGCCTTAAAACTGGACAACTGAATATTTCCCTTTCAGTGTTTTGTAGATAATGGTATCTAAAGATGCAACTTGCCTTTGTTTTTCCTTTGCCTGTCTTGGGTTAGAACAATGGTTCTCAACCTTCCTAATACCCCGACCTCTTAGTAGAGGTCCTCATGTTGTGGTAACCCCCAACCATAACGTTATTTTCATTGCTACTTCATAACTGTAATTTTGCTAGTTATGAAAGGTCATGTAAATATCTGATATGCAGGATGTATTTTCAGTCACTGGACCAAATTTAGCACAAATACCCGATACGCCCAAAATTTGAATACTGGTGGGGTTGGCGGTGATTGATTTTGTCATTTGGTAATGCTGGAGTTGCTGGGATTTATAGTTCACCTTAAATCAAAGAGCCTTCTGAACTCCATCAATGATGGAATTGAATCAAACATAGCACACAGAATTCCCATGACCAAGAGAAAATATTGGGAAGGTCTGGTGGGAATTGACCTTGAGTTTTTTGAGTTGTAGTTCACCTATATTCAGACTGTGGACTCAAGCAAAGATGGATCTGGATCAAACTTGGCACAAATACTCAATATGCCCGAATGTGAACACTGGTAGAGTTTGGAGAAAATAGACCTTGCCATTTGGGAGTTGTAGTTGTTGGGATTTATAGTTCACCCACAATGAAATAGCACCCACAATGAAATAGCACCACCAATGATAGAATTGGACCAAACTTTCCACACAGAACCCCCATGACGAACAAAAAATACTATGTTTTCTGATGGTCTTTGGCGACCCCTCTGACACCCCCTCGCAACCCCCACAGGGGTCCTGACCCCCAGGTTGAGAAACACTGGGTTAGAAACTGAACTAGGGAGATAGCTACAGAGATGTTAAAGAACATTTATGTACTGTATATACTCGAGTATCAGCTGACCCGAATATAAGCTGAGGCACCTAATTTTACCACAAAAAAACTGGGAAAACATATTGACTTGAGTGCAAGCTGAGGGTGGGAAATGCCACAGCTACTGGCAAATCTCAAAATAAAAATAGATACCAATACAATTACATTAATTGAGGCACGAGTAGGTTAAATGTTTTTGAATATTTACATAAAATTGTAATTTAAGATAAGACTGTCCAACTCTGATTAAATCATTATTCTAACTTTCTTCAATGTAAATGTGCTTACGTATCCTTCAAATAATAGAGAGTAAAATAATAAATGTAATAAAAATAAGAATAATAGAGCAAAAGAATAAATGTAATAATAATAGAGTAAAATAAATGTAATAATATTAGAGTAAAATAATAAATATGATAATAATAAATAGAGTAAAATAATAAATGTAATAATAATAATAATAGAGTAAAAACAGAGGCTTGAGTAGGTTAAATGTTTTTGAATATTTACATAAAATTGTAATTTAAGATAAGACTGTCCAACTCTGATTAAACCTTCCAATAATAATAGAGTAAAATAATAAATATAATAAATACAATAATGATAGACTAAAATAATGTTAATGTAATGATAACAATAATAGAGTAAAATAATAAATGTAATAATAAAAATAGAGTAAAATAATAAATGTAAAAATAACAATAAGAAATAGAATAAAATAATAAATGTAATAAAAATAATAATAACAGTAATGATAATAATTTTGACTCAAATATGTGCTGGGGGGGGGGCTTTTTCAGCCTTAAAAATGGGCTGAAAAACCCGGCTTATAGTCAAGTATATACGATAAGTTCTGTTGATTCAGTGGCCCTGCTGTAGTTGGATTGAGGCCTGACTAAATTAAAAGTGCTAAGGGTTTTTGTTTTATTTATTTCTTCAATGTAGCAACGAATCAGTACTCGGCTGCCCTTCGCTACTACCTCCAAGCAGGAGCCGTGTGCTCAGATTTCTTTACGAAGATGGTGCCACCTGACATTTACACTGATCAGGTGAGTTCTGTAGTCAGAGGGCAGTAAACAAACAGCATGTATAGGCTCGCATGATGCTTTACAAATATAAAGCAGGAAGGTTAATAAGATAGCTATAATGAAGAGCCCATCAGTTCAAGTTCAAGTGAAACAGTTAGTTGATGGTTAAATAAATTGTTCTATGTTCCTTTTTGGACAGAAATAAAGTCTCAGGCCAGATGCATGAATTATTATATTATTATATTCTGGGTTCAGGGTAGTTCTGTCATCTAACTGGATACCTAATGACTTGTTTAATACCAAAAATCTCTCTCTTCAGGTGATAAAGCGTATGATAAAGTGTTGTTCTCTGCTCAACTGCCATACACAGGTAATGACATATGGGCATATGTTTAGTGTTGTAGTTGCTCACTCCTGGGGATAAAAAGAAATCTCAAAATAAGTTTATATATAAGAATATAAGAAAATGACTTTTCTTCTGCCTGCTTTGTGACAATATGTTGTCGAAGGCTTTCGTGGCCAGAATCACTGGGTTGCTGTGAATTTTCCAGGCTGTACGGCTATTCCAGAAGCATTCTCTCCTGACGTTTCATCCACATCTATGGCAGGCATCTTCAGAGGTTAAAGTGTCTGTTGGAAGCTAAGCAAGTGAGGTTTATATATCTGGAATGTCCAGGGTGGGAGAAAAGACTCTTGTCTGCTTGAATGTTGCAATTGGCCCCCTCGATTAGCATTTAATGGCCTTTTAGCTTCAAAGCCTGTCTGATTACTGCTTGGGGGATCCTTTGTTGGGAGGTGTTAGCTTGCCCTGATTGATTCTTATCTGGTATTTCCCTGCTTTTTGAATGTTCCTTAGGTTCATTAGGTGCTTTGCTATGGATGACTTCTCAGGTTGAATTAGTCTGCAGTACCTTTTATGTTCGATAAAATAGTAAAGAGTAGAGACATCAGACTGGCAACAAAGATCCGCATAGTCACAGCCATGGTATTCCCTGTAGTAGCCTACGGATGTGAGAACTGGACCTTAGGGAAGGCTGAGCGAAGGAAGATCGATGCTTTTGAGCTGTGGTGTTGGAGGAAAGTTCTGAGAGTGCCTTGGACTACGAGAAGATCCAACCAGTCCATCCTCCAGGAAATAAAGCCCGACTGCTCACTGGAGGGAAGGATACTAGAGACAAAGCTGAAGTACTTTGGCCACTTCATGAGGAGACACCAAAGCCTGGAGAAGACAATTATGCTGGGGAAAGGGGAAGGTAAAAGGAAGAGGGGCCGACCAAGGGCAAGATGGATGGATGGCATCCTTGAAGTGACTGGACTGACCTTGAAGGAGCTGGGGGGTGGTGACAGCCGACAGGGAGCTCTGGCGTGGGCTGGTCCATGAGGTCACGAAGAGTCAGAGACGACTGAACGAATGAACAACAACCTTTTATGTTCCTTGATTTGTTTGGGCATTGCTGCGTTTGGTGGTCCCAACGTAGACTTGTCCACAGCTGTATGGCAAGTGGTAGATTCCAGATCCCCCCCCCAGGCAGGAATCAGCCAGGCTTTGAAGCTACAAGGCCATTAAGTGCTAATCAAGGTGGCTAATTGCAACATTTACACTTGCCTCAAGCAGAAAAGAATTCTTTCCCCCACCCTGGACATTTCAGAGATATATAAACCCCACTTGCCTAGTTTCCAACAGACCTAACAATCTCTGAGGATGCCTGCCATAGATGTGGGCAAGACATCAGGAGAGAATGCTTCTGGAACATGGCCATACAGCCCAGAAAACTCACAGCAACCCTTTGTGGCAATACTTTGTTGTCTGTATACTTACCAGTGGGCAGGTATGTCTCAAGTCAACAGGGCAAATGGATATTAGTTGTTTCACAGTGCTGATTCACCCCACCCCCAACATCCTTATTTTGTATTGGTGTGTTTCTGTCTTTTAAAGGTAGCAATTTTGTGCCAGTTCCTTCGAGAAGTGGATTATAAAACTGCATTTAAAGCCCTTCAGGAGCAAAACAGGTAAGTAAAGTTTTCATATTTTCTCAACATGCTGTGAAGTAAGTACATTTTGCATACAATGCAATCTTCTTTTTCAGCCATGATGCTATGGATTCCTATTATGACTACATCTGGGATATCACCATTTTGGAATACTTGACATGTATCCTTTTATACGTACAAAGAACAACATTAGGGATTGCTTGGAAACATGAGGTTGTACTGTAAAAGAAATATAACAGTATCACAAGTGCAGCAGAATCATTTTGTAGGTGTCTTTTACTTTACTGAAGGAAATGTGGGGCATTCTCTTGTGGAGTTACTGCATGTGAAAACTGTTAAGTCTTATTTGTTGCCCTATTTTCCTTAACAGTATTTTAGATCTTCATCATAAGCGAGGCGAATCAGACAAGAGACAAATAGCAGTAAGTTTAAAACTGTTTCCCGAGAGAAACTTCTAACACGGTTTCACTCAAACTATTCATGTAATGTTTTTTCTTGCTGGACAGGGATGACATTTATAGCATAACTAAAATGTGCATTAGGCTAAAAAACTTTTAAAGACCAATACAGCAGAGCTCTGCTGTATTGGTTACTTGGAAACATACATTATAACTCTTGCTGATCCCTATCCTGAAAATGTAGTTTCTTTCTTAATGAGATTCTGGATGCATTATAAATGTCAAACAGTATTCACTGAGGGCCTCCCCAGACGATCTCTTCGTTCATCTGGGGAGGCCCTGCTCTTGCTCCCACCTCCCTCGCAGGCGCGATTGGTGGGGACGAGGGAGAGGGCCTTCTCGGTGATGGCCCCTCGACTCTGGAACTCACTCCCCAAGGACATCAGGCATGCCCCAACTCTGGCAGCCTTTAGGAGGAGCCTGAAAACATGGTTGTTCCAGTGTGCCTTCCCAGAATAAGGAAACTCCCAGCAATATGCCCCTAAATGCACCTTATCAATGATCGAGGATTGTCTGCACGCCCTTTCCTCTCCAAAATTCTATCCTGGTCATGCTCAGCATTATTTTTTAAATTTTTAATTATTACATTTGGCCCAGTCATAGGTTTTTAAGCATTGTCGTACTATTGTTAATGTTTACTGCTTGTTTTTGTTTATGAGTTTCATTTTATTGTTTTGTATTGCTGTTGTTGTTGTTTTTGCTGATGTATTGTGGGCTCGGCCTCATGTAAGCCGCACCAAGTCCCTTGGGGAGATGGTAGCGGGGTACTAATAATAACAATAATTATTATTATTATACATCATCTGCTCATGTCCAGCATTTATTTTTAAAGTTTTAACTATTACATTTGGCCCAGCCATAGGTTTTTAAACTCGTGTGTGTTATTGTCTACTTATGAGTTATATTAACTGTATTGTTTATTTTTGTTTATTGCTTGTTATTTTATTATTGCTTGTTTTTGATGTGCTGTTGGGCTTGGCCTCATGTAAGCTGCCCTGAGTCCCTTGGGGAGATGGTGGTGGGGTATAAATAAAGTTTTATTTATTATTATTATTATTATTATTATTATTATTATTATTATTATTATTATTGAGGCATCCAAAATCTCATGCACAGCTTGACAGCAAAGGATCTTGTTTTTTGTGGCCATAAACCAGGAAATCCAGCACTGTATACAATTATTGCACAGAGCTATGGAAAATCAGAACTGTGGACCAGTGGTTCTCAACAGATGTTTTGGCCTTCAACTCTCAGAAATCCTAACAGCTGGTAAACTGAATGGGATTTCTGGGAGCTGTAGGCCAAAACACAGGTTGAGAACCACTACTCTAGATGCCTTGTTATGATTTGATTGTTTCTGGCTTAGGGCCCTCCCAAAACAGTGGAATTTACCCCCAGCTGACTGCTTTGGCTGGAGTGTTTGTTTGTTGTGCTGCTGCTTTAAAGTATGCTAATTTCTAAATGTTAAATTCAAATTCATATTGATATGTTTCTGTATTTAGATTAAAGCTATTGGGCAGACGGAGCTGAATTCTAGTAATCCAGAAGAAGTCCTACAGCTGGCTGCTCAGAGGCGGAAGAAGAAGTTTCTTCAAGCAATGGCAAAACTGTACTTTTAGTGCATTAATTTGTCGCGTAGTGAGATGGAACATCAACCAGCTGCAAGATACTCCCAATATTTTATTTAACTCATGACACTTTTTTTTACAATACATATTTATAAACATACTGTGTGGCATTTTCCTTTATAGAAAACTTAAAATTCCTCCATTTTTACAAGACTATACAGAGGTATATATTGAAGGTGTGTTTTTCACCAACAACATTACCTTTTGTAATGCATTTTAAAGTGGAATGAAGTCTGTTAGCATTAACAGGGATCTACTGTCAGCAGAGCTTAGCTCTCCTTAGTACTAAGACTGTTCTGGCTCTGTTTACTCCCCCCCCCCCCTTGCATTGTTGGAATATGTTTGCATATAGACAAAATGGTAGCACCTCATGTCAGAAAAGGCAGTGTATCATAGTGATCTTTCTCCAGTTATGAGCAGTTCTTGCCCTGTAAGATTGTAGCTCACATTAAGAGAGTCTCCTCACCCATTAGTAACTGCAGATCAAGTCAATTCCATTCCATTCCATAGCTACACAAGTTTGTGTACTGAAACAGGAAGGTTGACATGAATATTACAGATTCATAATGGGGCTTAGAGCCAAGATTTGACCTCTTAAGGGAACTTAGTTCATTTAGATCTGCTTTTTCGCCACAGAAATGGGCTAATACATCTCCTCTCCTCTTGTCATGTTATAGAAAGGCATTGCTTAGCTTACACACAGCTAAAACGTTAAGAGGTTAACCCACATCCCTCATCAAATTCAAAATCAAAGAGGTTAAAAATTCATAGTTGTGGATTTAACTGCTCCACAGTTTGTGCTTGGGCGAAGAGCTGGTTCAGGTGCAAACTGGAAGGAACAGGACAGTCACATCTGAGCTTCTTGCTTCGCCGTCTTCCACATTTCTCAGTGTGTAAAAGTTCCATATGTGTTGTTTTCAGACGTCTTAAACAGTTCCTGGACTGAGCATGTTATCTGTAGATACTTGAATTTCACTTTTCAGAGCTCTTTGGCGGAGTAATTATGCCTCCGGTAGACACTGGCGATTGCTGGCTTGGCCGTGTAACTTCTATTTCGTAATGAACTTCATCCTGTTCCATGAAAAGAAACCAGTGCTGTAAAACCACTTGTGCACTGCTACTTCTGCAACTTTACTGGCAATTCATAATGTGAATTCAGATTTGTTTTGGAGAGAAGTAAACATATAGACCCTTGAAGCAATAATAATCATTTCAGGTCATCGCAGTCGAGAACAGTGTGCTTACTTTTAAGAACTTGGGCAAATTGTCCAGTGAGCAATTCAGATAGCTGATGCTAGGCAGATCGTCTGTCGCTTACTAACTTGCCACAAATAAATACTTTTTTAAACTATAAGTACCTTTCCTTAGAACAAACCATTTGCTGCAAAAAAACAGATTTTGTCCAGAGCTCAGATTGCTAGGTTACTTATCGAGCCAGTATGGTACATTGCAGGCATGGGCAAACTTTGGCCCTCCAGGTGTTTGGACTCCAACTCCCACAATTCCTAACAGCCTACTGGCTGTTAGGAATTGTGGGAGTTGAAGTCCAAAACACCTGGAAGGCTGAAGTTTGCCCATGCCGGGCATAGTGGCTTGAGTGTTGGACTATGACTCAAGACCACAGCTGGAGCCATTGCTTGGCCATTAAAACCACTGAATGAGCAATTGTGGGTAAGCCACAAACTCCTCCTCAGAAAACCCCATAACAGCATTGCCATAAATCAGGTAACTTGAAGGCACAGAACCAACAACAAGGAATTGCTCTCCAGTGCTATACAGATAGGGGTTTGCCAGCTGGGTTTTTACAAATATGTTTGCCAAGTTGAGGATAACTATGTAGATCAAATTGTGGTTGAACTAGACATAGCAGTCTTCCTTCACCCTAAGGTACATTATTTTCACACTGGAAACCAAGTTCATGTAGAAGCCAGAGCTATAAGAATGGCGCTTACCAGCATATCCAAATAATTTGTGTGAGTCTGTATATTGTGTCTGTCTTCTGCTGCAATCTTCTTGAAGTTCTTCAATTTCACCGGGTATTTTTTTGCTACCCGAAAAAATGGCTCCATCCATTCTACACATTCTGCAATGCTATCCCATTCCAAGCCTAAAAGGAAGAAAATTCAATTTTATTTGTAGATACCTGAATTGAAGCTTATCTTTACAACATACAAAGGCCGTGGAGACCACTAGGAGACCAAGGTTCACATTCTGAAAGCTCAATGAGAAAACGTCTAATATACAATAGGATTTCATCATGATTTTTCGTTTCTAAAAGTTTGCCATTTCAGAATTAATATGCTTTGCTATTTATGGACACAACTTAGAGGGCTATGTTCAAGAACTGCATGGATACAGCCTTGCTCTTTCTTTAGATGTTCCCAGTGCAACAACGTTCAGCTCCTTCAGCTCAGGCTCCATCTACACTGTCATATAATGAAGTTAAAACTACTTTATATCAGTCCATATAATGCAATTTTAAATGACATTATATGGCAATGTAGACAAGGGCCTTGGTTTCCAGTTTATAGCTAGGTATGCAGGTAACAAGATTTGGCCACAACCCATTCCAGTAACAAAGCTGCTTAGAAAGGGAAAATGTTATGGGTTGCTGTGAGTTTTCCAGGCTGTTTGGCCATGTTCTGGAACATGGCCATACAGCATGGAAAACTCACAGCAACCCAGTGATTCCAGCCATGAAAGCCTTCGACAACACATCATTTTCAAAATGACATTTCTGGCTTCCGTACTGAATTTGTAATAAAGCAGTCTAAATGCCAATATTTCTTCCTTCTTTCTCTCCAGTGATTAGAAACAGAGAAAGGAGATAGATGTATCAAATCATAATGAAGAGAGGTTAAAAAAAGTAAAGTTAATTTCCTAATAATAGGCAAATTAGGCAACTCTCAAAAGGAAGCAGTTATTCAGGTCAATTGAAATTTTAAAGCCAGTCTTGTTTCCAAATTCAAACCCCACTATCCTTAGTAAACAGAACAAACTGCAGCTTTCCAGATGTTGCTGTATCTAATAAGGAATATAGAAGTTGTACCCCAGCATAGAATCATAGAGTTGGAAGAGACCTCATGGGCCATCCAGTCCAACCTCCTGCCAAGAAGCAGGAATATTGCATTCAAATCCCCTGACAGATGGCCATCCAGCCTCTGTTTAAAAGCTTCCAAAGAAGGAGCCTCCACCACACTCTGGGGCAGAGAGTTCCACTGCTAAACGGCTCTCACAGTCAGGAAGTTCTTCCTAATGTTCAGATGGAATCTCCTTTCTTGTAGTTTGAAGCCATTGTTCCGTGTCCTAGTCTCAGAGGCAGCAGAAAACAAGTTTGCTCCCTCCTCCTTGTGACTTCCTCTCACATATTTATACATGGCAATCATATCTCCTCTCAGCCTTCTCTTCTTCAGGCTAAACATGCCCAGCTCTTTAAGCTGCTCCTCATAGGGCTTGTTCTCCAGACCCTTGATCATTTTAGTCGCCCTCCTCTGGACACATTCCAGCTTTTCAATATCTCTCTTCAATTGTGATGCCCAGAATTGGACACAATATTCCAGGTGTGGTCTAACCATCTGGAGGGTCACATAAAATATCATGGAGGGCTGGATTCAGCCCGCGGGTCTTCAGTTTGATACATCTCCCCTACACCTCTTTTATTTAGGACAGTGGTTCCCAACTTGTGGGTCCCCAGGTGTTTTGGCCTACAACTTCCAGAAATGCCAGCCAGTTTACCAGCTGTTAGGATTTCTGGGAGTTGAAGGCCAAAACATCTGGGAATCCACAGGTTGAGAACCACTGATTTAGGGTCTATTACTATTTGTTTTCAAAACCTTCATTGCCATTTGTCATGTCTATGGTGCATTGCCTAGTCAAACGTATGTAGCTATCTTACAACAGCTAAAACAGAACTGAAATGTACAAGGAATGTCATTTCACCATACCTGTAACTTTCTTGACTACTACTATTGAGGTATAATAACAGAGTGCAGCTGCTGCTAATATTCTATACTGGAAATCCAGAGAATTGACATCCAGAATACAGATATCTAAAAGCTGTAAAAAGAAATCACATAAAAGAGTTAGAAACTGCATTATATCCAGTCCATTTAAATATCCAACAAATCAGCTAATCATTGTAGCCTTATTTGACAGTCCAAAAATACATCAGTTACACATACTCTAGAAATAGCAGCTGCAAGATAAAGGTGTTGACTGAGCTATTAAAATGTGCTTTCCCCACAAGTCTGCAAATCTTAGCCTTTATAGCAGAACTATCTTGAAGACTTTTTTTGATGTCAGGAGCGACTTAAGAAACTGCAAGACACTTCTTGTGTGAGAGAATTGGCTGTCTGCAAGGACGTTGCCCAGGGGATGCCCAAATGTTTTACTATCCTGTGGGAGGTTTCTCTCATGTCCCCGCATGAGAAGCTGGAGCTGACAGACGAGATCTCGCCCCACTCCCCGGATCTGAACCGCCGACCTTTCGGTCAGCAGTCCTGCCGGCACAAGGGTTTAACCCATTGTGCCACTGGGGGCTTCTGAAGACAGCTTAAATAAAAAATGTTTAAATCTTTATTTTAATAATCAGAATAACAGAATTGAAACATCTCCAAATTATTGCAAGGGCAGGCAGATGTCAGCAGTGGAACCAACTATTTCTTTTAAACATTCTAATATATATATTATAGAAATATGTTTAAATATGTATCTTTTATAGAAACACATTTTAATATGTGTATTTGTGATATTTTTACAATGTTTATGTGTTTTAATTATTCAGTAACCTGCCTTGAGCCATGAGAGGTGAGTGAGAAATGAAATTATTATTATTAGTAAACAGAATTCCAAAATGTGCCAACTAGAGACAGCAACAAACAAAGAACTAAAAGAATTCTGAGGCCAAGAGATTGTTCTGTGTAGCAGAACTGAATGGAGTAAACATCCAAATTGATCGATGGTTCTATTATTTGTGATTGACCCACACTCTTTTCGTTCAAGCAGTAGCGTTAAGGACAGTGGAGCGTACAGACATCTCTCCACTTTTTCAGGTTTCACACTTATGATTTTAATTACCGTATAATAATAGTTGCACTTTTAATCCCCTTTTTTATCAAAGAAAAGAGGGTGGAACTACTACTTGATAAAAAAATGGGGGTGCGACTATTACACAGGCTTCCGCCTCCAGCCCTTGCCTCTTGAAGTTGGGGGTGCTGTGGGAAATATTATTATTATTATTATTATTTTACTGACACAAAAACATAGTATGTCACAGCAAATGAGATATATATGCCGGATTTTGTATCACAAAATCACAAGTCAAACACTTCCCAAGCATCTAGGACTGTGTGATGTATTTTCGAATGATGCGAACAGATCCAAGGTGGTCTTTTGCAGTTGACAGACCGTGATTTTGTCAATGTTTATTATTTCCAAATGCCGGCTGAGATCTTTTGGCACGGCACCCAGTGTGCCGATGACCACTGGGACTACCTGTACTGGTTTATGCCAGAGCCTTTGCAATTCAATTTTGAGGTCCTGATAACGGCTGAGTTTTTCCTCAATGCGACTGTCACCCGGTATGGCAACATCAATAATCCAAACCTTTGTCTTTTCCACAATTGTGATGTCTGGTATATTGTGTTCCAAAACTTTGTCAGTCTGGATTCGAAAGTCCCACAGTATTTTTGCTATTATTATTATTATTATTATTATTATTATTATTATTATTATTATTATTATTATTATACAAATAAAGGGCAAAAGAGGACACTAATTCTTTTGAAACTGAAGCATTAAGAGCATTAGGTGATCAGAAAGATCGAGTCCCTCTTAAATGGACATACGCCTTTCACATCAATGTGACCGACATGTTTTGTACTCCAAGCAGGTGTTCCTGAGAACAATGAGATTACAGCGTGCTCTTAGAGACAAATTGGCATAGTCCAAGCCACACAGTGAGTGCAGGATGAGAAGAAAAGCTATAGACAATTGCCTAAGCAAGAACTGAATATATTTCCAGCAAGTGGCTGGAAGCATATTTTGCAACGACATCCAAAGACCCATATTGCATTTAAAAAACATTGAAGCTGCCTCTGCTCTGACCGACAGCTGATCTAAGCAGAAAAGATCTTTTCTTCTTGATTTGGTTTGCTCTCTTAATGCTATGAAACACCATATAGACTGGAGCAGGAACTCACCTGTGCTATTTCAATAAACTTTTCCTGAGAATACTGAGGTAGCAGCACCTTTGGAGCGTCTTTGACCGCATCCACTTGGAGATAAAGGTTCAACCAAGAGACTATTGTTTGTGGACACAGCTCCCACTTTAGAGCCTGCAGAGGGTTGAAAATCATAACCAAGGCATTAGAATAGATATTGCAGTAGTTAAACACGTAGCGGTTGAATATTTACAATCTTAGCAAATCAAGCCCACTTGTTCTCACTGAACTGTAGCAAACAAAGGAGTTTTGTAGTGTCTTAGAGACAAAGTTGATAGCATAAACTTTTGTAGACTAAGGCTGGATCTACACTGTCATATAATGCAGTTTAAAACTATTGTCAGAAATATTAAAAATTAACTAGGTATTTTAATTACAAAAATGTGAGTCAAACTCTGAAAGACTTAAACGGATGCAATGACTCAGCAAAAGATGCAGTTCTATATAAGCAGGAGTGCCTGTAGCTTAGTAGGCCTCTGTGTTAGTTTGCCTCAGTGGGAGAAATGTCACAGTCTGTGAGAAGGCCTCACAATGAGGTAAGCCTTAGTATTTATTACTGTTCAGGCTAGGGATTGTTTCTATGATGTTATGTTTTGTTATTGTGATGTGTTTATTTTATTTTTATTTTATTATTTTATTGTGTTGTGTTTTAACCTATGTTTTTCCGGGCTTGTCCCTATGTAAGCCGCCCCGAATCCCTTTGAGGAGATGGAGGCGGGGTATAAAAATAAAGGTATTATTATTATTATTATTATTATTAGAAACACAAGATGAGTCCACAACAGACAAGTTCACTCTGCTGGCTGTTCTATTAGATCACACGTCGGACACTTCTCAAGTGTCTAGGACTGTGTGATGTATCAGCGAATATTATTATTATTATTATTATTATTCTTTGAAACACAACAAGATGAGTCCACACAGACACTCTGCTGGCTGTTGAATTGGATCACACGTCTGACACTTCCCAAGTGTCTAGGACTGTGTGATGTATTGGCGATTATTATTATTATTATTATTATTTGAAACACAACAAGATGAGTCCACAACAGCCAGCAGGCTGTTGAATTGGATCACACGTCGGACACTTCCCAAGTGTCTAGGGCTGTGTGATGTATCAGCGATTATTATTATTATTATTATTATTTGAAACACAGCAAGATGAGTCCACAGCAGACACTCTGCTGGATGTTGAATTGGATCACATGTCAGACACTTCCCAAGTGTCTAGGACTGTGTGATGTATCGGCGAATAATTTGTGCAGATCCCAGTAAGGCGGCCTTTTACAGCTGGCAGATGGTAATTTTGTCACCACCGATTGTGTTTAAGTGCAGGCCAGGGTCTTTAGGCACTGCACTCAGTGTGCCGATCACCACTGGGACCACCTTTACTGGCTTGCGCCAGTGTCTTTACAGTTAGATATTATTATTATTATTATTATTATTATTATTATTATTATTATTATTATCTGTGAGAGAAGGCAAATCTCAGTATGTGTGAAGCTCCAGTGTGAAGGTTGTTCTTTTTATTACTTTTGGCTACTGGTACTGGGTCACACTACTGCTGATAAGTTACTCTGCTGTACATTTATGAGAAGGGTCTTTTGTTAATAAGCCCACTTGCCCAACAATTATATGGTCACGTTTTGACTCATATAAAGCAGTTCAGTCCAGTTCAAACTGCATGATATGATTTGTGTAGATCCAGTCTTAATCTACAGATACGTTGCTAACAGTTTCATTCTCTCAGTTAATCTCTAAAATGTTACAATATTCTTTTACAAGCTGATATTCCAGACTAATGGCAATACTTTTGTACTTATTCTTGCTGAACTTTGGCATTAGCCAGTGGGATAGACCTGTTTCTGTATGATGCTGGTGACAATTCAGATGATTTTACTCTTTCCCTTCCCCAACATATTAAGGTTTTTCATGTAAAGCTGTGAAGGAAGGGGGGGGGGGAGGTTGCATGAAACATGAGCCTCATGTTTTGTTTGTGCAACACACACTGGTAACAGCTCTGCATCTGTTGTTTTGCAAGATAAAGCCCTTGCTTCAGGAAATCTGGCCAAGTGCCCTCATTTCTCAGAATGAATCTTTTTTCCAGGTCAAGTGTTCCCATTAACAGACGAAAACAAAAATAGCTTCGCCATAAAGCCGTGCAAGAGGAGGTTTCCTAGGACATTTTTATAGTATTGATCAAATTTATGTGAGCTTGCCTCTAGCAATCCTTCCATTTATTCCTACTAAAAAGGCAACATAGAGCAACACTAGTAAGTAAAGTAAAAATAAAGGTTTCTCCTTGACATTAAGTCTAGTCACTTCCGACTCTGGGGGGTGGTATTCATCTCCATTTCTAAGCTGAAGAGCCAGCATTGTTCATAGACACCTCCTAGGTCATGTGGCCAGCATGACTGCATGGAGCACTGTTACATTCCTGCAGAAGCAGTACCTATTGCTCTACTCACATTTGCATGTTTTCAAACTGCCAGAATGGCAGAAGCTGGAGCTAACAGCAGAAGCTCACCCCACTCTCCAGATTCGAACTGCCGACCTTTCGGTCAGCAAGTTCCACAGATCAGCGGTTTAACCCGCTGTGCCACCAGGGGGTCTTAAGCAACACTAGTAATAGCCCGCTCTTTTTATTTTTACCTTCAGTACAATGAGTTCCATTCTTATAATATCCTCTTCACTGCAAGCACCATCAGTAACGTAAGCAAATTCCTGTAATTTGGGTGCATAGATCTCCTTGTTAAAAGAAAGAAGGAAAGACAAAATACAGTGTTAATATCAGAGTGCAGTGAATGTACAAAATGCTGAATAGAGCACTCATCAATCCTACTTAATTGTGGCTCTCAACGTTAGAGACTGGACACCCAATTCAGATGTTATTTTCAGGTCCAAGCAATCATTCATTGGGTTGCTGTGAGTTTTCCAGGCGATATGGCCATGTTACAGAAGCATTCTCTCCTGACGTTTCGCCCACATCTATGGCAGGTATCACCAGAGGTTGAGACTTTGGAAACTAGGCAAGTGAGGTTTATATATCTATGGAATGACCCAGGTTGTCTGCTTGAGGCAAGTGTAAATGTTGCAAATTGCCACCTTGATTAGCACTTAATGGCATTGCAGCTTCAAAGTCTGGCTGGTTGCTGCCTGGGGGAATCCCTTGTTGGGAATTTTTAACTGGCTTTGAAGCTGAAAGACTATTCAATGCTAATCAAGGTGGCCATTTGCAACATTCCCACTTGCCTCAAGTAGACAAGAGTTCTTCCTCCCATCCTGGATATTCCACAGATATATAAACCCCACTTGCCTAGTTTCCAACAGATCTCACAACCTCTGAGGATGCCTGCCGTAGACGTGGGTGAAACATCAGGAGAGAATGCTTCTGGAACATGGCCATACAGTCCGGAAAACTCACAGCAACCCAGTGATTCCGGCAATGAAAGCCTTCGACAATACATGGATAATTCATTGACAAATTGTGAGCTGGATCACATGCACTTGTTTATATAATTCATATAAATCTCTTTTTTGTGTGATTAACTATATGGTCATATTTAGAAAGAGGCACTAAGGGTCAAACCCTGCCCAACATATGAGCCAGTTCACATGCAAATCACAGTATGTCACAAAGCGTTTTTATTGATGTGTTGTTGGGCTTGGCCTCATGTAAGCCGTTCCGAGTCCCCTTGGGGAGATGGTGGCGGGATATAAATAAAGTTATTATTATTATTATTATTATTATTATTAAAGCAACATCCAGACCAAATATGCTGATATTAACTATAATTAGACAAGATGGCAGTACTAAGCTCTGTCTATCCCAGGCATGGGCAAACTTCGGGCCTCCAGGTGTTTTGAACTTCAACTCCCACAATTCCTAACAGTCAGTAGGCTGTTAAGAATTGTGGGAGTTGATGTCTGAATTCTGCCCAGGTCTGGGTTAAACCAATACCCTTATATGAGATATATACATACACATGAATTAAGTATATGATCTATTGTTTATTTCATATAGACTCAGAGGCCATGCGACACACCTAAACACTGCAGCCGATACACTCACACGTTGCAACACAGAGGCTGGAAAGCTTTTTTTCATCCAAAAATGAAATCAGAAAGGCACATGTAACCAAGGTGAGATAGTTAGGTGTGCACTGAACCATACAGAGCATTTATTTATATCCTGTGGGCATTGTAGTAACTCATATTTTGCATCGTCCCTGTGTAGTCTGGAACAGACAGCAATGAGTGCCACTCAGTCATTAAGCTTGATGGAAGATTTTAGGTCAGTCACCATCTCTCAATCTGTACTATTTAGGTTAAGATTAACAGAAGCCTAGCTAGTAAATATGATTGCACCTCTCCAATGGCAGTCAAGGATAACCTGTCAAAAGCTACTACAAGTATAGGGATTAAATATTTCAATCTCTGCTCAGTAATAGGTCAACTTCTCACATTTTCTTTGATGCTGCATCAAATGAACTTCTGGGAAATATGTATTGGAGTTTAATGTTTTTGTTGGATTGGGCTGAATATTCAGCTTCTGCATCTACTACCTTTAAAGCAGTGGTTTTCAACCTTCCCAATGCCACGGTCCCTTAATACAGTTCCTCGTGGTGACCCCCAACTATAACATTATTTTCATTGCTACTTCGTAACTATAATTTTGCTACTGTTATGAATCACAATGTAAATATCTGATATGCAGGATGTATTTTCATTCACTGGACCAAATTTGGCACAAATACCCGATACGCCCAAATTTGAATACCAGAGGGAGGGGGGTGATTTTGTCACTTGGGAGTTGTAGTTAACCTACAACCAAAGAGCATTCTGAACTCCACCAACAATGGAACAAAACTTGGCACACAGAACTCCCCTAACCAACAGAAAATACTGGAAGAGTTTGGTGGGCATTGGCCTTGAGTTTTGGAGTTCATCAACATCCAGAAAGCACTGTGGACTCAAACAATGGTAGATCTGGACCTAACTTGGCATGAATACTCAATATGCCCAAATGTGAAGTGAACACTGATGGAGTTTGGGGAAAGCAGACCTTGACAATTGGGAGTTGTAGTTGCTGGGATTTATAGTTCACCTACAACCAAAGACGATTATGAACCCCACCAACGATAAAATTAGGCCATACTTCCCACACAGAACCCCCATATTTATACTGTTTTCTTTTTTTTCCCAACTTATTTTTATTAAGAATAATTTGGCTCTGAGAGGTTGGAGCATGAAGAAAGTTTGTAAAATCATGATAGGTTTACATCAAAAGTGTAGGAACAATATGAGAAGGAAAGTAGGAAAGGAAAGAGACTGTTTTCTGATGGTCTTTGGTGATCCCCCCCCCCCCCCCCCCCCCCCCCCCCCCCCCCCCCCCCCGGCTCCCGACCTTCAGGTTGGGAAACACTGCCTTAAAGCATTTTTTTCCTTTTCTGGATGAAGGTATCACTTATACATCCTTAAAATTAAAACAATAAATTCAGCACAGTTACAAGGTTTAAAAGGTTACACTGCCAGATATATAATTGGAAGTCGCTCCATACCAAAAAAAAAAAAAAGCTACTTACTTCCAGCTTGGCAGCAATGAAGAGTGTTGTAATTCCTATGAGCTGAAGCATTGTTTTGTTTATGTTTTTTTGAGTCAGCATGAACCTGTCAAAAAAGTCTTGCGCCAAGTAGAAAGTTTCCCTGTGGAGCGTATATACTTCACACACCTGTAACAGAACGAACTTCGTTTTATTTAGGGTCGCTTGACTGAAAACAATATCCTGAACAACAGAGCAGAAACATTTTCATCCTTTGTTTATCTTCGCTTACATTTTCTTAAACAAATGTTTTGAACACTATACAAGAAAATGAAACAAAATATACTGCTTATACCCAGCAGGATTTCTAAAACGTATCTCTGTTATAAGAGAAATAACTATCGTTCCAAAATGTTTCCAGTTTCAGAATCGCACCCTGAAAGCAAAGACTGAAGGAGGCCTCTTGTATAACTCATATCACATTCGCATTTCAGTGCTTACCTCCAGAAGCCAGTCAAGTAGGATCGATCTCATGTGTGGCTGCAGGTTCGTGTGTAGAGATGTAAAATGCTTGCAGTGAGAATATTTGCTTTCTTTTTTGAGAATATTGAGCCAGACATCTTTCGAACTGCCCCAACTGAAACCAAAACAGATATTTAAATTTTGGTACAGAAAAAAAACCCCACCCAGGTGTGTCAGTATAACAGTAACAAGACCGGTTTGGCAAAAAAATTACTGTTTTGACAAGATTGATCTGGTGGCTGCAATGTATTTTTCTTAGTTTATTGATATAAACTATTCTTACAAAGTGGCCTTATGTAGCATTTATACAGAGTGGTGCAGTGGGTTAAACCCGTGTGCCGGCAGGACTGAAGACCGACAAGTCACAGGTTCGAATCCGGGGAGAGCGTGGATGAGCTCCCTCTATCAGCTCCAGCTTCCCATACGGGGACATGAGAGAAGCCTCCCACAAGGATGATAAAACATCAAAAACATTCGGGCATCCCCTGGGCAATGTCCTTGCAGACAGCCAATTCTCTCACACCAGGAGCGACTTGCAATTTCTCAAGTTGCTCCTGACACGACAAAAAAAAACCCCACAAAAACCCCCCAGATTTTTATGTCAATGATCTGCCAGGTATGTTTATCATTTAATAAACTGGTACCTGCCTTCCAAGTAAAACAAGTTACAGTAACTGGACATTGGTGAACCTGTGTAAAAATCAATTTTTTATTATGCATTTCAATAATTTATACAGTGAAAGTGGGGGAAATCATGTCATTTGGATAGGACAGAAAGGCAGAAGAAATTAGAGGTGAATAAAGAAGAGGAAATAAGAGAATAATAATAATAATAATAATAATAATAATAATAATAAGCCGATGCTCAACTTTTAGTATCCTGTTTGTATTTTGGATGCTCTGCTTTATTTTAGGGTATTTTTCCCTAACAATTCCAAGCTATACTACCATATTTCTTTGAGTGTAATACACCATTGATTGTAATTTCATTACCATCTCCACCAAGAAACATGCATTAGATACACTTGCAATCCTAAAACGCACCCCGTTTTAAGAATGTTTATATAGGGAGGAAAATAGCATAGTAGAATTTAATAAATACAGTTTCTCTTTAGCAAGACCACTGGACTTCGAGCAGAGTGGGAAGTAGGTCTACTTGTGATACAGTATCCACACACTTGGAATACTATAGTAAATGATACAAAATCTGATATTGCAAATGAGGGAAATGAGAGAATAATATGGCTATTATTTCAGGGTCCCTGAACTGTTGGGACTCCTTACTTCTTCAAAATCATTCCCCCCCCCCCCCCCCCAGGCTCTTCCACACAGCCCTATATCCCAGAATATCAAGGCAGAAAATCCCACATTATCTGAGTGTGGACTCAGATAATCCAGTTCAAAACAGATATTGTGGGATTTTCTGCCTTGATATTCTGGGATATAGGGCTGTGTGGAAGGGCCCTCTGTGAGTTGCCTTCCTATTGGGAAGTTTGACCCACATGATTCTCAGGATCATGTTCCAAATAGCAGGTGCGTGACAATAGAAACATGCTTTGATTGGACGTGGATTTGAGAAAACTCTGCCAGTTTCTATTGGATGGGTTAGTGGGGAGAGATTCACACAACCCACAGTGGATGTCCCACTTTAGTATTTCCAGAGATGTTGCTCCATTTGACAGGTATCAATTATTTTGACAGATGTCAGTCCTTTTAACAGGCCATCCATCATTCTTGATAACAGGCATAAAAAAACCATCTATCATCTATCAATCCAGATCTCTCTTCAAAGTTATACAGATCAGGCAGGCTATTCAGCAACAGTATTTGGTGAATTGCAGCCATGATCTTTTAAAATATTTTACATGAATATGTATGTATATGCATCATCTTCTCAAATGCAATATAGAATCACAAGAGTTGGAAGAAACCACACAGGTCATCCAGTCCAACCCCATTCTGCCATGCAAGAAAAGCACAATCAAAGCCCCTCCGACAGATGGCCAGCCTATTCAAAAGCCTCCAAAAAAGGAGCCTCTGATATACTTGTCCATCAGGATTTCACAACTACATTATCTTTTCAAAACTGTCCTTGAAAATATATAAAACACTGCAGTTAACAAACAAGACCCTCAAAACATCACCTGCATTACTCATTGCATTGGTCCTTTGTGTTTTCCAAGTATTTTTGTGTGTGTGTGTGTGTCAGGAGCGACTTGAGAAACTGCAAGTCGCTTCTAGTGTGAGAGAATTGGCCGTCTGCAAGGACGTTGCCCAGGGGACGCCCGGATGTTTTGATTTGTTACCATCCTTGGGGGGGGGGGGGCTTCTCTCATGTCCCCGTATGCGAAGCTGGAGATGATAGAGGGAGCTCATCCACGCACTCCCCAGATTCGAACCTGTGACCTGTCGGCCTTTAGTCCTGCCGGCACAGGGGTTTGTTTGTTTGTTATTTACAGTATTTGTTTACCGCTTTTCTCACCCTGAGGGGGACTCAAAGCGGTTTACATGCAAGTCATGGCAAAAATTCAATGCCAGTACAAACAATTACAATTATACACTACAATTGAACATAAATCAAATTAAAACAATACATCCATAAGCAATACACAATCATTTAACCCACAATGCCACTGAGGGATCCATTTTCCAAGTGTGAAAGATAAAGGAATGGATGGTACCGATATAGTGCAGCATAGCAATACTACAAATGCTTTTAATCACAGCTTACCTAAGTTCTGGTAAAGGCGATGGGTTTATGAAGAGGTTTCTAAATCTGTATTGTTTGAATCTGGAGAAGTCAGTGGTTGTTGCTTCTTTGTGAGGAGTTTCTATTATTATACAAGGGGAGATGCCGCCTGATATTGTGGAGGGCCAACAGCTCTACAAATGAGATATTGAAAAATAATTAATTAGGGACAAGAACATAGGAAGCAAGAGAACTTCAGGATAAATACACCATTCTCTCTATTCTGTATTTGAGAAAGTTTTCAATACATTGTAGGGAAATCAATTAATAATATTACGGCCTCTTGGAAGTTACATACTAAATAACTGGAAGAAAAATAGTATGTTTATTTATTTATTTACTATATTTATATCCTGCCTTTCTCAACCCCAAAGGGGACTCAAGGCATCTTACGATTCAATGCCTTAACAACAATATACAATTAAAATAAACATTTAAATTAAAATCAAGATCAAAAATGAAATACATAAAAACACTTTAAAATATTACAATCATTATAAAACCAACTATTTGCAAACATAATCCAGCTCATTCTGGTAGTCATTACACATAATTTCAGTCCATCTATTACACTATAGTTCTTCTCCAAAGGCCACATTTTCACTCTCTTTCTGAAGATCAGGAGGGAGGGAGCTGATCTAACATCGCTGGGGAGGGAGTTCCATAGCCATTGCGGAGATTAAGATCCTCCGAGGAGGCCCTGCTTTCCATCCTGCCATTGTCACAGGCATGATTGGTGGAGACAAGAGACAGGGCCTTCTCGGTGATTGCTCCTCGGCTATGGAACTCCCTTCCTGGTGAGATCAGGTCGGCTCCCTCTCTCCTGTCCTTTAGTACGATGGTAAAAACTTTGCTGTGGGACCAAGCTTTCGGGACAGGGCAATAAAGCGGCCCAATGATTTGACACAGATGATTAGAATGGCTTTAAATGGTGTATTTTAATATTTTGATAAATGTTTTTAATGTTTATGCATTGTATGTGAATCTGTGTCCCTGCATTGAATGTTTGCCGTGTATATGCTGTGCTCCGCCTTGAGTCCCCTTTGGGGTGAGAAGGACGGAACATAAATGTTTTAAATAAATAAATAGCTGAGGGGCCACCACTGAGAAGGCCCAGTCCCTCGTCCCCACCAACTGCACCTCTGAAGGAGGTGGGACCGAGAGCAGGACCTCCACGGATAATCTTAACCTCCAAGGTGGTTCATCCAACATATCTCCATATGTTGGATGGATAAACTGGGCCAGAACTTTTAAGGCTTTATAGGCTAAAGCCAACACTTTGAATTGTGCTCGGTAGCAGATGGACAGCCAGTGGAGCTGACGTAACAGGAGGGATGTCCTCTCTCTGTACGCTGCTCTGGTGAGGAATCTGACTGCCGCCTGTCGGACCATTTGGAGCTTCCGAACAGTCTTCAAAGGCAACCCCATGTAAAGTGTGTTGCAGTAGTCTATTCGGGGATGTAACCAGAGCATGGACTACCATAGCCAAGTCTGACTTCCCAAGGTACGGGCGTAGATGGTGCCCAAGTTTTAATCGTGCAAATGCTCCCCTGGCCACCGCCAAGCGATGAGCCCAAGCTGCAAACCTGTGTCTTCAGTGAGAGTGTAATCCCATCCAACACAGGCTGTAACACTATGCCCTGTTCGGCCTTGCGATTGAACAAGAGGAAAGCAATAGAAGAAGGGAAGAAATAAAGATAAGAGAGAGAAATGTTGTATGAGAGAAAAAGAGAAAAGAAAAAAAGAACCACTAAGAGAGCCAATGCACCATTGCCAGAGCATTGCCATGTAAACATTGTGAAGCCTCATTAGAGCTGGAGAAGGGAGAAAGCAGGCAGGCAATGCTGGATATATACGGTAGTGTTTAAATTAAACAGTCCGCAGGGCTGTTGTGAATTGAAACTTACAGGAAATACTGTTTTTGGTCTGCAGGAAAAAAAATTGTTCACAGAGTCTATAAAGAATGACAGCTACCAAAATAAACAAACCAGAGGGCTCTTATGCACCCCCATCTTAGAGAATGCAATTATAGGAGAACATTTATGCAGATCAGTACTACCTGAATTTCATATTGATGCCTCATGCTGTTTTCTTCCTTTCCCATGGGGTCCTTTGGAAAGCAAAAATAGATTTATGCTGATTATTAATGAAGCAGTAGCTAGCAAATATTCAGTTTTTCATATTCATCACACATTTTTCCTTCAAGAACAAGTAATTTTTCTGAAAAGCACATATTAACTCTGAAATAGCTATGGACCTGAGGATAACAACAATAGCAATTCATATAAAGATTTTCCACAATCAAAAAAGAAAAAGGTCAAGCCAGCCACTTCAAGGATAACATCCATCCATCTTGGCCTTGGTCGGCCCCTCTTCCTTTTTACTTCCATTTTCCCTAGCATCATTATCTTCTCCAAGCTTTCCTGTCTTGTCATCATGTGGCCAAGGTACTCGATCTTGGACTCTAATATCCTTCCCCCCATGAGCAGTCAGGCATTATTTCCTCTAGAAGCCACAAATGTTCTTATTTACTTATCTAACCTGGTTGTTTCATTTCACATATTATTGCTTCCTCTCCGAATTATATCTGTGCCCCATCCCATATTATTCTTTGTGAAAGATGCAATGCCCAAAAATATATTTACTTTATTAACGGAGGTATGTATGTATTTAAATACTTTCATAAAGTCGTATACATACTGTATAGGGGCAATGTGAGGTTTAAGGGATTCCTGACAATGTGTCACACTGGGTTGGATTGGATGGCCCGTATGGCTTCTTCCAACGTTAGGATTCTTTGAAAACCATACTTTTTATTAGTTTCCCATAATATATCATGCAGAAACAGATTCCTAAGATCTACAGAGATACTTACAGGAACACCCCAGCAAGCAAGAATCCAAAAGTGGCAGGCTAAAACCCGAAACCTCAATCAGTGGCTGAGACCGGATGAGAAACTCCCCCTTGGGCACACAGAAGACTGGGTGACCTGGAAGGTGCTGAACAGACTGCGCTCTGGCATGAGATGCAGAGCCAATCTTGAGAAATGAGGCCACAAAGTGGAGTCCACGACATGAGAGTGTGGAGAAGAGCAAACCACACACCACCTACTACAATGCGGCCTGAGCCCTGCCACATGCACAATGGAGGACCTTCTCACAGCAACAACAAAGGCACTCCAAGTGGCCAGCTACTGGTCAAAGGAAATCAAGCACAATACCAAGTTTTTTAAAAACTTTGTTTGTGTCTTTTTAAATACATTATAACTTTACCGCTTCTGACACAATAAATAAAAAAATACTGCAGCAACAGGAGTAAAACTTTTTTTTTTTGTGAAATCCACTATATACAAAAATTAGGGGTCAGTGCATAGAAGACCTTGGTAAGAGCTTTAGCATTGCCAGTGCTGTAGACAAAAATTGTCTTCAAAGGAGGAGGTCAACAGATAAGAGGCTTTCTTAGGGGAGCACAGTGAGTTTGTGGCCAAGAACTGAATCAGGCAGTTTATATTCTTAATCGTAACTGTACATTGAGTTTTCCCTGAAACTTCTTAAAATCGCTACTCACTTGCATTGCTTTCCTTTTTCTGTTGTGAAGAGATGCTGGTAGTTCTTGTGGAGAAGATGTATCCTGGCAAGGCTGATGCAGTTTAGCTTGCAAACGGCTGCTGTAAAAAGAAAAAGGTATTTTCTCCCATCAAGACTGTATTGTATGCTCTCTCTCTACACACATACACACACACACACACACACATATATATATATATAAAGGTAAAGTTTTCCCTTGGCATTAAGTTTAGCTGTGTCCAACTCTGGGGGGTGGTGCTCATCTCCATTTCTAGGCCGAAGAGCTGGCGTTGTCCGTAGACACCTCCAAAGTCATGTGGCCAGCATGACTGCATGAAGTGCCATTACCTTCCCGCCAAGTGATACCTATTGATCTACTCATATTTACATATTTTGAACTGCAAGGTTGGCAGAAGTTGTGGCTAACAGCAGGAGCTCACCTCGTTCCCCGGATTCAAACTGCCAACCTTTCGGTCAGCAAGTTCAGTAGCTCAGAGGTTTAACCTGCTGCGCCACCATGGGTTCCATCTCTCTCTCTCTCTCTATATATATATATATATATATTGAAAAAACAAGAGTCCTATGGCACTATGCAACTAACACATTGATAACAGTCCAAAAAAACAATATTCTTGGTGTCTTGGTTTTTAGGTCTGTTCCTGGGGTTATCTAGTGATGCTGATTCAGATATCTACAATGAATGAACTGCATCAACTCTAATATCTTAGATATGGTTATCATGGCTTTCTATGGGAGAGCAGATGGCGACTGATAGTGGCATATATTCTGTATCTCAAAAACTAGAGCAGATAGGGGAAAACTGGTGCCATAGAATCAGGGTTGGAAGAGACCTCGTGAGCCATCCAGTCCAAAGCCCTGCCAAGAAGCAGGAAAATAGCATTCAAAACACCCCGACAGATGGCCACCCAGCCTTTGCTTAAAAGCCTCCAAAGAAGGAGCCTCCACCACACTCCGGGGCAGAGAGTTCCACTGCTGAACAGCTCTCACAGTCAGGAAGTTCTTCTAATGTTTACGTGGAATCTCCTTTCCTGTAGTTTGTAGCCATTTTTTTAATCAGCTGGACAGATATACCCCCAAAAAAGGCTAACATTTGAGGCACCAAAATGTGTGCTAACCAGTAAAATAGCACATGTTTTCACGGACCTCAACCCACTTAATATTTTCTATATATTTAAGTAAAGACACTTATACACCAATGGGGTGGAAGGGTATACAACCAAGTTAAGAAGGATATTAAATGCATAAATACTGAGGGTGTAATATATTTGAGAAATGGCATGTTACCTGCGTCTTGACATTGTATTAAAATTCCAGATGCTCGCCTGTAAATGAGAAAATATTTTACCTTAGCTTGAAGTGTACACAAAGCATTACTTAGCTCTATTTATGCCTAATCCCCTGCGTATTCACATCAGCTGCTTATTCCTTCATCTAATGCTCCAGGAAGATCTAAGCCCAAGAACAAAAGGGCTGATGCATGAACTCAAGGTACATCCAAATGTGATTTTCCCCAAGATCCTATCAAAGCACAACAATGTACTTGTGTGTCAGGAGAGATGTAGTGATTGAGTTTTTCCCTCTCCTGAAACCTTAGCAGAGATGAGTGTTAGAGTAGCTCAGACTCAGTTCATAGAATCATTGAATCAAAGAGTTGGAAGAGACCTCATTTATTTGGAGCATTTATTAACCGCCATTCTCAGCCCACTCGGGCGACTCACGGCGGTGTACAGTACAAAAGGCAATTCACACAAAGACAAGAGTTTGAGGCCACTTTAAGAGTTTGAGGCCACTTCATGGGCCATCCAGTCCAACCCCCTGCCAAGAAGCAGGAATATTGCATTCAAATCACCCCTGACAGATGGCCAGTTCTTTACTGATTAAGAAATGCAGTTATTTCTTATTATTGTAAACAAACCTTTTGTGATTTTTTTAAAAGATTGAACCCTGCATGTTTGTCTTCTAAGCTCTGAATACGTTTACAGCCACATCACATGGCACTTCATGTTCGGCTCGCTAATGAGATGATGCTCAATTTTAGTATCCTGTTTGTTTTTGGATGCTCTGCTGTATATTTTAGAGTTTTCCCTAAAAATAGACACAAACAGTGGACCCTTGGTATCTGCTGTATAGCAAAATACTCCATTCCCATTATATATAATGACAAAGTGAAATAATATTCCTTATATAAAATGGCAAAATCAAGATTAGATATATTGGATTAAAATATGTTTTCAAGCCATAGATAGTTGGATCTGTGGATACAGGGACCATGGATATGGAAAGCCAACTGTACTGGTCACTTTCAGGTTCATGCAGTTTCCATCAGATGCCTCTTAATATCAGGCAGTAGCCATTTTGTTCCACTTTCCAGGTAAGACTATGAGTGAATTTACACCATGGCAGTTAAAGTGGTATCAAACTGCATTTATTCTACAGTGTAGATCAAGTACGGGCAAACTTCGGGCCAACAATGTTTTGGACTTCAACTCCCACAATTCCTAACTGCCATGGCTTAATCCTATGGAAATTTGGGAGTTGTAGTTTTACAATACCTTTATTCTCCTCTGCCATATAGAGCTAGTGCCCCACCAAGCTACAACCCTTGGGGCCCCCATAAAATGGAACCATGGCAGGTTTGATTTTTTTTTTTGTCATGTCAGGAGCGACCTGAGAAACTGCAAGTCACTTCTGGTGTGAGAGAATTGGCCGTCTGCAAGGACGTTGCCCAGGGGACGCCCGGATGATTTGATGTTTTATCATCCTTGTGGGAGGCTTCTCTCATGTCCCCACATGAGGAGTTGGAGCTGATAGAGGGAGCTCATTCACCTCTCCCTGGATTCAAACCTGCGACCTGTTGGTCTTCAGTCCTGCCGGCACAGGGGTTTAACCCACTGCGCCACCATGGCAGTTAAAGTGGCCTCAAACTGCATTCATTCTACAGTGTGGATCATCCTGTTAGACATGATCCAAATAAAAATGGCACAAGGAACAATTTGAAGAATTGCAAGGACTGTATAGTACCACTAAACAGCAAAAAGGGTTATATATTTTTCAATGGACCCAATCAAACCCACTTATCCCCACCCTACGCTGACTGAGACAAGCATCAATACGTGAACCAAAATATATACACAGAACTCATCTTTTCCCAGAATTTTAGGATGTTTATTTCCCAGATATTTATGAAGAGGTCTCCTTACTCACTGCCACAAAAAGACACATTGTGGTTTATTCCCTAAGAATAAGAACAATGAAAAGGAAAAGAAACAATCCACAAACCCACCCCTGATACCCCCTCCCCTTGTCTTTCTGTAGGGTTGCTATTTGTTCTATCCCACACATGGGCCAACTTGGGCCCTCCATTTGTTTTGGACTTCAACTCCCATCATTCCTAACAACCGGTAGGCTGTTAGGAATTGTGGGACTTGAAGTCCAAAACACCTGGAGGGCCAAAACACCAGGAAGGCCAAAGTTTGCCCATGCCCGTAAAACTATCCCCACATTGCCAAACTGGCCCAGAGACCCATTGTCAAATTTACTGAGAATGGTAAAGAGCTGAAGGTGGCAACTGGACTCTTTGGTTGTCCCCTCTGATATATACACCCTATATGTTGGGGTGCAACTTCTATTTGAACCCCAATATACAGAGGGGAGTGTAAAAGTACAAGGATACTTGGGCAAAGGGATTTGGGGTGCGTAAATGGGGGAGAGGAGGAGAAGGGGAAGAAGCTCCCTTTAAAAAGGGGAAAATACATTCTATATCTTGGGGTGCAGTCTGTATTTCAGGCCTATGCAAACTTGTGCCCTCAAGGTGTTTTGGACTTACTGGCTGTTAGGAATGGTCGGAGTTGAAGTCCAAAACACCTGGAGGGCCCATGTTTGCCCAGGCCTGAAATACAAGCTGCACCCCAATATAGAGAAAATTGCAAAGAGGACTTGAATCCAGTTTTCCTCCTTCCCTGACGTTTCCCTCCAAAGAGAGCAAAGCAAACCCACCCAGGAGGACAAGTCATGCACCCTTCCCAAATTGAGATGCTCCCTATAAATATGGGGGTGATCTTGAATTGGGGAAAGGAGCAACCCAATTTGCTTCCTATCATTCTCTATCTCCCGTCTTCTAGCTCCTCTTAAGAGATAATTACTCTTATCCACCTGTATTTCTGTGTTACCCCATAAGTGCTTCTTATCAGTGACCCCAAAATTTATCCAGTTCTCCCACCTATATTTCTATGTCATTCCATAAAGTACTTCTTATGGGTGACCCCAAAATCCAATTCTCCCACCTATATTTCTACATCATCCCCTAAAGTTCTTCTTATAGGGGACCCCAAAATCCATCCAGTTCTTCCACCTATATTTTCATGTCACCTCATAAAGTCCTTCTTATGGGTGACCCCAAAACCCATCCAATTCTCCGAACTATATTTCTATGCCACCCCATAAACTCCTTCTTATGGGTGACCCCAAAATCCATCCAATTCTTCCACTTATATTTCTACGTCACCCCATTAAGTCCTTCTTATAGGGGACCCCAAGATCCATCTACTTCTCGCACCTATATTTCTATGTCACCCCATAAAGTCCTTATAGAGACCCCAAGATCCATCCAATTCTCCCAATTTCTATGTCACCCCATAAATCCTTCTTATGGGTGACCCCAAAATCCATCCAATTCTCCCACCTACATTTCTACATCACCCCATAAAGCCCTTCTTATATGGGACCCCAAAATCCAATTCTCCCACTTATATTTCTACATGACCCCATAAAGTCCTTCTTATAGGTGACCCCAAAATCTATCCAATTCTCCCACCTATATTTCTATGTCACCCCATAAAGTCCTTCTTATAGAGGACCCCAAAGTCCATCCAATTCTCCCACCTGTTCGCACCTATATTTCTATGTCACCCTGTAAGTCCTTCTTATGGGTGACCCCAAAATCCATCCAATTCTCCCACCTATATTTCTACATCACCCCAAAAAGTCCTTCTTATAGGGGACCCCAAAATCTATCCAATTCTCCCACCTATATTTCTATGTCACCTCATAAAGTCCTTCTTATAGGGGACCCCAAAATCCATTAAATTCTCCCACCTATATTTCTATGTCACCTCATAAAGTCCCTTTTATAGGGGACCCCAAAATCCACCCATCTGTAAAGCTATATTATTATTATTGTTATTATTACTATTATTATTATTATTATTGTGCTATATGATTTTTGAGGGGAAGAAGAATAAGTTCATTCTCTAAGAAGCCACCCCCAAATTAGGGTCTTAAGACCCCCAATTCTCTCACAGATATAGAGGGGTCTCCTGCCCCCCTTAAATCAATTCATGCTCCAAAAAAGAGCCCCAAAAGTGTGCTTATCATGGGGGAGACTAATTGCTTCATCTTTTGGGAGAGACACCCCTTTTTCCCGCCTAGAATCCCTTCCATTTCCCCCCATTGAGCCCCCCAAAGGCGGATGGGTTGGGGGACCCCATTATTTCCCCTTCTTTCCCCCCATTCAATTCATTCTCCCTCCAAAACGAAAAAAGCCGGCAAAGTGGAAGGCGGGCAGCCCGCCTTCTTCCCTCCCTCCTTCCTCCTTCCTCCGAAGAGAAGAAAAAACCCTCCAACTCAACACCTTCACCCCTACTTTGCAGGACACCCCTAAATAGAGACACCCACCCCAAAAGAAGGAATTAAGGGGTACCCCTACTACCCCAACCCCATAATGGGGAGAGACTGCACAGGCAGGTCTAGGTCTCCTCTGTGGAGCCCCCCTCTTCCCACTCTGCTCTTGACACGCTCCCCAAATGGCCCCCCAAAGGGCGCCCCCAAAGCCCGCACCTCAGCCTCTTCGTCCTCTGCCGCTTGCCGCCCAACTCAGGACTGTCCTCAGCTGGCGCCGGCGCCAAGAGGCTATATAGCGCGGAAAGTGCGCATGCGCAGGCTCATCCCTCCCGTCAGTTCCCGGGCTGCGGATTTCTCCCGCCCAGAGAGAGACCGCGGGACCCCAAAACGGCTCCACATCACAACAATAAGGGGCAAATCATCACAAACGCACCGCAATCTGCCTTTCTCCCCCCAAGGCACTCCTTGTTCTCCTCTCCGCTGTCACTTTTAGGAATAAAGAGGAGTCTGGGGGGAAAGAAACCCTTTTGAATGACTTTTAAATTCGGTTTTTGAGGGGGAAGTGGGGGGATTTGGTGGTTTTGGAGGGAAGCCTAAGGGGAAAAGGGGGTTTCAAGGCCCCCCCTTCCCTTCCAAACATTTACCTCAATACACCCCAAAAGCCAGGCAGAGAGGAATTGTGAGGAGGGGGACACAAACCCCTTTGCAAATAATGGGTCTCTGGGATTTTGATGGTTTTGGGGGGAAACCTGAGGGAAAGAGGGGGGATCCTTTCCCTTTCATGTCCCTCAATTCATCTCAATGTACCTCAATGCACCCCAATGTACTTCAGTGCTCCCCAGTGTATTCCAAGATGCCCCAATGTGATTCCCCTCAATGCACTCCACTGTGTTTCAATGCACCCCAATACATTCCAAGGAGCCCCAATGCGCCCCAATGTATTTTAATGAGCCACAATGCACCCCAATGAACTTGAATGAGGCTCAATGCACCCCAATGTATTTTAATGAGCCCAATGCACCCCAATGTCCTTGAATGAGCCCCAATGCACCCCAATGTACTTTAATGAGCCCCAATACACTCCAAGGCATCCCAATGTACTTTAATAAGCCCCTATACAGCCCAATGCACCCCAATGTACTTTAATAGCCCCAATGCACTCCAATGCATCCCAATGTACTTTAATGAACCCCAATACAGATCAGTGCACCCCAATGTACTTTAATGAGTCACAATGCACTCCGATGCACCCCAATGTACTTTAATGAGTCCCAATATAGCCCAATGCACCCCAATGTGTTTTAATGCACTCCAATGCATCCCAATGTACTTTAATGAGCCCCAATACAGCCCAATGCACCCCAATGTACTTCAGTGACTGTCAGTGCTCCCCAATGTATTCCAGTGTGTTCCAATGTACTTCAGTGTACCTCAATTAACTTCAGTGTACTCAAATATACTTCATTGCACCCTAATGTACTCCAGTGCACCCCAACACACTCCCATGTGCACCCCAATGTAGTTCAATGAGCCCCAATGCACCCCCATGTACTACACTGTCCTTCAGTGCTCCCAAATGTATTCCAGTGTGCTCCAATGTACTTCAGTGTACTCCAATGCGCCCCAACATACTCCAGCGTACTTCAATGTAACTCAGTGCACCCCAATGTATCTCAATGAACTTTAATAACACTCTAATGCACCCCAATGCTCGCAATGTACTTCAATGCACACAAATGTGCCCCAATACTTTAGTGTACTTTAGTGCATCCCAGTGTACTTAAGTGTACCCCAGTGTATTTCAATGAGCCCCAATATACCTCAGGGGCACCCCAATGGATTCTAATGCTTGCAATGTACTTCAGTGCATCCCAATGTGCCCCAATACACTCCAATGTACTTTAGTGCACTCCAGTGTACTCTAATGCACCCCAAAGTTCTTAAGTGCATCCCAATGGATCTCAGGGCACTCCAATGTACTTCAATGAGCCCTCAGTGTACTTCAGTGCATCCCAATGTACCCCAATACACGCCAACGTACTTTAATGCACCCCAGTGTACTCCAATGCATCCCCAATGCTCCCCAAAGTATTTAAGTGCATTCCAATGTATCTCAGGGCACTCCAATGAGCCCCAGTGTATTTCAATGCACCCCAATATACCCCAGGGCACCCCAATGTACTTCAGTGTAGCCCCAATGCACCCCCAATGTATCTCAGTGAACTTCAATGAACTTCAGTGCACCCCAATGTATTCCAATGCGCCCCAATGTACTCCAATGCTCCCCAATGCATTCAATGTTATCTCTGTGCACCCCAATGTACCTGAGTGGCCTTCAGTGTCTGTGGATGAGCCTCCTTCCATGTCCTGGGAAGGCCTCCGCCCAGAGCCCCGCCTCACGCAGGAGCCGCCAAGAGGAAGAGGAGGAGGAGGAGGAAGAGGAGGCCGCCCAGCCCCTTCTTCCGCGCCAAATGCGCCTCAGCCTCAGGCGGGAAGGTTCAGAGGGGCGGTGGTCACTCCGCCTGGCCAATCCTGACCCATAAAAAGGGACAGCCTTCCTTCTTGTGCCACAACTCATATTTAAATGTAAATCCCAACGCTTCGGTTTCTAGTCGTATCAAATTCCAGGCATAGATTGAAAACCTTCTCTGGAATTATTTTCTCTGGATGGCCATCTGTCGGGAGGGGTTTGATGGTGCCTCGCTGTGTTCAGAATGGGTTTAGACTGCATGGCCCTTGGGGGGGACTAAGAAACCAATATAATTTTGGGGCTCATGAGCAATAATCCTAAAGGACTCTCCGACTCATGGCCTAAGGAAACGTGTCATTGTGAAACTCCCGCCATAATGCTTTATGCCTCCCTTTGGGGAAGAAATGTGTCCCCTTTGGAATACATTTGTTGTCCTGACTCGCCCACAATCAGCCCCTCTCAAACGTGGGCCCGCTTTCTGCCCCCCAAATTGTCAAACACTAATTGTTTCTCTCTCCTAAGCTTATTTCCCCCTCAACAACCAGCTTTTAGACAGCTTGGCTCCAAGCCCCGCCTCTGGGCGGAGCCTCTGCCCGCGCTCTAACCAATGAGGAAGCAGAAAGGCTCGGCAACGTGGAGCTGTCGGCAGAATGTAAACAAGAGGGCGCTTGAAGGCTGACAGCAGAGAGAGAGAAAAGCAAGCAGGAAGGAAAGGCAATTGGTTTCACTCAAAAGGGTTTAGACCAGAGAGGGGGCAGAAGACAGTTCCATCTTGTCTCCTGTGCTTTACTAATAATAAATATTATATATATATATATATATATGCTCTGTGCATAATGAGTACCTTAAAAACAAAAGAACCAATTAACGAAATCACACCAAATTTGGCAAGAAATCGTCTCACAACACAAGGAGTGACCATCACTTGTGCGCCAGCTGCGCCCATACCTTGGGAAGTCTGATCTGGCCACGGTGGTCCACGCTCTTGTCACATCCTGAATAGATTACTGCAACACACTCTACGTGGGGTTGCCTTTGAAGACTGTTCAGAAACTTCAACTAGTCCAACGGGCAGCGATTGCTCACCGGAGCGTCATACAGGGAGCATACCACCCCCCTGTTGCGTCAGCTCCACTGGCTGCCGATCCAATTCCGAGCACAATTCAAAGTGCTGGTTTTGACCTACAAAACCCTATACGGTTCCGGCCCAGTGTATTTGTCCGAACGGATCTCCCTCTACATCCCATCTCGAAGCTTAAGATCATCTGGGGAGGCCCTGCTCTCAACTCCGCCACTGTCACAAGTGAGGTTGGCGGGGACGAGGAGCAGGGCCTTCTCGGTGGTGGCCCCCCACCTGTGGAATTCAGCAGAATTCAAAAAGAAGGCCTTCTCAGTGGTGGCCCCCCACCTGTGGAACTCACTCCCCGGGGAGATTAGATCGGCGACTTCCGTTCTGGCGTTTAGGAAAAAACTGAAGACCTGGGTGTGGGACCAAGCCTTTGGTCATTCTGACAACTAATTTAAGGACAACTAATTTAAGGACAACTAATTTGACGATAGACAAGGACAAATGGAATGGAATGGATATATGGACTCTGAACCCTGAGCATGAGATTGTTTTATTATTTTATTATGTATTGATGTTTTAATTTAACTGTTGAATTGTTTTGTATTTTGTACTGCTTGTCAATGGATTTGGGCATCTAATTGTGCCTCCTCTGTAAGCCGCCCTGAGTCCCCCTCGGGGTGAGAAGGGCGGGGTATAAGTAAGTGAAATAAATAAATAAATCACTCAAAAATTATGATTTTGTCATTTGGGAGTTGTAGTTGCTGGGATTTATAGTTCACCTACAATCAAAGAGCACTCTGAACTCCACCCACGATGGAATTGAACCAAACTTGGCACACAGGACTCCCATGACCAACAGAAAACACCAGAAGGGTTTGGTGGGCAGTGTCCTTTGGTTTTGGAGTTGTAGTTCACCTCCATCCAGAGAGCACTGTGGACTCAAAAAATGATGGATCTGCACCAAACTTGGCATGAATATTCCATATGCCCAAATAGGAACACAGATGGAGTTTGGGGGAAATAGACCTTGACATTTGGGAGTTGTGGTTACTAGGATTTATAGTTCACCTACAACCAAAGAGCATGCTGAACTCCACCAACAACAGAACTGGGGCAAACTTCCCATGCAGAACACCATCCAGTCCAACTCCCTTCACCAGGGCAAGAAAACTTAATCAAAGCACTCCTGACAAAGAACCATCCAGACATAGATATAGATAGATATGATTCACACTCAGAGAGAGATACAGTATCATAGATAGAAAGGGACCCCTAAAGAAGGACAATTATACGTTGCATGTTCCAGAGCAAGCAAACCAGACAGTCTCCACATCAACACTGAGAAAGAAACAGCAAGAAATACTATTTACCCACAAGCAGAAAGAAATTACATATATTAAAAATGAATACTTTCTCATTATTTTCCAGATCACCAGACTGGGCCACAGCAACGCGTGGCAGGGGACGGCTAGTATAATATAAAATATTGTATATACATATAATATTATAATGTAATACAATATAATACTACTAATAATAATACAACATTATAATTATATTTTTACATGTAATATTACTAATAATATTACAATATAATGGTATAGTAGGTAAAGGTTGTCCCCTGACATTAAGTCCAGTCATGTGTGACTCTGGGGTGTGGTGCTCATCTCCATTTCTAGGCCGAAGAGTCGGCGTTGTCCATAGACACCTCCAAGGTCATGTGGCCTGCATGACTGCATGGAGCGCCGTTACCTTCCTGCCGGAGTGGTACCTATTGATCTACTCACATTTGCATGTTTTCAAACTACTAGGTTGGTAGAAGCTAGGGCTGACAACGGAAGCTCATGCCGCTCACCAGAATCGAACCTGCGACCTTTCAGTCAACAAGCTCAGCTGCTCAGCGCTTTAACACACTGCACCACTGGGGGCTACAATATAGTAATATTGTTGTTGTTCATTCATTCAGTCGTTTCCGACTCTTCTTGACCTCATGGACCAGCCCATGCCTGAGCTCCCTGTCAGCCGTCACCACCCCCAGCTCCTTCAAGGTCATATAGTAATATATAATACTGATATTGTACTATGCTAATAATATAATTTATTGTATGTATATGTATCTTGTAAGCTGCTCTGAGTCCCCTTTGGGGTGAGAAGGGCAGCATATAAATGTTGCAAATAAATAAATAATAGACCAGTGTTTCTCAACCTTCCTAATGCCGCAACCCCTTAATACAGTTCCTCATGTTGTGCTATTTATTTTTATTTATCGTGTCATCCGCAACCAGAACATTGTATTACATTTCTAATAGAACAAAACAAACAAACAGATTAAAAAAACCACAAATTTTGCAAACTTGGTAGCTGATTAAATGTCCTTTGACCAGTATCTGGCCACTTGGAGTGCCTCTGGTGTTGCCGCAAGAAGGTCCTCCATTGTGCATGTGGCAGGGCTCAGGTTGCATTGCAGCAGGTGGTCAGTGGTTTGCTCTTCTCCACACTCACATGTCGTGGATTCCACTTTGTAGCCCCATTTCTTAAGATTGGCTCTGCATCTCGTGGTGCCAGAGCGCAGTCTGTTCAGCACCTTCCAAGTCGCCCAGTCTTCTGTGTGCCCAGAGGGAGTCTCTCATTTGGTATCAGCCATTGGTTGAGGTTCTGGGTTTGAGCCTGCCACTTTTGGACTCTCGCTTGCTTAGGTGTTCCAGCGAGTGTCTCTGTAGATCTTAGAAAACTATTTCTAGATTTAAGTCGTTGACGTGCAGGCTGATACCCAAACAAGGGATGAGCTGGAGATGTCACTGCCTTGGTCCTTTCACTATTGGCTGCTACTTCCTGGCAGGTGTCAGGTGGTGCAATACCGGCTAAGCAGTGTAATTTCTCCAGTGGTGTAGGGCGCAGACACCCCGTGATAATGCGGCATGTCTCATTAAGAGCCACATCCACTGTTTTAGTGTGGTGAGATGTGTTCCACACTGGGCATGCATACTCAGCAGCAGAGTAGCAAAGCACAAGGGCAGATGTCTTCACTTGTTTGGTTGTGATCCCCAGATTGTGCCAGTTAGCTTTCGTATGGTATTGTTTCTAGCACCCACTTTTTGCTTGAAATACTACTACTAATAATACAATATTATAATTATATTTGTACATGTAATATTACTAATAATATTACAATATAATGGTATAGTACAATATAGTAATATATAATACTGATATTGTACTATGCTAATAACAATATTTTGTATGTATATGTATTTTGTAAGTCACTCTGAGTCCCCTTTGGGGTGAGAAGGGCGGCATATAAATGTTGCAAATAAATGACCAGTGTTTCTCAACCTTCCTAATGCTGCGACCCCTTAATACAGTTCCTCATGTTGTGCTGACCCCCAGCTATAAAATTATTTTCGTTGCTACTTCACAACTGTCATTTTGCTACTGTTATGAATCGTAATGTAAATATCTTATATGCAGGATGTATTTTCATTCAATGGACCAAATAGGGCACAAATACCAGATATGTCCAATTTTGAATACTGGTGGGGGAGATTGATTTTGTCATTTGGGAGTTGTAGTTGCTAGGATTTATAGTCCACCTACAATCAAAGAGCATTCTGAACTCCACCAACGATGGAATTGAACCAAACTTGGCACCCAGAACTCCCATGACCATCAGAAAATACTAGAAAGGGTTGTTGGGCATTGGCCTTGAGTTTTGGAGTTGTAGTTCACCTACATCCAGAGAGCACTGTGTACCAAACTTGGCATGGATACTCAATATGCCCAAATGGTGGAGTTTAGGGAAAATAGACCTTGACATTTGGGAATTGTAGTTGCAGGGATTTATAGTTCACCTACAATCAAAGAGCATTCAGAACCCCACCAATGATAGAATTGGGCCAAACTTCCCACACAGAAACCCCATGATCAACAGAAAATACTATGTTTTCTAATTGTCTTTGGCAACCCCTCTGACACTCCCTTGTGACCCCTAAGGGGTCCTGATCCCTAGGTTGAGAAACACTGGTTTACACTGACCTGTGGCTTCCTAGAAAAGAAACAGCACCTCTTTAAAAATACACAATGCAACCCCCTCCCTCATATATAGGTTCAGCAGCTTATAATTCTCGGGGGAAAATGAAAATTTTCCAACAAATATATTCATCTTTAACAGAGGTTGCATACAATCAATGCATCAGCCAATCCCTCTGCAGTGCCAGAAAGACAGCTTAATGGTGTAACAGAAAATGTTGACCATTTCTGCTACCTTGGCAGCCACCTCTCCACAGAAGTCAACATTGTCACTGAAATATAACACCGCCTGAGCTCTGCGAGTTCAGCATTTTTCCGAATGAAGCAGAGAGTGCTTGAGGACCAGGACATCCATAGGGATACCAAGGTGCTTGTTTATAAAGCTATTGTCCTCCCAATCCTTTTATATGCCTGTGAAACGTGGACTATCTGCAGACATCACACTCAACTCCTGGAGCAATTCCATCAGCTTTGCCTCTGGAGAATCCTGCAAATCTCTTGGAAAGACAGGCGGACAATTGAGAAAATGCACGTTGCTTCTGGTGTGAAAGAATTAGCCGTCTGCAGGGACTTTGCCCAAGGGATGGCCGAATGTTTTGATGTTTTATCATCCTTGTGGGAGACTTCTCTCATGTCCTCACATAGGGAGCTGGAGCTGAAAGAGGGAGATCATCCGCGCTCTCCCTAGATTCAAACCTGCGACCTATCAGTCTTCAGTCCTGCCAGCACAAGGGTTTAACCCATTGCGCCCCTGGGAGCGTGCCGGAAGAAGCAAAAATCACCAGCACTGAAGTGACGCTCCTATGCCATCAGCCTGCTGGACTGGTCACATTGTCCGAATGCCCAATCACTGTCTCCCAAAGCAGGTATTTACTCCCAGCTCAAGAACAGAAGATGAAATGTTGGTGGACAGGAAAAGAGATTTAAAGATAGACTTAAAGCCAACCTTAACTTCTGTGGCATAGACATCAAGAACTGGGAAGCACTGGCCCTTGAGCACCCTTGCCAAATGTCAGCTGTGACCAGCAGTGCTGCAAAATTCTAAGAGGCACAAATGGAAGACTAAAGGGAGAAATGTGCCAAGAGGATGGTGTGCCAAGCCAACCCTGTCCGGGACTGCCTTCCACCTGGAGATCAATATCCTTACTGCGGAAGAACATGTGGGTCAAGTATAGGGCTCCACAGCCACCTATGGACCCACCGCCAAGACACTACACTTGGAGGACTATCATCCTTGGACAATGAGGGATTGTCTAAGTAAATAGGTAAGTAAGTAAGTATACAGTCACTTGTCTACATGGACTAAAAAAGTCATACCCACCTCATAGGTGCTGCAATCCTGACACACGGCATTCTTGATGATTAGCTTGCATTGCCATTCTTTGGGCTTTTATTAGGTTCAACAAACCTTGCCTTTTGCCCTGCAGTTTTACTCAAGGTCTGGATTTTTTGGCATGTGGCTGGCCCTCCAGGCCAATTACTTTGCTGTGTCATTGGGAGGAGTGATGAGAGATTATCATTCCTGCCAAGGAATGGTTCTTTCCCATGTTGGATTTTTTTTTTATTTCAAGAAGGTGAGTGTGTGCAGATACTTACATATTATTATATCAAGATTTAGCTCACCTTACTTTAACAGAAAATAAATATACCGTATTTCACCAAATGTAAAGTGCCATCAAGAGCCCCAGGTGGTGCCGCAGGCTAAACCGCTGAGCTGCTGAACTTGCTAACTGAAAGGTCAGTGGTTCAAATCTGGAGAGAGGGTCCCACTGTTAGCCCCAGCTTCTGCCAACCTAGCAGTTCAAAAACATGCAAATGTGAGTAGATCAATAAGTACCTCTCCGGCAGGAAGGTAGCGGAATTCCATGCAGTCATGCTGGCCATATGATCTTGTAGGTGTCTACGGACAACAACAGCTCTTCAACTTAGAAATGGAGATGAGCACCACTCCCCAGAGTCGGACACAACTAGACTTAATGTCAAGGGAAAACCTTTACTTTTTAAGGTGCCATCAAATGTAAGGTGCACTGTGTTTTTTTAAGCTTCGGTTTTAGGAGCGCAAGGAGGGGATGTGAATAAACCCACAAGTAACATTGTCTGCATAAGTAATTATTATTAAGTCTACAGGCCCATTGTAGAGGTAGCACTTAGATTAGCCAGACAGTAAGACACTAAGGTGCTATTTTCCCACCTTAAATGGGAAAAATGTGTCCTATTTTTGCTGAAATATGATGTTTGCTTGTATTGTGAGAAAAAAAGTGGAACATACATAAACCTAGGTTGCTGTGAATTTTCCGGGCTGTATGGCCATGTTCTAGAAGCATTCTCTCCTGATAGTTTCTCCCACATCTATGGCAGGCATCCTCAGTGTTGAGAGGTCAGTTGGAAACTAGGCATGCGAGATTTATATATCTGTAGAATACCCAGGGTGGGGAAAAAAACTATTTTCTGCTTGAGGCAGAAGTGTGAATGTTGCAATTGGCTACCTTGATTAGCATGTAATGGTGCTGTAGCTTCAAAGCCTGGCTGATTGCTGCCTGGGGGAATCCTTTGTTGGGAAGTTAGCTGGCCCTGATTCTGAAAACACTTCTTATAAGTAACCTTTTATTGATCCTATTTCTCCAATTTCAAAACCATACTACAAAACAAATACCAGTAGTAATTATAGGCCACTTATAAAGTAATTGTATGTTTTTTATGAGTTTTCCCTCTCTAAGGATACTGTATTTATTTTCTGCATATCGTAGACAGCCTAAAATCTCTCTGTGTGTGATATTTTCAGCTTCTTTAAGACAAAGACATGCAAAAGAAAGAAGTGCATCTATGTCAGAATGTCTATGGAAAAGTACTCTCCATTTTCAGCCTCAGTCAGGAGTATAAAGCAGGCAAAGTTAAGCCAAATGGTAGCTTGGTGGTGTTATAACCCCAAGCCATAGCAGTCAGAGATCAGGCAGCATAGTCTGTGGAGAATGGTGTATTTGGATTTTTAGCCTTCAGTTCGTTAGGCTCAGGGGGGCAACATTCATTAAAATATTATATACACCACTACAGCCAACTTGATGTTTTACACCAACTTTTGCCAACTGGATGCGTATTGTTTAGTTCCTTCCTCCTGCAGACAGCATAATAATTCTATCTAGCAAGAACACCACAGTTGGAATCTTGCCTGAAAGCATCACCATTACCTGCCCATAAACTAGGGCTACATAGGGATTGTGAATAGTAGGAGTTATGCACACCTATTTCTAGGTTACACTAGTTCCAAACTGCCATAGTGGTGTCCAGCCAATGTTTGTGTGATAGATTTATCAAGATTGTATTTGATTATACCAGGGATGGGAATCAAGCAAACCTCGAGTTGTTCTGGGCCTGATTCCACATGTGGAGGGCCACATGACTTTAATCCCAAAAAACATACAGATCGCAGGTAATAAAATTATCTGCATACAGCAACTGAAAAAACTATGAGAAATCTATTTGCTTTTTCATTCTTAGCAGATTAGGCTGATTCATATTTGGTGCATGACCCAACACGTAGTGCACAGGTGCACTATTGTTCTCCTGAGACTGTGCGTTCCTTATAAATGATGAAAAATGAAATGAGCTGTAATCTATTTTGTAATGAAAACAAACACAAATGAATTTCCAATTCATTTTCTTTTGAATACTTCGGACCACAGAAATGGTACATGGATACATGGAGTTTCTAGAAACGAAAGCATAATGAAACTGGCAGAACAAGACATTTTGGGTTTAGGTAGTAGCTAGGCTGAATCTATGTGCCTTTTAAAATTGCCCATTAAATGGGAGACTTTTTATCCCATCTATCGCAAATCTGGTAGTCCTAATATGCCTACAAGTTGAGCATCCCTTATCTGGAAATTCGAAAGAGTTAAAAACTCCGAAATTACATACATGTGTGCCAGAGAGAGTGACACCTTTGCTTTCTGATAGTTCCATGTACATGAACTTTGTTTTCTTCAAGCTATGTGTATAAAGTATATATGAAGCATAAATGAATTTCATGTTTACACTTCAGTCCCATCTGCAAGATATCTCATGTGCATGTGTGCAATATACTAATGTATAGATATTCCAAAATACAAAATGCTTCTGGTTCCAAACTTTTCAGTTTTGTTTTCTGGGTCAGGAACAACTTGAAAAACTGCATGTCGTTTCTGGTGTGAGAGAATTGGCAGTCTACAAGAATGTTGCCCAGGGGATGCCCAAATGTTTTACCATCCTGTGGGAGGCTTCTCTCATGTCCTCCGATGAGAAGCTGGAACTGCCAGACAGGAGCCCACCCCCTTTCTGGATTTGAACCACCGATCTTTTGGTCAGCAGTCATGCTGGCACAAGAGTTTAACCCATTAAGCCTTGGGGGACTCCTAGCTTTTCAGGTAAGGGATGCTTAATCCAGAGTAACATGTTTGCTTCAAATTTCATATGTCATTTCTAAAGATCACCAAAGTTGCAGCAGAAGATTGCCTGGATTTCAATTGAACTCAGTGGGAATTAATTCAGTTTAATCACATGGAAAATGTAACTTTTCAGTATGAGAAAAAAACAGTTTATTTTCCCCTGCCTATTTCAGAGGCTAGTCCAGGGGCACATTTTAAAGATGGTCTTGGGCTCTGACTGCCCATCCTCGCTGACCACATGGTTAAGACATGATAAATGTTGGAGCCCAACAAAAATATTTGGGAAACTACAAATTCCCTCTCTGTGAGCTAAGCAAATGGAATCAGCTACATTAAATTACACAATGTACCTGACAAACAGCCAGTCTTGAGTTTTTACAGCTACATATGTTTGGTCGTATCAAAGTGATAGAGCCTTGTATATCTAAGGTATTGGTACAAAAACAACAACAACAAAGGCTCCACAAAGAAGCTGCCATTGATAATGCATAGACTGATGTACAGTATTTATCTTGACAGAAATGTCCCTTCTTGTAGGCTTCAAATTCAAGTCTGCTGTGTACAAGTCAGTTGCAAAAGGCACAGTTTTGTTTACAATACATATGGAAAAACAGTTTCAGCATAATTATTGAAACACCATTCAACATAGCACAAGGCCTCACTTTTACAAGTTAATACAATTTTTTTTTGTTGGGAGAGGGATTAACTATATAAAAAGTCATACTTATACAACACATATCATTTGAAAGGGGGAATTCCACACAACTCTTAATAATAAGTCCAAGACTTGCAAACGCGTAATAGAAAAAAGTAACATAAATATGCACAATAATGAAGAGTGAAACATTGTAATGTACACGCAGTCATTCCTTCCACAACAGCATTGCTTCCAACACTGACAACCGCAAAAGCACATATGTTACAGTAACCCTATGTTTATTTTTAAATAGTGTTTGTATTTAGAAATAATGAACAACTTCTCATGTATGCTGGCAGTTACAATGGGACTTTTCCTACCCACTCTCTTCCTTGCAGTCCTTTATACTGGCCAAAAACTGGTTCCAGAGGCTCTCCCTGCCTTATAAAGCAGAAGAGCAGACCTTCATTTTCAGGTCCCTTAAAAGAGAGGATAAAAGCCAAATACTTCATGGAGACAGGTAATGGGTAAGAACCTACACTGAGCAAAGCCGATTCTTGGGAATCTATATTAAAACATTTAGAAATTCCTGAGCTTAAAATTGTGTCTGTGGTATTTGCCCCTGAAACTGAAAAATAGATTAAAAATTCCTGGTGGATGATAAAATCGTGAGTGTTTTGAAAAAAACGACCCAAATGAGCCATTGACTGGACTGAAAACTATGAAATTTCAGTGGAGAAATTGGTCCACAGGACTAGAGAGGGTAAGTAGGTTCAAATATGTATTTGTTTAAACATGGAGACTGCACTCAAAACACTTAATCATTCCTTCAAAGTTCTTTGGACTTTAGACAACAAGAAATGTGTCTCCATAAAAGCCTTTTTGAAAGAAGGCCTATTAAATACATTGCTAGTAATCATGGGCCCGAAATTTGTCTCATCCATTTGATTCGTGTTTCTGTTTTGCTCCGTCCACTTGGATGGCACAAAATGGGAAGGCCCTTCCAGGAACAAAAACTAAATCGATACGAAAGGTGGATGGGAGCGGGTACTGGCTCCAAGCCTGTTTTTTTTATTGATTGCTGCACTCATAGGTCCGAAGTGCCAGGGCCTGCAACTGAGCGCCGAGTAAGGAGTGCTCCTTACTCAGCGCACGGCTGCAGGCCCTGTGAGGCCCGGGCGGGTAGGCCCAAAGCTTGCACCCATAGGTCCAGGCACTTTTGGCCGGTCCCACGGGTGCAAAAACCCAAAATCTTTTGGCACTGAAAAAAGGAAACAAATATCTGACCTCCAGATTTCAGGAGGCTCAGTCAAAATGGATCAGAGGCCTGACCAAAATCCGGGACACAAAACGGATCAAGAATACCCCGAATGCACATGACTAATTGCTAGTATTTCAAGTGAAGAGGCGGAGAGGGTATGGTAGATGTGTAGTTACATGGTCTTGAATTAGATTGTCCACAAAACAGTGAGCGGCACAATTTCAGGCCACAACAGGTTCTAGAGAGATAAATGAAGCATAAACCAGTAGGATATTCTAAGAAGTTAATAGTGAATTGTATATCACTTGAAAATCAAATACTGGTTTTAATCAATAATGCCATCAAAAGGAGAGAGAGAAAAATTGAGATGGTGAACCCTTGATGGAGAGTCACTTCAGGGCTGTGGCTATAGGTTTAAGGCCTTATATAGGCAGAAACGTACAGTTGATTAACTGACTTGAAGGAAAGCGAAAAATATTTTGTGCTTTATGCCCAGAAATGTAAAGGTGAAAGGGAAAAAGCAGACACAGGGCTCCTAACTAGATGGTAATTTCAACTATGCAGGAATTTGCTCTTTCTGATGCCCCGACAGTAGTTCCTAACACTAAAGTTTTAAAATCAATACGGAACAACTTGTGGCCATGTTGGAATGACCATTAGCCCTAGTCATTAGGTAAGGATATGGGCATCCCAGTCCAAAGACACTTGGAAAACTATGTTGCCCATCCAATTTACATTAATGCACCGCATATAATTATAGAAATATAGTGTAGGGGTATATATATTTTTTCTAAGCAGGCATCTATTTTGCTGAAATTTCAAAGCATGAAGCCCTGAGTTAGTTTCCATTGTCTTTCAGGTCAAATAGATACAACAAAGCCTAGTATTGCCTTGTGCTTTCTGGAGAGGTTGAGCTATAATGTTTGTGGCACACTCTACTTGCAAGGGATGATGAGAGTTGCAATCCAACACAACTAGAAGGTGTCAGGTTGCAGAAACTAATCACTTATTTCCAGTGGGAGTTTGCTGTGAGGTATCTCCTTTGTCTATAAATCTAGGCAAATGCAACAAACCTCTGAGATGAGACATAAGCTGACAGTAAGTCCTTTCATAGGTCCTTTCCACTCCTTCTCCACACTTCTGGTTACATATTGAATTCACTCCTCATTGGGAGCTCAATGCCATCCTGTCCATCACATTATAATGGCTATTCTAGATTGTTAAAACAAATTTTACAGTATACACAGATCATTGCAAGTGTACAACTGACCCTGAGAAATTCTGTAACTGCATTTGGACTACAATTATGAATGAAAATTGCCTGCTACGTCTTGGCTAAAAATACCGATATAAAAACAAACCCATCCATACATCAGAAAGTTCCTAAAGTCACATACAGCCCCCCTATCCCACCCCCGACCACACAAACTCTTGATATGTTTCTGATCCACAAGTAAAATATCATAAAGGCATTCTGTGATACATCATTAACATCAACGTGGTTTACAAACTAACTGTAACACTCAGTGGTGGTGTAGAAACAACAGATAATCAGCATAAGATGGAAATCACCTTCATAATCTACACTCACACACAAGTAGAAAAAAACAAGGACAGTTAACCAATATTATTTTTGAAAACAACAATAACAGTTATAATAATAATGCGAAACACTCTCAGTAATTATACTGACGCTGGCAAGGCTGGTGAACAAGAATTCCGTTGTTCTTGAGTTGCCGAGAATAGCAATCCCTGGTCAGGTTTTGGCGACGGAGGCAATTTCTGGTCAGATATTGTCTTTCATGGTGTTCTTTTGTCCACTGGGAAGGACGCAAGCTCTTGGTCTGTTCAAGAAAGGTTGAGTGAGTGGCGAGTGTTGCTATGTAGCATCTGATGTGTTGACTCATTTGGCTTTGGGCTTCTGATCTAAAATTCAAATCACAGGCACAGGTTGAACATCCCTGATCTGGAATTTACAAAATTGTCAACATTGGTGGCGAAGACAAGTGACACCTTGCTTTCAGGTGGTTTTAGTGTACACTGACGTTGTTTCATACACAAACCTATAAAAATATTGTGTAAAATTACCTTATGTGAAACATAAATTATATATATAGTAAAGTAAAGCTTTCCCTTTGACATTACATCTAGTTGTGTCCAACTCTGGGGGTGGTGCTCATCTCCATTTCTAAGCCGAAGAGTCGGCGTTGCCTGTAGAAACCTCCAAGGTCATGTGGCCAGCATGATTGCATGGAGTGCTGTTACCTTCCTGCACAAATTATACCTATTGATTTACTTGCATTTGCATGTTTTCAAAATGTTTGTTTGGCAGAAGCTGGGCCTAACAGTGGAAGCTCACTCCACTCCCCAGATTAGAACTACCGACTTTCGGCCAGCAAGTTCAGCAGCTTAGCAGTTTGATTCTCTGTGCCACCGGGGGCTCCTTAAATTATATATTTACACAGATATATATGAAACATAAATGAATTTCATATTTAGACTTGATCTCTCAAAGATAGATATTTAAATATAAACACAATATAAGTAGAAAATTCTAGTATTGATAGGGCACAAGGTAACAAATATTTTGGATGCTACAGAATCAAGATATAGGTATTCCTCTCTCAAGCAGTACAGAACCAAGACATTTTTAATGCCTGAGACAAAGGATAAAATGGCACCAAGGCTGCGTTTAGCATACTAAAGTCAATAAGGACTGACAGCTGAATCTTACTACAAGTCTGATTAAGCATACTGCTTTCTCTGCTACATATGAAAGACAGTGAAAGAGGCTTGCACTGTAAATTAAATCATCTTGATATGGTTTCCTGCCTAGCTACCCTTGCACTCACTCCTCAATGTAGCTGCCTCATTCTGTTTAATGGTAAGATGTATTGGAAATTCCTCTCAATACTCCCAAAGAAATGATCCCCAGGGGCAGGCTGGGAAGGGGAGCCCATACCAGGATCTTCAGATCATTGGTATAGGCTTGTCAGGTATATTGCTGTGGCGATTGAAATGGGGCTAGGAAAGCAAGTACCTTCTTCACTAGAAATGCTGGTGTCTATACTCAAAAAGTCAATTGGTGGCCATGGAGGACTTTAGTCTACATAACTCTCTAAAAACAGGTTGAGATTCTGCATTACAGACACAAAGCCCAAAAGTTAAACCCACCTTTTCCTGTAAACCAGTTGTTCTCAGCCTGTGGATTTCCAGGTATTTTGGCTTACAACTCTCAGAACTCCCAGCCAGTTTACCAGCTGTTAGGATTTCTGGAAGTTGAAGGCCAAAACATCTGTGGACCCACAGTTTAAGAACCACTGCTGTAAACCATTTTTGTGCTCTTCACTCTCAACATAGCTATAAAGTAGTCAACAGAGAGTGGAAGATGGGATTGAAGATGTGTCTGGCTTGGTTCCTTTAGCCAAACGTGCAACAATAAGCCATCCTCTGAGATCTTTAGGATGCTGTCATAATTGTGCTGCCAGATAGAGCGAAAGACCTAGAGATTTTTCAGGCTCCCCAGCTCTCCACCGACCACTACATGGGTTTGTCAGGGCAGGTAGTTTGAAAAGGGTGGCTTTACAGAGGACTGGGGATATAGTATGAGGAAGGAAGATATTATTTAATATCAAAGATAGATATTACTTAAATATAAACACAATATAAGTAGAAAATTCTAGTATTGATAGGACACGAGGTAACAAATTCTTTGGATGCTACAGAATCAAGATATGGGTATTCCTCTCTCAAGCAGTACAGAACTAAGTCTCAACAACCAATTCCAGTCTCAACATCCAAAAAAGTAACTTCAATAGAAGTAACTTACATCAGTGTAGTTCACTAACAGGATGCAAGCACAGATTTCATATACATTGTTCCATGGAGCTGGCATTGAAGTTTTGTTTATTTAATAAGTTCCCCAATCAACCATCATTTGGTTTTATTTATTTCATATCAAAATAAATAATTAATAAGCATTAAAAATTGATATAAATAGGAGCGCCAAATGGCTAAATATCTCTTGATCAAAAATACGCAACAGCAACCGTATTGTCTGTAGCATCAAACAATTCTTCCTTTGTACATGAGGCAGGACACTGCAGACAAGCATACCGATGTGGAGTTGTCTGTTCTGCTCCACAGTTGTACAAGGTTACATTTAGTTGCATAACTCAATTTAATCTAGAAGCAGAAGACTTACTGAGGATTAGTAGCATTGCGATTCTCTTTCTCCTCTTCATCCTCCTCCTCTTCCTCATCACCACAACTGGTCTTGTTGAGACTATGATGTGTATTATGGACTGCATAAACAGACATGCTGGGATGTTCAATCAGAAGGTTCTCCAAAGGGCTGGTTTCTACTTTGAGAGTGGTCAGGCCACCCGCTGTGAAGCACGGCGGTGGCGTAATGAACCAGCTCTCTTCCATAGGGCATGAGTCAAACTGGACAAAGCAAGATTCACTGGCGTCGGACAAACATTCCAAAGAAGTAGGCAGATGAGAGAATACAGGCGGGTGGTCAACAGATGATGCTTCATGGACGCTGCAGTCATCCTCCTCTTCATCCTCTTCTTCTTCTTCTTCTTCCACCATTGAGAAGTTATTACAGGTGTCTATTGGGAGTTACAATGGCCATTGAGACGAATGAGAAAAGTTACGGAAGTAGTCAAGAGTTCAGATAATTTATGGGAGGGGAGGGGAGCCCTTATGTGGTTCAAACATTTGGACTTCAGCTCTCAGAAGTCTTATCCAGTGTAACTAACAGGGAGGTGAATGCCAAATTATGAAAGTCCAAAGATTCCCTGAATATTTTCCAGATTCAGAGTATGAACCCTCAACAATCTGATACCACTGCATGCAGGAAGTGTTACACAAGGCTTACACACCAGCCTAATTCTGGTGTCTATTTGGGCTGGAGATTCCTTTTCCATGGTAGAAAGTATGTAAGTATCCTCAGGATCCTCAGGTAGAAAGTATGTAAGTATCCTTAGGATTTTCAGCCCAAATACACATAAGAATGAAGCCACAATCTCTGGGGTTATCTTCATAACAAAACAGGATAAGTGGAAAGGAGAAAGAGGAAAAGCCAGTCAATGTTATGCATTGTTAGGATTGATTTGAGTGAAAAAAGAATTCAGGTTTGGGTGTTGGACTAGACATGGGACATGCAGGCTGAAATTCCCATTTTGTGGTGAAATTTACTGGGTCTACTGGTGAAATTTACTCAACCTGACCTCATTCTCAGAGCTGTTGTGAGGATAAAGCAGGGAAAGGAGGGGAGACGGGTTCACTGCCTGGAGCCCACTGGAAGAAAGGCAGGATGCACCAATTCTTTTATTGATATGTATATGTGTGGCATCAAATTGTTGCCTTTTGTAAGGCTGTTCTGAGTCCCCTTCAGGGTGTAAAGGGCAGAGTACAAATGTGATAAATAATAACAGGAAATAGAGAAACTAGGACACACCAGGAAAAGCTTTTGTTATAAAGAATATATTGTACTTTTCAGCTTCAATAAGCTGTTCTATATTTTAGTTTTATAGTTAGCCCAAAGCATTCCCCATTCCAGGTTTGGTTGCTTAATAAGTAATTGATTGTTTAATGTTCTTAAAGCTATTTTACCATGTTTTGTTGACTGAGGGCAGTGGTTCTCAACCTTCCTAATGCCATGACTCCTTAATACAGTTCCTCGTGTTGTGGTGATCCCCAACCATAAAATTATTTTGGTTGCTACTTCATAACTGTAATTTTGCTACTGTTACGAATTGTAATGTAAATATCTGATCTGCAGGATGTATTTTCATTCACTCAACCTAATTTGGCACAAATACCCGGTACACTCAAATTTGAATACTGGTGGGGTTGAGGAGGGATTGATTTTATCATTTGGGAGTTGTAGTTGCTGGGATTTATAGTTCACCTACAATCAAAGAGCATTTTGAACTCCACCAATGATGGAATTGAACCAAAATTGGCACAGAGAACTTCCCATGACCAACAGAAAATACTGGAAGGTTTTGATGGGCATTGGCCTTACGTTTTAGAATTGTAGTTCACCTACATCCAGAGAGTACTGTGGACTCAAACAATGATGGAACAGGACCAAACTTGGCATGAATACTCAGTATGCCCAAATGTGAACACTGGTAAAGTTTGGGGGAAATAGACCTTGGCATTTGGGTGTTGTAATTCAGGGATTTATAGCTCATCTACAATCAAAAGAGCACTCTGAACTCTACCAACGACAGAATTGGGCCAAACGTCCCACACAGAACCCGTGATGACCATAAAAAAATACTGTGTTTTCTGATGGTCTTTGGTGACCCCTCTGACACTCCCTCACAACTCCCAGGTTGAGAAACGCTGCCTTAGGGTTTCCATAAGTTAGAAATGACCTGAAGAACAAACTGTCTTAGTTACTTGGTTGTAACATATTTATTATAAGCTGCTTCAAGACTCATTTGATATAAATCAAATAAAGAGATACATGTAAAATTTCAGTATGGAGCTCTTTCCTTCCTGCTGTAAAACTTCTACTTAACTGGTTTCTTACCTATAAAATCCACCAGAATCCATTCCTCTTCTTCCTTCTCACTAAATGCTGGCTCTTGGCTGGGCAAATCATTGATTTCTTCCATGAACATACTATTCAGCCTCTGGAACATGACTAAGGCAATAACAAAGGTCTTTCTGGCACTTCTTTGTATCCACGAGTTACGGTACAGCTTCACAATGTGCCAGGTAAGGACGCAGGTAGAAGATTAAAGTGCATAAAAGGCTTTTATCAGCTTAGGCACAGAACATGGGGAACCATGATTTGTAAACAGTTGCTACAAAATCCTGCAAAGACAGAAAAAAAGTAGTGTCAACTCTATGTTATGTGTACAAAATATTTCCTGTTTAAGCAACATTAAGCACATTCTATGGCAGCAAGCCAGGATCAGCCAAGAAGCTGCAGCCAAATTGATCTGTGAAGAGCATCCCTCTATAATGTAACATCTCATTCACATGTTTGTTATCCTCCCACAGAGTGTAATGGACAGTGGGTCCCTACTATCCAACTAGGGTTTCCAAGATCATGGATACCAAAATCTATGGATGCTCAAGTCCCATTATATAAAATGGCACTGTTAAATGGCATTCCCTGTGTCAAATAAATCATGAGTGGTTGAATCCATGGATATCTAGACTGAACTTGGCAAATGCTAATTTAGAGGAAAGTAAACATATCCCAGCATACGTTTCTGGATTGCAAGACCCGTCAGCTTGAACTGTAAGGAACAGTGGGGGCCTTATATTCATCCCTCTTGTTTGTTCTTTAACATTTATGAAATCCATATTGATCTTCAAGAGCTGAAAGCAATTATGAATGTTTTCAGACAAAATTGTTTCTAGCAAAAGGCATTTAGCAAATATTCTGTCCCAAAATGGAATAGGTAGTAGGAAATCACAGGATTATAAAAGGAAACACTGGCATACAAAAACACACAACCCTCACATAGATGAAGCTGGGTGCCTACATAGCTAAGAAGCACCTTTGACTTTCTTCTGTATCCTCAGCAAAAAGTTCTGCATTATTGACAGAGTCACAAAGCATCTCCATCCAGTTCTGGACACTAGAATTCAAGAAGTATATTGATACGCCAGAACATGTCAAGGAAGGCAACCAAATGTCTGGATCAGGTCTGGAAGCCAAAACCCTATGAGGTGCAACTTAAGTTGGGTACGTTTAGCTTGGAGAAGAGAAGGTTAAGTAGGGACACTATAGTCATGTTTAGAATCATAGAGTTGGAAGAGACTTTGTGGGCCATCCAGTCCAACCCCCTGCCAAGAAGCAGAACAACTGCATTCAAAGCACCCCTGACAGATGACCATTCAGCTTCTGCTTAAAAGCTTCCAAAGAAGGAGCCTCCACCACATTCCGGGGCAGAGACATTTTAAAGGATGCCATTTTGAAGATAGAGCAGATTTATTTTCTGCTGCTTCAGAAACTAAGACATGGAGCATTGGCTTATAATTTCAGGAAGAGGAATTCCACCTAAAAATTAGGAAGATCTGCTTGGCAATGAAATCTACTTCTTCAAACCATGATGGAGTCCTCTTCTCTAGAGGTTTTTAAGCAGAGGCAGAAGTGCATGGCAGTGAGTTGGACAGGCTTGCTCTTGTGGTCTCTTCCAGCTCTGTGATCCCACCTCTATCTCATGTGCACACTTATGATTATAGGGCAAGGATGGAGGAAATGTGGATTATGTGCAACCCACGGAGCTGCTTCCTGGCCCCAGATACTCCCAGTTTTGGGAAAAAATACATTTGGTGGTGAAGCATCTTAGGATAGTCCTTCAGGTCCCCTGGGGAAGCGATGAGGTCACTGAACTTTTGTGAGTTCTCCAACCCTGTTACAGGATGTTCAGGGGAGTGAGTCAGAGCATGAGTGCAAGAGGCCTTCTGTAAAGCCTGAGATCAGAACACAGGGCAATTCTAAGCTTCTCAATGGCAAACCCCTTGACAAGGAAAAGATAGATAGCAGAAGTCAGGTAGATTGAAGGGTTTTTGCAAGGAAGCCATAATCTATCTGATCACGTCTAATCTCACATCTTGGTTTTGCCAAAATGTAACACCCTGGGTCTTAAAGTTGCATCAGGTTTGTTGTTTCCTGAAAACCCTATTTTCTAACCTGTAAATGTTAGGAAAGGCTATTCAGCAAGAAGCAGAAACCCTTGTCCCAAAATCTCTTGTTCATTTTTTAAATTCAGAGAGATGAGTTTGTCATCCTGGAGACTACAACTCTTTCTAGGAGGCTTTCAAAGCAGAAAGTTTCTAAGAAGAAGCTGGGGGAGGCTACTCTATAATGTTCTAATTACTTTAATAGTTTCTAGTGCTTTTATGTGATTTTAATCAATTTGTTTTCACCATGCTACTTTGAATCTTATGTTGTTACATGGCATTGTGACCTGCTTTGAGTCTCAACAGAAGAAAGATATAAATTGTTATTATTATTATTATTATTATTATTATTATTATTATTATTATTATGCAAGTCACTTCAACACCTTAAATCAAGATCTGGAAGTCTTTCCTTATTTTTTTATTTTTTTCTTCTTCTTCTCTCCCCCCCCCCCTCCCCCGGCCCGGTTGTTGTTGTTGTTTGGTTGTTGTTGTTTGACTGGCTCCTTCATTCTTCAAATTTCCCACTTTTCTTTCATTGTTTCCACTCTTTTTATGTAAAAAAAAATCCTTTATCACTACTTCTTTAGGGAGCCTACCTTTATTCTCAATAAAAACATTTTAAAAAAAGAAATAGTTTCTGAAGATCTATAGAGATACTCGCGGGAACACCTCAGCAAGCGAGAGTCCAAAAGTGGCAGATTAAAACCCGAAACTGCAATCAGTGGCTGAGACTGGGCACACAGAAGACTAGGTGACTTGGAAGGTTTTGGACAGACTGTGCTCTGGCACCACAAGATGCAAAGGCGACCTTCAGAAATGGGGCTCAAAGTGGAGTCCAAGACATGCAACTGTGGACAAGAGCAAACCATGCAACCTGAGCCCTGCCACATGCACAATGGCGGGCCTTCTTACAGTGACACCAAAGGAATTCGAAGCGACCACCTTCTTGTCAAAAGAAATTTACTATAATACCAACATTTTAAACTTTGTTCGTGGTTTTTTTTATACATTATAAATAAAAGTTATTATTAATATAATCCTTAGCCTGCATTGCCAATGGTGAGGGATAAAGGATATTCCGCTAATTGATGTCTAGGGGTATTATAGAGCTGTCTGGAGTATTATAGAGCTGAGTCTTTGCTCTTCCTCCTTAAACACAACTCATTAAGTGTTATGCTGACTTTGCTACTGTGCCAAACTGTAATATCATTCTTCCCAGTAGAGGGCACAGAAGGACGGGTTTCAAAAAGGAACTCTGGTTCCAGCTTCCCACCAAAGTGGTTTCAAGAATGGCTATTCAGGGGCCTGATTTCAATCTCAGGAGTCTGCTTTGGGGAATACCTGTATGCAGATGCTATTGGAAGCACCTGGAGCTTTCTGTTTAACAACACACAACTGGGCAGACTAATGAAAACACCAACAGATTACAGAGTTTATATAACTCTTGGCTGATCTGGTCTCTGTTTTCAAAATCCAGTCTTTCCCAGATTTCTGCAAAGGGGATTAAAATGGCCAAAGGGCTTGCTCAACCTTCCTATGCAGAAAGGTTATAACATTTAGGATTCTTCTGTTTGGGTGAAACAAGTAATGATAGAGGGATATGAAATGAAGTGGCAAGGTTGAGAAATTAAGAGGGGTTTGCAGATTGGGCCACAGTTGGTGCAATGGGTTAAACCCTTGTGCTGCTGAACTGCTGACCTGAAGGTCAGCAGTTCAAAGCCGCATGTCAGGGTGAGCTTTCACTGTTAGCTCTAGCTCCTGTCAACATAGCCATTCAAAAACATGCAAATGTGAGTAGATAAATACGTACTGCTTCAGCAGACAGATAATAAAGGGACCCATGCAGCCAAGCTGGTAATGCGACCAGGAGGTGTCTATGGACAACAGGCTTCTTGGTTTGGAAAGGGCAAAAGAGCACCTCCCCATGGCCAGAGTTGAGCACCACCTCCAGAAGCCAGAGATGAAAGGGGAAGCCTTTACCTTTCTTCTGTGTATTTCTGTATCACTGTTATTTACTGTATTATTATTATTTATTATTTACAGCATTTATATACCGCTTTTCTCACCCCGAGGGGGACTCAAAGCGGTTTACACATAGATAATGGCAAAAATTCAATTGAACATTTGTCTATCTGTGTATGTTTGTAATCCACTCTGAGTCTCCTCAGGGAGATAGATCGATGGGAATATAAATAAATGTATTGTTATTACTATTCCATGAGACCAGGGGTGCAACTACACTGTAGAAATAATGCAGTGGCTCAAGGCTATGGAATCTTATATAGTTAAAGTTTTACAAGATCTTTAACCTTTTTTGCCAGATAGCATGGGTGCCTCACCAAATTACAAGGGTAGTATAGTGTTGTGTATCATGAGAAGACAGGAAAGCTTAGAGAAGACAATGATGCTGGGGAAAATGGAAGGAAAAAGGAAGACCAAGGGCAAGATGGATGAATGGGATCCTTGAAGTGACTGGATTGACCTTGAAGGAGCTGGGGGTGGTGACGGCCAACAGGGAGCTCCGGCGTGGGCTGGTCCATGAGGTCATGAGGAGTCGGAAACGACTGAACGAATGAACAACAACATGGTGTTGTGTTTGACTCTATCTACACTGACTATTTAATGCAGTTTGAAGCTAGTAGGCTTGAAACTATGGCAGATAGATGAACACCCACAAAAGTGTGCAAAGGAAAGTCCTTTCAGCGCAGTGCTCTGTAATTTGTGAAATCATCATCTGGGCCTCAAATTGGTTCCAGGATTTCCTGGGTAATCATCTGCTCAGTGAAACCACTTTCTTTAATCCTGGTTTGAAAATGACTTAAGTGGTCAGTGCAGATGTGTTCTCTCACTTTGAGAGACCAAGTCACATTCTCTCAGCCTCAGAGGAAGGCAATGGCAACTAACACTTTCCCCATTCCTTCCCCCAAATATGTCTTGGCAAGAGAGTTGGCCTGAAGGTTGCTGTAGGTCAGAAATGACTCAAAGGCACAAAGCATCCAATAAAACAAACACGAAAACCAACAGAAGCTATTGAGATTGCACCAGGTTGAGTCAGACTTACAGAAAGTGATGTGAAATAGTTCTGCGAAGCAAAACACAACACACCAGAACAGTTGCCCAATGTTGGTATCAAAACAGATACTTGTGAAAGGTGGAAAGGCAACTTTCCTTCCCCTTCAGTGGGATTTCAGGGATCACTGAGAGCATCTACACCATGGACAAACTTCAGCCCTCCAAGGTGTTTTGGACTTCAACTCCCACCATTCCTAACAGCCACAGGCCCCTTCCTTTCCCCCCTCAAAGGAGGAAACGGAAAGGGCCTGAGGCTGTTAGGAATGGTGGGAGTTGAAGTCCAAAACACCCGGAGGCCTGAAGTTTGCTCATGCCTGATCTACACAATGAAACAAATGCAGTTTGACACCAAAGGCTTTCTTTTTTCATGCTTCTGTGGGAGTTTGTTTGGCTGCCACAGATTGAAGTGAGCTCTGAACTGCACTAAGTGTTCAGTGCAGATGTGGTCCTAGACAGGTCTCTCTTCGCCCAGGTGCACTGCTGTGACCTGGCCTGCCCTGAGAGACCGAGCCAGGAGGAGTCAGGAGTCTGGTTTGTTTTGCTGGGAGGCTTGAGCCTGCCCCGGACAGCACCTGCCGCTCCTCAAGGTGAGGCCTGCTACACCTGACGGGTCCCAGAAGAGGAGGCAGGCTTTGGATGGAAGAGGGGGAGAAGAGAAGGAAAAGAGGAGGAGGGAAGGAAAGCAGGAGAAAAGGTGAAGTGAAGAAGAAAGAAAAAGAGGAGAGAAGGAAAAGAGAGGGAGGAGGAGGAAAAGAGGGAAGAGAGGAGAGAGGAGAAAAGAAGAGGAGTAAAAGGAAGGGAATGGAAGGAGGGAAGAAGAGAGAAGGGGACCAGGAGGAGAAGAGGAGGAAAATAGTAGGAGAAAGAAGAAAAACAGAAGGGAGAGAAGAGGAGGAGAAGGAGAGAAGGGGAAGTGGAGAAAGAGAAGGAAAAAGAAGTGAAGAGGAGGAGGAAAAGAGAAGAAGAGGAAGAGGAGAAAAGGAAAAGAGAAAGAGGAGGTGACAAAAGAGGAAAAGAGAAGAGAGAGGAGGAAGACAGAAGGAGGAGAATGAAGAGAAGGAGAGAAGTAAAAGAGAAGGAGGAGAAAGACAAGGAGAAGGAAAAGAGGAAGAGAGAAAGGGAGCAGGAGGAGAAAAAGAGAAGGGAGAGAAGTGGAGAAGAGAAGGACAGAGAATGTGATCAGGAGGATTATAGGGAAGAAGAGAAGAGAATGAAGAAAGGGAGAAGAGAAGGGGAATAAAGGAAAAGAAAGGAGAGAAGGAGAAAAAAGAGAAGGGAGAGAAGAAGGAAGGAGGAAGGAGGAAAGAAAGGAGGAGAAAAGGAAAGGAGGAAAGAAGAAAAGAGAAGAAAAAATGGAAGCAAAGAAAGGAAGGAAGGAAAGAGGTAGAAAAGGAAGAAAGAAGAGTAAGAGGAAGGAAAAGAAAAGGGAGGAAGGAAAGAGGTAGAGAAGGAAGGAAGGAAGGAAGGAAGGAGAGGAGGAAAGAAGAAAAGGGAAAGAAAAAGAAAGGAGGAAGAAGGGAAAGAGAAGGAAAAAGGAGGAGGAGGGAAAAAAGGAGGAAAAAAAGGAGAGGAAGGAGAGGAGGAGAGGAAGGAGAGGGAGAGGAGGAGGAAAAGGGGGAGGAGAGGAGGCCAAGGGAGGGCGGCCCCTTGGTCCTGTCCTCACAAGAGGAGAGACTGAGACCAAAACAAGAGGCTGCTCCCTCCCTCCTTCCTCTTTGGGCGTCTCGGGCTCCTCCCTCCGGGGCGTGAGAAAGGCAAGTCAGCCCCAAAGCGGAGCCCGGGGCTGCCAGGGCCAACAGGCGAGGCTCTCCCTCCTTCTCTCTCTCTCTGGCCAGAGAGGCCGCTTTGTCCAGCTTTGGCCGGAGCCTGACCTTGCCTTAACCCACCCCCCTCCTCTCCCAAGCTAAACCACAACTCCCAAGACTATAGCACTGAGCCAGGTGACTCAAGTGGTGTCACACCGCATTGGTCAGACAGACTCGGACTCGGCTTGTACCAAGACCCACGGCTTTTGCGCCCCCTTCTTCCACGCAAGGCTAGGCTTGCTCCTCCCGAGGAAGCCCCTCTCCTCCTCCTCCTGCGCCACAAGTGGTTTGCCTTGGGTTGCACTTCCGAAGGGAGGACAAAAGCTTCCAAGGCTTCCCATTTCCCTTCCAGGAAGATTCCGAGTGGGAGGAAAGGTCTCTTTACACCGAGACGGACCCGGCTCTGTCCCTACCGGCCAGACCCACAGAAAGAGAGAGAATGGGGCCACAAAGACCCCCAGAGTTTGGGCGGAAAAGCGGCCGCGCATCTTCACTGTAGAATTAATGCAGTTTAGCACTGCTTTCATCGCCTGTGGCTCAATGCTAGGCATCCCTGAGAGCTGTAGTTTCATCCCAAAGAGGGCCGGTGCCTCCCCAAACTACAATTTCCATGATTAAACAGCATCGCAGTTAAAGTGATTTAATTCCACAAGTGTAGATGTGCTTTTAGCTTGGATCAGTCGCAGCGCAGCGTCTACATGCTAGGCATCCCTGAGAGTTGTAGTTTCAGAGGGCTGGTGCCTCACCAAACTACAATTTCCATGATTCCACCGCATCGGAGTTAAAGTGATTTAATTCCACAAGTGTAGATGCGCTTTTAGTTTGGATCAGCTGCAGCGCAGCGACTACACTGCGGGATTAACACGCTTTAAGTGCTTTTGGAGTCCCGGAAGTTGTAGTTTTGGGGATGCGCCAGCCAAACAAGTGTAGATGCGCATTTACCTTGGATTAGCCGTAGCACAGCGTCTACACTGCGGGATTAACGCGCTTTAACTGCTTTTGGAGTCCCGGAAGTTGTAGTTTGGGGATGCGCCAGCCAAACAAGTGTAGATGCGCTTTTAGCTTGGATCAGCCGCAGCGCAGCGTCTATACTGCGCGATTAACGCGCTTTAAGTGCTGTTGGGATCCTGGGAGTTGCAGTTTGGGGCAGAGAAGGCGACAGACTTTGCAAAACTGCGGCAATTGCATCGCGTTGCGCTATGGCGCTTAAAGCGGTGCCAAACGCCGTGTGGATGGGGCTTTGGGGGCCTGGCACTCACCGTCCGCGCTGTCGGGGCCGGGGGTGAGGTAGATGCCGCGGGAGGCGCCGGAGGGTTCCCGGGGGCGAGGAAGCCTGCTCGCCGCGTCCAGCCTCTGCCTCCCGCCGAGCCTTTTGTTGTGATCGAGACCAGCCAACAGCTGATCGGACGGGGACGCCCCTGGCCCCGCCCCCAGGGGGAAAGGGGAGGAGCCCGGCCCCAGCTGCGCCAATCAGCGCCCCGCCTGGCTCTTTCCCGCGCCAGGACAGGCTGTCACTAACGCACGTGACGCGGCGCCCCGGGGAGCTCCCGCAAAGCCCAGCCAAAGCTGCCGCCGCCGAGAGGCCGACAAGCCCGGGCAACAAAAGGAGGAGGAAGAGGAAGGAGAGGAGGAGGAAGAAGGGGGAAAGGAGAGGGAGAAGAGGAGGAAAGGAGAGGAAGAAGAGAGTGAAGGGATAGAAGAGGAGGGGAGAGGAAGAAGAGGAGGAGGAGGAGAAGAAGGAGAAGAAGAAGAGAGAAAGGAGAAGAGGAGGAGGAGAGGGAGAGGAAAAGGAGAAAAAAAGGGGAAGGGAGAACAAGAAGAAGGAATCGAAAGAGAAGAGGAGGTGGAGGAGAAGGAAAAGAGGGAGAAGAGGAGGAGGGAGAAGGAGTAGATGGAGGAGGAAGAAGAGGAGCAGGAGAAAATTGAAAGAGGAAAAGGAGAGGAAGAAGGAGTGGGAGAGGAGGGAGGAAGAGAAGAGAAGAAAAGAGGAAGAAGAGAGTGAAGGGATAGAAGAGAAGGACGGAGGAGGAGGAAAAGGGGGAGAAGTGGAGGGAGAAGGAGAAGATGTGGAGGAGGAGAAGAAGACGGAAAAAGAAGAGAAAGGAGACTAAGAGGAAGTAGAAGGAGAGGAAAAAGAGAAGGGAGAGGCAGAAGAGAATCAAGGAGTAGAAGAGGAGGATGGAGGAGAAGGAAAAAGAGAGGAAGAAGAGGAGCAGGGGAAGATGGAAAGAGGAAAAGGAGTGGAAGAGGAGGGAGGAAGAGAAGAAAAGGAGAGGAGGAAGAAGCGAGTGAAGGAACAGAAGAGGAGGATGGAGGAGGAGGAAAAGAGAGGAAGAAGAGCAGGGAGAAGGAGAGGAGGAAGGAGACTAAATAGAGGAGAAGGAGGTAGAAGAGGAGGAAAAGGAGGCGGGAAGAGAAGAAAAGGAGAGGATGAAGAATAAAGTGAAGGGATAGGAGGATGGAAGAGGAAAAGGAGAGGAAGCGGAGGAGGAAAGCCTAAATAGAGGAGGAGGTAAAAGTAGATGAAGAGGAAGGAGGAAGAGAAGAAAAGGAGAGGAGGAAGAAGAGAGTGAAGGAATAGAAAATGATGGTGGAGGAGAAGGAAAAGAGGAGGAGGGAGAAGATGGAGGAGGAAGAAGAGGCAAAGATGGGAAAAGAAGAGAAAGGAGGCTAAGGAGGAGGTAGAAGAAGAAGAAAAGTAGAGGAAGAAGAGGAGGAGCAAGAGGTACAAAGAGAGGAAAAGGAAAGTAAAAGGAGAGGGAAAAGAGGACAAGGAAGAAAAGGAGGGAGAAGTAATAGAAGAGGAAGAAAGAGAAGGAAAGGAGGGAGATAAGATGTAGGAGAAAGAGTGGAAGAGGAGAGGAAGAAGAGAAAGAAGAATGAGAGGAAGATGAGGAAGGAAAGAAAAAGGAAGGGAGAAGAGGAGAAGGAAGAAAAAGAAAAAGAAGTAGTATAGGAAGAGGAGGAGGGAGAAAAGGAGAGGAGGAAGAAGAGGGTGAAAGAATAGAAGAGGAGGGCAGAGGAGAAGGAAAGAAGAGGAATGAGGGAAAGGAGAAGATGGAGGAGGAAGAAGAGGAAGCTGCAGCAGCTAAAGAAAAAAAGTGGAGAAGAGAAGGGGAAAAGAAACAAAGAAGCACTGGGAAAGCTCAGGGAGATAACCAGGAAGAGTGGCTGTTAGGAATTGTGGGAGTTGAAGTCCAAAACACCTGGAGAGCCCAAGTTTACCCATGCCTGGTCTAGATTCACCCAAAAAAAGAAATCAGAGAGAATGAAAGAGTGCGAAGAGAAAGATGGAAAAATACCAGATAAGAGGAAGAGAAGAAAGGCTGGGGAAAAGCCAGGAAGTGCTCCCTTTTTTGTTTATTTCCATCCTCCAGGTTGCTTTCTCACAGCATAACAACAGTCTGATTCGGGGGAGTTCTTGCTATCTCAGCAGTTCTCACAGCTTCTGAAAACCACAGGTGGTTGCCAAACAGCTGCATTTCCCCCAGGAAAACTACAGAGAGGCTTACTTCAGTTTTTCATAAGTCAAGGGAGGGCTGAAGAGGAAGGTCATGACCCTCCGTCACCCCAGAGTTGGCTCTCAAACCCAAATGTTGGTGCTTCAGGTTTAATTGGCACCCATCCTGCACGTCTCTTACATTGTGTTTTGTTTACCTTGTATTTACCTTGAATTAAATACTTTTTACAATAGGTCAGTGTGGTTTAGTGGGGCTGAGAAAGATCAAGGTTCAAATCCTGCTCAGCCATGGAAACCCACTGGGAAGTCAATAGCAACCTCCCTCTTCTCATCAAATTTGTTTTAGAGCGGACATGGGCAAACTTGGGCCCTCCAGGTGTTTTGGACTTCAACTCCCACAATTCCTAACAGCCATGCTTGTCTTAGAGTCACCATAACACAGAAATGACTCCAAATGGGCCTTTTCCTATTAAAATACACGTGGCATTGGAATGGATAATGTGGCATGCATTTGTGGCCACAGAAAATGAAATAACTGTGGAGGAAACATGAAACAGAAATCAAAATACAGATCAATACTGTGCAAATAGCTGAGGCTATCAATGATAGAATCCTAGAGTTCGAAGAGACCTCATGGGCCATCCAGTCCAACCCCCTGCCAAGAAACAGGAAAAGTGCATTCAAAGCACCCCTGACAGATGGCCATCCAGGCTCTGCTGAAAAGCCTCCAAAGAAGGAACCTCCACCACACTCCGGGCAGAGAGTTCCACTGCTGAACGGCTCTCACAGTCAGGAAGTTCTTCCTCATGTTCAGGTGGAACCTCCTTTCTTGTAGTTTGAAGCCATTGTAGTTTGAAGCCAGGGAGAATAAAATTTCCATCTCGGCCCAAAATTTATAACAACAATTTGACTACCTCCAAAGATACTAGAAA